GGTCTGTGACGGTGGATGGGTTTCTTTCTTTGAATCAGTTTTCCTTGAAATATTCGCGGAAGTTTTATTTTCGCGTTTCCACTCTTACCGCGAAAATAAAACTGCCGCGAAAATTTCCCGGTTTACAGTATACATGTAGTCTGATAAACTGACTACCGGTAAACCATGAAAACTCATCATTGACCAATGAACCATGAAAATAAGTCAAGGTCATATGAAACCTGCCAGACCTACATGCACACCTTACATTCCATACACCAAATATAGTTGACCTACTGTATTGCTTATAGTATCTTAGATATGGACTTGACCATGTAACTTTAACCTTGATCACTGATCCATGAATTGAGGTCAAGTTCAGGTGAACCCTACTTGACAGACATGTAGATGTTGCAAGGAACCCATATACCAAATATAGATATTCTTTTACTCATATAAATTTTTGTCAAGCTTTCACAGAACCATGAAAATGAGGTCAAGAACAATGGACAAATGACAAACGGAAACTTCGTAACAAGGTATTAAGGCATTCAAGGTATGAGCATCAAGGTCTTCTACATTCTGAAATATAAAGCTTTATACAAATAGTTGAGACAAAAATTGAAACTATTCAAACAAAATATTTGTAAGGGATTTCACGGAACCCTGTCTCTTCTGCGATGAATGCTGTCAGTGTAGAAGTGTAATGTTGACTTAAAAAGTGAGTCCATATATCAGTAAAATACAGCATTAAAAAAAAAAAATTCAAACCTTTTTCTTTCAATGCTATTTCTTAGTTTTGAAAATTAGCTTCTGTCCAATTTTCATAACAATCCATGAAGGCTTACAAATTTATCATGTCCAAAAAATTTAATCCCAAACTGTCTAAATGTTAACTGTAAAAAACAAAGTCCATCTATCAAAAAAATACTAAAAAGAAAAAAATATATTTTCAAAGGCTTGCTTCAGACATTATCTCTTAATCATTGAAAAGCTTCTGCCAAAGTTTCATAAATATCTGTGAAGGTTTGACAAAGTAATTGATGTATAACTTAATCCCTAGACTGTATCTACTTGTTAACTGTAAAAAAACTAAGTCCATTTATCAGTAAAATATGGTAAATGAAAGCAAATATGTTCAAAATTTTGCTCTGGATACTGTATTTTGGTCATAAACAAGCTTCTGACCAAATTTCATAAATTTCCATGAAGGTTTGACAAAGTTATCGATGACCTAAAACCTTTAACCTCAGACTCAGCCTGAGTGTTAGCTGTAAAAGAAACTAAGTCCATTTATCAGTAAAATACGGAATTAAATGCTCCGCTGCGCAGCTTGATACGACCGCAGAGGTCGAACCCTGAACAGTTAGGGCAAGTATGGACACAACATTCAAGCTTGATACAGCACAGAATTTGGATAGTGATTAAATATTTGACACAGCATAGGTTTCTGACACAGAATGAATGTGGTCTAAGAACTTAAAATTTTTAATTTACCTATTCAAACCATATCATTATTATTTGCTTTTATATATAAATCAGAAATAACCAATTCAAAATGGAAAATTTTAAAGAAAAAAAAAAAGGAAAAAAAAATCCCTCCCCCAAATTTTTTGAACCCTTTATGATTCATCACCCCCAAACTCAATCCCAGCCTTCCCTTTGTGGTATGGTACCTTGTTGTACAATTTCAGAGAGATCCATACACTTGAACACAAGTTATTGTCTGGAAACTAGAAAAATGCTTGTTTTTAGGCCCCTTTTTGGCCCCAAATTCCTAAACATTTAGGGCAATTACCCCCAAACTCTAACCCAGCTTTCCCTTTGTGATATGGAACCTTGTAGTACAATTTCATAAAGATCCATACACTTACACACAAGTTATTGTCATGAAACTAGAAAAATGCTTGTTTTTTGCCCCTTTTTTGGCCCCTCATTCCTAAAATTTTGAGGCAATTACCCCTAAATCAATCCCAGCCTTCCTTTTGTGGTATGGTACCTTGCAGTACAATTTCAGAGAGACCCATACACTTGAACACAAGTTATTGTCTGGAAACTAGAAAAATGCTTATTTTTGGCCCCTTATTCCTAAACGTTTTGGGCAATTACCCCCAAACTCAATTCCAGCTTTCCCTTTGTGATATGGAACCTTGTAGTACAATTTCAGAAAGATCCATACACTTTCACACAAGTTATTATCATGAAACTAGAAAAATTAATTTTTTTTACCACTTTTTTGGCCTCTAATTCCAAAAATTTTGAGGCAATTACCCCCAAAATCAATCCCAGCATTCCCTTTGTGATATGGAACCTTGTGGTACAATGTCAGAGAGATCCATACACTAACACATAAGTTATGTCTGGAAGTTACAAAAATGCTTATTTTTGGCCCCTAATTCCTTAACTGTTGGTACCATAACCCCCAAAATCAATCATAAGCTTCCTTTTGTGGTATTGAACCTTATGGTAAAATTTCATAGAGATCCATTAACTTAAACTAAAGTTAGAGTGCGAAAACCAATGTGTCTTCGGACGACGACGAAGCCGGATGACGACGACGACGCCAAGGTCATACCAATATACGACCGCAAAATTTTTTTGCGGTCGTATGAAAATGAAAATAAATATTTTCAAAATTTCACTCTGGATACTGTCTTTTGGTCAAGTTTCTGAAAAAAAATAAGTCAATTTTTTAGAAAAATATGGAGAAATGAAAATAAATAGTTTCCAAATTTTGCTCTGGACACTGTATTTTGGTCTTAAACAAGCTTCTGTCCAAATTTCATAAAATTCCATGTAGGTTTGACAAGTTATTGATGTCACAAAAAACTTTAACCACAGATTGAACCTAAATGTTGATGCCGATGGAATCTAGGATCCCTATGTCTCACTTTCGTGAAATAAATTTCACCGGCTCAACAAAAACCAATAATAAACCAAACACAAATATAACAAACAGCAACCAACTACTACCACATAATTACAGGCTCCTAATTTGGGACAGGCACATATAGAGGAAGGGTTAATCACGTTTGTGAACGTTCAACTCTCCCACAATTCTGATAACTGTGTTTCAGCACACTATAAGAACAAACAAAAATGCACATTATAATGTACATGTTAGGAATTTGAATACAAAATATTTAAAAAGACACAAACCCGACCACCAAAGCATGAAATATGGAGTAGGCCAAGTTACATTTCAGACTGACAAATACTCTTTGCAACATGTTCACATACCCAATATAGTAGCCATGTTATTTCTATTAATGATGAACAGACCACTTTCTTAAACCGTGTGAAAACCAGGTCAAAACCATGTTACATACATATATCTCGTCTTACTATTTTTAATGATGTATTTAGTATGACGAAAAATTTTTCACTTCTGTACTTGTACTATGAATAACAAATCTATTTTGTAAAAATTGTTTCTGTACTCCTAACAACACAATTATTATATTCAAATTTACCTGTGTATGTTACTTTATTTAACGCCATTTTGTCCTAGATTAAAGTTGTCTTTTTTTTAATTTATACTGTCATAGATCAAACTTATTCTTTCAGTGTATATTTACTTGTTTTTGTGTAATGTCTTTTTGATCAAGTTAAGCCATTTCAATTGATATTTTATTGTGTGTCTTTTTATGTTGTAATGTTATACCACTGTTTCAGGTTAGGGTGAAGGTTGGCGCCTGTTAAAACGTTTAAACCCGCTGCATTTTTATGCACCTGTCCTAAGTCAGGAGCCTGTTTTTCAGTGGTTGTTGTTTGTTGGTGTGGTTCATAAGTGTTTCTCGTTTTTTATATAGATTAGACCGTTGATTTCCTGTTTGAATTGTTTTACACTAGTCTTTTTGGGGCCCTTTATAGCTTGCTGTTCAGTGTGAGCCAAGGCTCAGTGTTGAATGCCGTACTTTTGACCTATAATTGTTCACTTTTTACACATTGTGACTTGGATGGATAGTTGTCTCATTGGCACTCATACCACATCTTATTTATATACAAGATATTGTTGACCTTTCATGTGTAGTTAACTGAAGATCAGACCTCATCTTGAAACTTAAACTGATCAAATTAAACCATATCTGGTTGACAAGGCTTCAATACAAAATAACTTAACAATTAAATTTGATAATAGGAAGAATAAATGAATTATAAGATAAAGAGTCAACTATATTTGCAAGTTGTGCAGATGAAATAATAAGGGTGGCAATATGTAAACACTTCATCTAAATGTACATTAGTTAAAAGTTAATATGTGCAACCGAAGATGATGAGTGACTGTTTTTTTTTTAATTGATTTATTTATTTGGTGAATTCCTACACAATAAATTATTGGCTATGTTAGTATCCTCTATGATACTTTGTATTCTCATTTCCAGTTGTTTTAGTGATTGATTGACTATGTACACTACAGCTCGTGTGGATTTTGCTTTGTCCACCGGCCCACCATGGGAGTGGGCACCGGGTGGGCAAAATTTGTACCTTGTACACTCTGCCCACCTGTAGGAGTGGGCATTCAATTTCTTTTGTTTCATCTAAAGACTTGCAAGTACAATCACTTGAAAAAAGCAGATAAGCATTTGTAATCAATATTTTTACAAAAAAAGAGATTATAGCTACAGTGGGCACGGGTGGACTGCCCACGGTGGGCCGGTGGAAAAAGCAAAATCCACACGGGCTATTGTGTAATTACATACAATAAGGAGATGTTGTATGATTGCCAATGAGACAAGAATCCACCTGAGACCAAATGATGTAGTTAGCAACTATAGGTCACTGTTTGGCCTTCAACAATGAGAAAAACTCATAAAACCTATAAAAGGCCATTGTTTACTTACCTTTTTTCTTATTTATTCAAGATGAGTGTTTTCATGACATTTATGTTGAATGCCACATCGAATACCAAATGTTTGTGTGCAAGATGATTTATCTTTTGTACTGTATGTCTCATACATAACGAACCAATACTTCTTCATTTATATATTTTTGTGTATGGTCTTAGATAAAGAAAAAAAATTATTTCATTTTTTATTGTATAGTATAAATGTTAACAATTTGTTTGTAATACAAATATTTCAATAGACTGGTCCATAAGCACAGTGATTGGAATGATTCATTGTTGAAAAAAATAATATAACTTACAAATGTAAAATATCTTTAACAAGTACAAAAAAACTTCATCAAAATGTTTTATAAACCAATAAGTTCCAGCACTTCCACTGTGTGAACAATATTTTGATCCAATTACAAGCAAAATATTCTTAATAGTAAATGATGCTTATTTCAATAATTACAGGAATGTTAATTAAACAAATGTGACTAGTGAATACTTAACAGAATATGAAAAATGTCGTCCACAATGGTTTTAAATTTTATCTGAATTAAATGTATGCACATGCTTTCCTATTTGAAATATGATTATCTATAAAACTTAAGATTTTTCTTCACCCAGAATAAGAAATAAAACTGGTAGTTCTTGAAAACGAACATTAATATTCAACTAATTTCAAATCTATATATGTTGTAAATAAAACATGTCATTTTATAACAATCTAAATTGATTATGTTGAATACTAGTCTAGGGGTTTATTTTACACCGTATGTATGTAACTTGCAAAAGTGTAGCAACATAAATGCACTTAAGAGAACTAAAACATTTCAACTATCAACTCATTGAATATTTCAGTCTTGTACAGTTCAGATTATCACACTTACAAAAGAATTCAGTTTACTTTCAAAAAAGAGATTCTGATTAAATATCCTTTGAAAATTAAAAAAAATAGTATGTTTAAATTATCTTAATATCAACATTATAAGACAAAATTGGATTGATGGCAAAAACATAAAAAAAATCAGTGATGGTGATGTCATTCTTTCAGTCCTTTAATAACTTTTTTACATCCCAAATTCATTCTTAGGCATAATAAAAATATCTAGGCACTGAAATCCAAGTAAAATGGTTGATATGTAAAAAATCATATGTTCAAGAACGAAGTCTAAAAACAAGAATTCTTTAATGGTTTCATATTCATACCTTGTCTATTTTTCGAAAATTTTAAGACAATATATTAAATATACAGTAATGGAACTGAAAACCTAACTGGGTCTACTAATTTTTACAAACAAACAAAAATCTAAGAAAATATTAAATGTGGAAGATGAGATAGCAGTAGTTGTACTATGTCAAGTCATACAAAATTACATTAATAAGTGAACTATTGGCCGATCATTTCTGATCAGTAAATGCATAAATATATATTTATATCATCTAATCTAGTGATAAAAAATATGGTGCCATTAAAATACATTGTCATGTGTGTGTTTATTATTCAACTTGTAAGATATTAAAAATATAAGTTGCCTACGTTTATTTTGCAATGTGGCATCAAGACATTAAAAAATCTAACATGACATCAAAATTTTATAAGAATGTCTGTGATGTATAGTAATGGAAGACAAGCAGCAACACTGTGCATTATTTAAAGCCAACATATGCATCAGAATTATCCGATTTTGACAAAAATTTACATGAATATCTAACATTATCGCTAGATTAGATGATAAACTGGCATAATAGTCTTGATCAAGCATGCAACTAATGTGTTTGGAATGTTACGTAGATCACCATCTTCATTCATCTTTCTTGCCATGTTTTAGTATCCGTGTGAATTCTAGATAATCAAAGTTTCCTTTCCTGATTGGTGCCTCTCTGAACATCTCATCAACCTAAAACAATACAAGATATATCATACATCTACATATATTTTGTGAATTTTTAAAAGCAGATCTACAAAAGGAATACATTGTTAGCAGTTCTTCTGACATTCATTGCCAGCCAGACAAATTGTCTCAGAAATGCTGAGAGTGGGATGTAAATATATTACATGAATAATTTTTCCACTTCTTAGACCATGGCATTCCTTGACATCTGCATTTTTAATTACTGTATCCTCCAAAACAGGACCCAATTTATGGCCATGTAATGAACTCATTATTCGATGATAAATCAAATGAATCTCACTGTTTTATCTAACAGACTAAAGACAGCTTATCACATTTACCTGTTCAGACCTGGCTGGAAAATATATTTAATTACTTCATGATTTGATAACATTTCAGCAAAGGCTATCAACAATTTAGATTTAAAAATTCATTTTTTTAAACAACATAAGATGCTTAATAAAAGATAACTCACAAAAGTATAATGCAATCAATTATCATTTAAACAAAAAATAGAATGGAAAGTTGCATGGTCAATTCTTACGGAATTGAAATTTTAGCTTAAAATCAAAAATCAATTCAATTCAAACTGGTGCATTCCATTTTTTAAATGTAGACAAAAAAGCAGGTAAGAAATTGCATGTTGTTAAAATTATTAAACCATGATCAGGTTTGTTTATCCCTGGAGTTCTGGTTTGAATTAGACAGTTTGAAAAAAAATGACCTTAACTTTCAATTTATAAAATATGACTGAAATCACACAAAGTTTTCCAGAAAGTCTTTTAGGTAGTAGTACTTAAACAAGCATTCTGTGAGTATTGCATGGCAATACATCCCTACCTGTTAAAAATTCATTGTATTGGAACAAAATTCTAACTTGATCTATAACTTGTCATGGTGTAAACTATATAACAAATATTAAGTCAATGTCTTCAAGCATGACGAAAAAAAATGTTGAAAACTGATTATTTTAGTGAATTTTCTAAGTCAAAGGACCATAACTCTACACAAAATCATCAGACGGGAACAAAATTCTAACTTGATCTGTAACTTGTCATGATAAAACAATACACCAATTATCAATTAAATATCTTCAAGAATGACAACAACAAAAAAGTGTGGAAAACTGATTACTTTAGTGAATTTTCTAAGCCAAAGGACCATAACTCTGCACAACATTATCAGATTGGAACAAAATTCTAACTTGATCTGTAACTTGTCATGATAAAACAATACACCAAATATCAAATCAATATCTTCAAGCATGAAGAAAAAAAGTGTGGAAAACTGATTTGCCGGACTGTCGGATGGACAGAAAGACGGACGTAGTGCAAACCTAAAGTCCCCTTCGACTTCGTCGGTAGTGGACTTAAAAAATTCTAACACTTGACTCATATAAGTTATTGTTCTCCCCAAGGCCTAATAGAACCATGGTGCCATCTAAATAGATTTTAAAATAGTGATAATACAATTTTAAGATAACAGTGCTATTTCAAATCCCATGGTGCTATTTGAAAATACAGGAGAGAATACTGAAAGTACAAACCTCATCATCAGTAAATCTTTCTCCCATTGTAGTTAACAAATCTCTCAATCTGTCTTCATTGATGTAACCTAAAACACGAAAAAAGTATAAATAGAAAATTAATAACAAGATGTACTGAGTTCTTGCTCACAACTGAAAACCCTGTTATCAGTATTCAGTAAACACAAATTTGATGAGCCATGAATGTTAAAATTCATTACACAGTATAGTATGTTACATTTTTGTACATAAAGTTTGATTAAAAATTTCATGAAGCCTTGATTTGCAGTTTTTGATAGAAAGCGTCCAAAATTGCATACATGGCCATTATGCGTAATAACTGATTGATTGATTTTTTGTGTTAAACGCCACTTCCATTCACTATTGGCTATTGTGTGGCGGCCAGTTTTTATTGGTGGAGGCAGCCAGAGTGATCAGAGAGAACCACTGTATGTTTAAGAATATGTAAGTATTTGGTATGGATATTAAAACGCATCATACAGTATAGCATGCTCACATGAAGCAGGATTCAAAATTTCAGAAAGCTCTGATTCACTGATTGTAGTTCTTTATAAAATCTGACAATATATACATGGCTTTATGTGTAAGAATACATAAGTATTAGCTAAACTGGAAGTTGATTAGTTATAGATGTGAAAACACATCACATGCATGCTCATATACAGCTTGATATTAATATTTTTTGAAGGTCTGATTTGTAGCTCCTGAGAAAATGCAATAAAAATTTCATGGCAGGGACAAACACATGGGGAATGGATATTCAAAACAACCAAATGATTACCAGTATAAGTTTCTTTTACAAGACTAAAATGTGGAATAGATTGTGTGTGAATGTTAAGCAGGGCTTGATCGTGTGTGTGTGTATATGTAAGGTTGAGCTCAATCTGATTAAATTACAGATCCTGTGTGATCAAGCTTTGCTTACATGGATCAGAAAATACTCCATTCTACTTTCTGTTTAAAGACATTTCGAGATCATCTGGTTTTGTCGGATTAATACATACACACCTTCAAAAATTTGAAGGCTGAAATTTCATTGGCTGATATACAAAAATGTAATAATTACCAGAATAGAAAGTAAAACGGAGTGTTGTCAGATCTTTGTTAGAAAAGCCTTGACACACTGACAGGATCTGTATTTGAATCAGATTGGGTTGAGCTTGATGATGGCTTAAGAATTAATTTTATCTCTCTTTGACTAAAATCCTTCATCTGTATATGTAAGTGTTTATATACAGTTTTGACTGTTGTAAGGTCTGAATACATTACAATAATTCCTCAAATCTATGACTATCCACAGTTTTGATTGGTCTTTGGATAGAATAAGTATATCTTACAAACCTGATACATCTTCATCAAAGCAAGCAAAGGCATTTTTAATGACATCTTCAGGATCTGTACCATTCAGTTTTTCACCAAACATTGTTAAAAACATTGTGAAGTTTATTGGTCCAGGAGCACAGTTCATCATCTCTTCTAAGGAAGCATCTGTTGGATTTTTACCTGTCAATTACATATGCATTATTATATGGATGTGTTTATTACTATGGAGAATCACTCCTTTAAATTTAATATGTCAATTTTACATACATTATCAATTTTTTTATTAGATTTTTTGTAAGAATATCTTAAAGAATACAGAAGGTTATTGAGTTTTGTGTTCTGTACTGTCACGTGTACAATGCATATAAGATCAGGGATGTTGAATATTTAACAAGTGGTTTATTTTCACTTAATTTGGATTAAGATATATACTTATGGAATTAAACATATCATGACATAGTTGTTAGTTATGGATACATTTGTTTCAAAAAAGCAATAAAGCTGGAAAATTGCCAGAAAAAAAGCGAATGAAACGCTCGAGAGAATTTTGAGCCATACCTAGTGATGCTAACATATCATGAAGATCTTCTTTATCAATAAAACCATCTCTGTTTTGGTCAATCATATTAAATGCTTCTTTGAACTCTTGTATTTGTGCTTGATCAAACATAGCAAATACATTAGAAGTTGCACGTTGTGCCCTTTTCTTTGTTGTCTTTCCTTTAGTTTTTCTGCTAGACATTTTTAGTTCTGAAGTGAAATAAATCATAATTTTATATAAATGTACAATGTATATATGTCAATGAATATAATCAAAACACATGTGTACTTTCATAGAAGATAAAATAAAATGCTCTACGGGGCAAAGCTTGATACAACCGCAGAGGTCAAACCCTGAACAGTTGGGAAAGTATGGACACAACATTCAAGCTTGATACAGCTCTGAATTTGGATTGTGATTAAATATTTGACACAGCATAGGTTTCTGACACAGAATGAATGTGGTCTAAGAACTTAAAATTTGAAATTGGATATATACGTATTATTGACCAATATCTAAAATCTAAATACATGGTTTGATTCAGCATATAAAAGAACACCAAGAATTCAATTTTTGATGAAAATTAAACAAAATTTAATTTCGGACCCTTTGGACCTCAATGTGGACCAATTGTGTTACGGTGCCCAAAATACAAATCTAAATACACAGTAAGATTCAGCATATAAGAGACCCCATTTATTCAATTTTTGTTGATATCAAACGAGGTCTAATTTTGGACCCCAATGTGTACCAACTTAAAAACTGGGCCTAAAATTAAAAATTTAAATACATGTTTAGATTCAGCATACATGTATCAAAGAACCCCAAGAATTCAATTTTTGTAGAAATCATACAAACTTTAATTTTGGATCATTTGGAACTTAATGTGGACCAATTTGAAAACCGAGCCCAAAATACAAAATTTTAATACAGTTAATATACAGCATACATGTATCAAAGAACCCCAAGAATTCAATGTAGAAATCATACAAAAGTTTAACTTTAGACCCTTTAGACCTTAATGTGGACCCCTTTGAAAACGAGGCCCAAAATTAAAAAATATAGATACATGGTAAGATTCGGCATATCAAAGAACCCCAATAATTCAATTCTTGATATAATCAAACAAAGTTAATTTTGGACGCTTTGGACCACAATGTGGACCAATTTGAAAACTGGGCCCAAAAATCAAAAATCTAAATACACAGTTAGATTCAGCATATATAAGAAATCCATTGAAATTGATCAAGAAATAAGAAATTTATACAAAGTAATAGAAAAGTATTGTTTTTGGTCCCTAATTCCTAAACTGTTAGGGCCATAACCCCAAAAATCAATTCCAACCTACGTTTTTATGTATGGAACCTTGTGTTACAATTTCATAGAGATCCATATACTTATACTCAAGTTATTGTACGGAAACCAGGATATCCTTGGTTTTTTGCCCCTAATTCATAAACAGTTTTGGCCATTACCCACAAATCAATCCCAACCTTCCTTTTCTGGTATGTAACCTTGTGGTACATTTTTTATAGAGATCCATACACTTATACATTTGTACTCATGTTATTGCAGTCATATAAAAAGTAATGCATGTTTGTTTTTAAAGAACAGGATACATGTAGAAAAAAACTTATTTTTAATGGGATAGCACATCCTAATTCTTACGGAGATGTTGTTTACCGAGCCAAGAAATTTAGGGAAAACTTATCGATCCTTTAAATAGACTTATTTTAAAAGGTTACCAATTCAACACTATAGTTGGATCTTTGAATATTGTTTTTATTGATATTAATATTGATTTTGTTATCAGTAAATTAATATCAAACTAAATATTATTTTTATATACATATGCACATTCATGGCTCTACAATCTGCCGATACCTGTATCTTGGCATTGCACAAGGTCATGTTTTTCTCTTACTATTAATGACGTCTTTACACTAAAGGCCGTACGGCGACCTATAGTTGTTAATTTCTGTGTCATTTGGTCTCTTGTGGAGAGTTGTCTCATTGGCAATCATACCACATCTTCCTATTTTTATATGTCTGACAGATTTTAACTGTCACATGCTCATAAGAGTCTGATACCATGAATCAAAATCCTTGATCATTTTTATTGTTTGGTTCCAGATTCTATTGATATTAATATATTTTGAATGAATGAAATTTAAAAAAAAAAGAATTGAATTAGTTTGACATATTTCTTGCGGGTATATTTGTCACAAATGCCTCTTCGACAAACAGAAATTTGAAAATGGATTAATTTAGAATTCTATATGAATGAGTTACATGTAAGCCTGCTGACTGAGGTTAATCAGCATACATGATATAGAACAACAGACTCATACTGTGATGTAATATCTTAAGCATTGTTAAATGAGAAAATACACCAAAGATATGTACAGTACAAAAAAAGTATACATGTACTATTCAAATTCTTGAATGCAGAAATGTGAAAGTCTTCTATTTAGTTCAATGAATTTTTTTAAAAGCTTTTAAATTCAAGTTTTCAATAGTTGTTTAAAAATATATCTAAATCTTGATCAAAGGAAAAATTGTTATCAAACTTTGCTTAGATCAAGAATATTTTCAGTGATTTCACAAACTTTCAACTCATTAAAAGGATAAACAATCTTTCAATGCGCAGAATGCTCAGAAAGAAGATATGAAGTTTTGTTCTTGAAAACCACTATATATTGTTCCAGAAATACAGATTTCTTTTTAAAATGGTGACATGATAGAAAAAATATTGCACCACGTGACCATCAAAAAATGTTTAATATATTCTTGTATAAATCATATACATTGTCATGATTGTATTTTCTTTTATGTTGTTCAAGAGTATTGTTTGTTTTGATTTGCTTATAAGGATGAAAGTTTAAACTAGTACTGGTAAGTCTTATTCGCCTTTGCAAGTCCAAAATTCAACATTAAATAAAAAAGATACATGTATATTTGTACATATACAAAACATAATTGAAGTGAACACAAATACAATATGGCTTAGGTTTTTAATCATACCACATTTAATTTTATCATTTTGAACAGATTTCAAGTTCAACAATATTTCCTGATGAGTTCATCTTCCTTACGTTTTAATCGTGAAACTAAAGTAAACGTTACAAATTGTGATTGTATGGAAAATTAACAAAATTAAAACACCGTCTGATTGATTCTATTTACAAGTGATTTTTTCAGGATCATTAGGACCCATCATCTGATCAGCAGATTACTTAAGAAAAAAGGGGTCGGACCTTTATCGGGACTCCGGGATTGTCCATTTTTAAGTTCGGGATTTCGGGAACGAGCTATATAATCATCGGGATTTCAGGATTTAGTTTAATCGAGACACAGGATTTACGTGTATTTACGTCCGGGAATTCAGGATTTTTATCTATCAGGACTCTTGTTTGAAAAAAAATAGCATTAGTCATGTTAGCTAAGCCTTCCGGAGCACCTGGGTTTTCTCCTGGTTTTTGTAGGAGTACGTGCATGTTTTTTAGTGTTCTGTTTGTGATTGTTCCTTTTGTACCCGGGTTTATTTGTTCAACGGTTTATGTTTTTTTTTTACACTACTTGGATATATTTGCACATTGTTTGTTTTATGGTTTTAAGTCTTTGGATTTCTCAGAAGATAGTTTTGTTCATAAATGTAAGAGTATTAAAAATTAGTAAACCAGAGGATATGATTTCACACAGAAAAAAAAAACAGCATTTAAACAAGGTGCGTCAGCACAAGATAAGTATTCAAAGAAAAAGTAGCCCTTTCAAAGTCGTCTAATTGTTTGAGTTTCGTGTTACACAATCTTAATTTTCGAAGCACTCTACAAAGTTATTTGCAGAATAATGTCAGTCATTGCGGCAGTGATCACCCATACCACAGAGCTAAATGGGGCCCATATTGAATTTAAAAAAAAAGATGTCGGACAAAATTAAATGGCAAGACACAAATAAAGAATTACCCAAAAAAAACACATTGAATTCACTGTATACGCACAACTACTCGACACTGTATCCTGGCTTCGGACTAGCACATAAAAAAGAGTGATAACGTATACAATGTACTATCATTCTCCAAGTAACTGACGAAAAGTCCTTACCTTCTTTTATTGAGCTCAAACTAGCCAACTTATTTATGTGTCTTTTACATTTTGGAATGTCGCAGTCTCCATGTATATATAATCTGTTTTAAACTAAGCTCACTAGATTATATTAATAATTATAAGATACAGGGAATCTACACAACAGACTAGCTGACTGATTGCTTTAAACATTATACAATCATTAATTAGTGTATTTTGCAAAAAAGTATATTTTATTTTATCAGGATTTCGGGATATTGTCAAATTAGGCCCGGAAATCAGGATTAGGCAAAAATAAACTCGGGATTTTGGGATTGGACCCCCTCTAAACCCCCCTCAATAGTATATCGCCATGTAAAATTGTAGATTTTCTTATGCAATTTTTTTTAAACATCTACAAATTTGATTAACAAAATTGATCAGAAATACTTTCATTTTAAAAACTTTCTCGTAAATGAAATTGCGGAAATGACGAGCACTGGCAAAATCACTGCTACTTACTATTCTTCTTTCTAGTGGATTCAGATAAATTTGGACAGGAAATTGTAAGCTCTTTAGGTTTAATTAAAAATACTGAAATAACAGGAAAAACCTGACAGAAGTTTTTCGTCATGATGTTGAAGTTTTGGCACTTTTCAACCATACAAAAGGAGTTAGATAATTTGAACTTAAATTTCAGTTTCACAGAGAAAAAGAACAAACATTCATTATGTACCTGTTTTAACCTTGCCTGGCTGTACCTTCCAAGAATTGTGTTCTTTACCTTAGTCTCACAATTAAAACATGTACGTAACACTTCCGATATGAATGAATCAGCCCAGGTGTAGCCCAACCCACTTAGACAATCACAATTTGCCTCCCGGAAATGAACAATATTTTCACTTTACCTAACTTCTGCAACAGAAACCATATTTCATTTTCAAAGATGTGGAATATGTAGTTATGATTATGGTCTTATATTCTAGAAGAGAAGATTAAATACCTACTTTTGTGTTTGGAATGTTAAAGAATTTCAAGAACTTGACTTCCAACCTTACCGGAAACTGGGTAACGAATAGGTTTTGAGTGGGCATGCGTCAATAATGCTAAATAAATGGTTGTGAGACAACTCGGCCCCAAGACAACTCGGACCGTCTACAAAAAAAGACAACTCGGACCGTCTATAAAGACAACTCGTTTAAATGCCAACTCAGACAAAGTATAAAAGGAGAGTTTTTACTATATAAAGATAATATAAGATCTTTATAAGCACGCACACATTAAAACAATTATAAATGGTTAAGGCAACAAAATACAGACAAACTGGGACTGGCATACTATATTGAGTATGATAGTCCCAGAGACAAGCTACAATAACATATGTACAATGTAAGAATGACAGTGGATAAGTATGAGAAAAAAATAAAAATCAAGTATCTTTTTGACCATGAGTTTCTTACCAACAACAGAGACATATATATATATATATATATATATAAGTCTGAAAATTACACCCAACAGTGTTAGAATTAGACTTTTGTGCTGACAAATTTTTGTCCCTCAACGGGATTCGAACTCACACCTTTGATACACTACAGCACCAATTGCTTAGCCTCATGTCCAGCGCTCTAGACCCCACGACCACATCCGCTATAAAAATATAACTTCAATAGTCGTAGTGTTACCTTGTCACGTAAGGCGAATCTAGAGATAGACATAAGACATGTGTTTTTAAGCGTGTGAAGATGTTATATATATATAGTATTATATGTCTCTGCCAACAATTAAGCACTCATCCGTGAGTATGAAAATAATTCACAACAATTTTTAATACTGTTGGAAAATTACTATCAAGTTAGAATTGATATAAGCAGAGACATATAATACATTGTATTATATGTCTCTGATAGAACATTGTTTAATTTTTTAATGACAAAGTCATTATCTCTCAAATATTTATAGGTAGAACATTTAAAAAGAAAATGTAGTTCATCTTCAATGTCTCCATTGTTACAACAAAGGACAGATCCTACTATGCTTCGGTATATTTAAATTTTAGAGTGAGTGAATTATTTGACTCTATATAAGGCCAATACTTTATTGCTGACGATTCTATTCTGGTATATAAGGGCAATGTGTTCAGCTCGGCTAAACATGCAGCATTTGATGCTGTGCAAGGTACTCCTAGAATTACTTAAATAAATTTAAATTGTTCAAAGAGATATGAATCCCTGTGAAGTTTGCATTAAAGACGGTCCGAGTTGACTTTTGAGTTATCATTATAAACGGTCCGATTTAACTTTATAGACGGTCCGACTTGATTTTATAGACGGTCCGTGTAGACGGTCCGAGTTGACTCGATCCGAGTTGTCTCCGGGCCGGGTTGTGCCGCATTCTTAACAAATATTTAACAAATTAATGTCGACTGGAAACTTTTTTTCTGCCAATATTATGATATTAAGCCTAAGTTAAAGAATATCGGATTTCATAAATTTATTTTTGATGAATAAATTAGAATATTTGAGCATTTTTTATTTAAATTTGTTCAATTTGGTCATTGAATTAGAGCTTGAATTTTCATTGAGTTCCAAAGTTTTAGAAACTTACAAAAACTATCACTAATCGCTAAGAAGACGTTCTGAATTATCTCTCCATTTAAATATAATTAGCAATTTTATTTGAAAAAAATAAATTTGTATTATATGTCTCTGATTTCAGGTATCGGATCCTAGATCTGATCATGTAGAATACATTTATATTCGTTACAAATTTGCCCTGGTGTTATAGCTGAGACTACTTTGTGCATATATAGTCTCAGGTTATAGAAATATCAGCCCAGCGGACCGCTGGTACATACAAAATGGAGAACTAGTATTCAATTTGGAGTGGCCTTAACTTTATCCTTCTTTATACCTGGTCCATAATACTAGGTCCCAGCTTATATATACAGTTTCTATTAAGCGAGTCATTGAATGAATTTGACTAGTTTACCATGGAAGATGTTTTGCATAAACTTGAGATATTAAAATAAGAAATTGTGGTGTCTGTACGTGTATTCTCCTACCAAAGTATTTAAATTTAAATGGTCTCATGATGAAAAAGCGTCCCGGCTTGTACATCATGAAAGGACAACAACCACAGAGAAGCAAACATAATAGAATAATTTCAGTCGGAAAAAAGTAAACTTCAAAGATGTCAAAAAGGGAATTACCTGATTCTGTGCAGTTTACTGGTTCCATTTTCATCTAAGGTTTCATTTTGGTTTGCTCAGTAATTAATCGATCATTCTGAATACATCTTCAATATCGTAAAATTCCCGGGAATGCACCGGCATAAAGACACCAGTTAACGAAGTCACAAAGAAAGATCAATTAATCGTATTACGGTGACATTTGCTTTGGAAAGAATTTTAAGATTAATTTGGATTTGCCAAAGAAACTTCCAATTCATTTAAACATTGCACATGGAGAGTGCCAAGGGACGTTGAATCAACAATTGTCCAATCTAGGAAATGAACTTTTTTTAATTCAATTTACATTAGTCCCACAAGTGCGTTTAACGTCGTGCAATGCCATTTATCATCGGAAAGAATTACACACATCATTCAGCACTGTTGTGCTTTCCGAGTTCGGCTGAAACATTAGGTGGACATGCTGCTGACAATATTATTCCCTCTATAAAGTTTAATCATGTTGATATATTTTTTTCATAACCATGTACGTACTGCTTGTCTAGTTTTAAGAAGCCTTTTTGTGCTGGTGCAGCGTAAAGCAATCAACAACCAATCAATCAATCTAGTTTTAAGGCACACATTTCAGGAACAACACAACGGGTGCCACATGCGGAACAGAATATCCATAAGCATCGTCCTTTGGTGTCTCCTGCAGATGAACAACCATATATCTTAACCATATAAATCGAGGTGCACTGCTGGACATAGAAATAATAAAGGGAAAAAATATTCAAGAGTACTTATAATGTATTTTATTATTCATGCTATTTTCATATGTCTATTATAATATCTGTCACATTATATGCTGTACAACGTCTCATGTTTGTTGCTTATATTGTCTTATATAATTAAAATTGTTAATTGTAAATGCCCCCTGTGGGACCCTGATTGGAATAATAAAATATTTGATTTGATTGATTTATTTGATTTAATATATGTGGAGCAGGATCTGCTCGTAGTACCCTTCCGGAGCACCTGAGATCACCCCGGTTTTGATGGGTTTCGTGTTGCTTAGTCTTTAGTTTTCTATGTCGTGTTTTGCAATTGTATATGTTGGGTTTTTTTCAGTCACCTGTAGTATCTTTCTCTCTCTCTCTCTACAGATCAGTAATTTAAAAAAAAACTCAGCAAATATACCAGGCTGAGGATTATAATTTTCAAAGTACGCTAGACGCTGCGGTTCGCCTATATAAGACTCACAAGTGACGCTCGAATATATAAAAAAATAATTAAAAGGCCATATCAAGCACGAAGTTTAAGAAAATAAAGGACCCAAAATTTCCGAAATTTTTTGCCAAATACAGCTTTTACTGCTCAAAGAGAGATAACCTTAGTTTTTTTTTATCACAACGTTTGTTTTTCTCCATACTTGTTATCTTCACTGTATCATATGTACGTTTCCTGTTATGTTCACTAATTAATGTACTGTCATGTTTTCATTCAATATGAGGCAAATATATGTTATTTCCAAATTATATGGCCATCGTGTACAAGATAAATCGATCTCTTGATCATATACTCTGATTGAAAGTCACTTGAGGCTGCATGCATCGTTAAACACTATTTTTAATACAGTCAATGAAGCGTCAAATAAGAATAAACAACATAAGATGATCAGGAGAAAATAAATACTAGCATGAAGAACGAAGACATATGATAACATAAGTATAGATCAGGAAAATAATTATGAAGAACGAGGACAAATGGAGATTTTTATTAGCAGGTGTTTCCAATATGTGTGGCGCTACAGGTAACACTATAGCATGATATAAGATGTATACACGTTATACTGTAATAATATCCTATATTTATATTGCTCATATTTTATTTTATATTTTTTGTGTATTAATTGTGTATTTTCACCGAAAACTCTATGTTTTATATTGATTAGTGTATTATCATGATGTTTATGTATCTTGCCTGACGAGGACCTACATGGGATTAGTAAATAAAATGTCTAACGTCTAATGTCTATACATGTCATTAGAACTTTATGTGTGTGTAATCTATAAAGATGTATTATGTGGTCTTATAACCCCAATAAATCCAGTCGTTATATCTCACTACGATCACTACATTACCGTCTGACCGTAACCATTGAACAATGGTAAACAATTCACACAGGGTATGCAAAGACAGGCAAAAAACTATTTCAGTATAGATATAGTGTCAGCTTATTCAATCCATCTTGTATGAGGAGAAACAAGATTTGTAAAGGATTTGCCTTTTGTCCAATCCCCTTGTTTAAATGTAGATTTGATGTTTGAACAATTCAAGTAATACAACATACAAATTAGTTTGAACATAAATTACGTACCAGTTGAATCCGATTTTTTTTTAAATCTGCCGGTTTCCTAACGTAAATAATCAAATTTCATAGGTTAATACATGTACTGAAGACATTGATTTGTAATTGATTTATCAGTATCACTAGTAAACAAACAAACAAGATAAACTAATATTGAACATAACAAGGAAATTCGATGAGCTGGAAAAAAGGGTTCTAGGTTCAAAAGCTTAATTTGTATATGCATGCTAGCATAAAGAAAAAATAAGCCCCTTTAAGTCGTCTTAAAATTTACAAACAGAACATTTGAAACTCGCAAGTTAAACTCAAAGCAGACAGGGATCTACATGATCAAATCAAAATAATCATTATTAAAAGCACATATATAAGTTTAAACACATAAGAACATAAGCCATTGCTGCCAATAATTAATATACGTTCTACGTACTGACACAAGTTATTTTACACTGTAGTTGTTAGACCTGTTGAACCAAGATAAATGGTCATAGGACAACTGTTAGGTTTGTTTTAATGTTTTCCAAAAAAAAAAAAAAGAGAAAAAAAGTCTGCTTTCTATTCCGAGGCATCTGAGATCACTCTCCCGATTTTTTGGTGGTTGCTCAATTCAGCTTCAATTTCCAAATTATTGCCTCCCTAAAATCTTCTTCCTCACTTTTGTTTTTAACTTATTGCACTGTCTTGTCCCTTTCAGCTACAAATCCATTAGATGTCATTAAAATTCGAATGCAGTTAGAAAATGAACTAACTCGACAAAAAGGACTAGACGTTTTAAGGAATAGGTATTATGAGGGTGTCATCAAAGGTGGGATTCAAATTTACAAAGATGAAGGAATCCGAGGTCTATATAAAGGGTAAGTAAATAACACACAGTTGGAGATAGTCAACCACTTTTAATTACAAAAAAATACATTATGTTAAATCTTTATATATTAAAAGACGAGTAAGTGCACCGGGACGTATGTATACCATGTATGTATGTATGTATACCTCGTATACTGTATGGAATAATGTAGTAAAGAAAAATGAGAAATCTTAGAAGGCGACGTAGAAGAAATTGCTGCCATGGCTACATTGTTTGGCTCTACCCTGGCCAAAACATCGTAAGTCCATAAAATGGTAGTCGTTCATAAACTTAAAACCATTAGTTTTTTTTATTGAAAACGGTTTCACATGTTTCATGTCGGGGCCTTTTCTCATTATTGAAGGCCGTACGGTTGCCTATAATTGCTAACATCCACTTCCTTTGAACTTTGGTGGAAAGTTGTCTCATTGGCAATCATACCACAACTCCTTATTTTTATACAGTTTAGAAATCAGAAAGTTGTTCATACTTATCAAAATTAAATATTTATGACACTAAAAAAGATTTTCAGTTGTCACATTTATCCATGAATGTATAACACCAAACGGTTATCCAGTGGTCAACGTTATGTTTGAAACAATAATTGTTTGATTATTCATTGCAAATTTCACCTGATTTTGTAAAAAGACGTCATAAACAAACGAATTAATGTTAATACGTACCTAAAAGACTAATACTTTCTAGGTAATTTTGGGTTTGGTTGAGAATGTCTTTCGTTTTCATTTCTATTATAGAAAAAAAATATAGAAAAAATTGCCAAATTTCATAAAAGTTGCAGTCTTAAGCCATCTTCAGACGTTAACAATAATTGGGCACATGTTCAAAGTACTCCAAATTTGCAAATCGTTATAAAGTTATAGCACACATGAATCTGCGGTACTGAACATTACGGTAAGCAAAGATAGAGACCAAAGTGCTTCTTGAATATTTTAAGAATTAACTCTTTCACAAATAATGCACACAAAGTAATTAGTATATATATATCCAAACAACGACTGATTTTATATGGTAACTTATTGAACAAAAACATTTTTACAGTTTGTTGCCGTCTATGATGAGAGAAGGTCTCTATAGTGGGATTCGTTTAGGTGCATATGAGCCAATCAAAGTTCTCCTTGGAGCAAAAGATAAAGCACACACACCATTGTGGAAGAAGATTTGTGCTGGCGCCGTATCAGGTATACATTTTTACCGCCCCTTTCCGTACTTTTGTTCTTCCAAGTATCAAGTGGGCTTGCTTTTTAGCTAGGGGTTGCTTGATATCAAAATTGCTCCAATGTAAAGTATATAATTGTCATATGATAACTAATGTGAGAAGAATTTCGTAAATTAAGAGAGATTATAAAGCATAATGTAGCAAAATGTAATTTATATATGTAGGACTCAAATCTATGGTGGGTTCCAGATCTATGGCAGATTCCGAATCTATGGTAAATATGACGTCATGCCATCCCAAATCTATGGCAGATTTTTTAAAATCCTAATCTATGGCAAGTTTTTGTTATTTCCTAATCTATGGCGGATTTTTGTTGTTTTCAAATCTATGGCAGATTTTGTGCAAATGGAGATCAAGGCAGAAAATATACGATCAATGACTTGTCTTAAACAAGTCGAAATGTACGACAACGTGAGCATGTCTATAAACATTTGTGAAATAAACATTCCATAATGTTCAACCAAATCGTGATGGCAACCATAAAATGTCCTAAGTGTAGCAGTGATATACCATAATACAGACTTCGGGATTGAAATGATGTGCCCCATAAAAATAATTATTTTCTAATCTGTGCATGGTACCTGTTTAGCCCATTCATTAAACCAACTAGTAAAAATGGAAGTCCCTTAACAAACAAGAAAGCAGTTTTTTATAAAAAGAATTAAACAGTTTGACTTTTCAAAATTATATTTATTTGAGCGTTAATCAATCTTTTTTAACTGATGACGATTTAAGTCAAAGTGGTATATCCTGTAATTTCATCTCTTTGCCAGCCATAGACGCTAACATATTTACTATAACTCCTTTCCTAAAATATCCACTACTAAAACAGCGGTGCCTTTCTTCATCGCGGGATACGGACGATACAGCACATATTGTCCCTCCTCTGAATAAAAGGTCACACCATCGGCAAATTGTTCTAGAGGGAAAGCGGAAAGTGTTTCCCTGTGCATTTGTTTGTAAAAATATGTGAGCCCCGTGTTAAATATCTGTTTTTGATTTACATTCTACATATAAAAAAAAATCTATATAAAATGGTGTTCAATCTATTGGTTCCGCCATCGTTAGCGGCGGCGACGACGCAATATGGCGTTGTTTAATTGTGACGTTATATATTACTCTTTTTCCCGGAAAATTACAAGATCTGCCATAGATTTGGAGAAAACAAAAAACTGCCATAGATTTGATTTGTTTGGCGTTTGTAACGTCATATTTGCCATAGATTAGGAATCTGCCATAGATTTGGAACCCGCCATAGATTTGAGTCCTACATATATGCAGCATATTGGACCGTTATTACTCAAGTGATATTTTGCTTATGCCAAAAATAAATCTTAAATGTTAATTTCTGAAAATTACCCGATATTAAGGCTTCATAGGTACAAAAGAAAACTTACGAGTCATTATAATTTCTTTTTTAATTACCAACGGACTTAGATTAAATTTTGTGTTAAATCTGGGAACAGTATATATGTTCCTGGTTAAATGCGTATGTTATAATGATTTGATTTTCATATTAATTTTGTTTGGACTTCTAAAATGCATGTATAGAAATACATGTGCAATCACACCCTTTGTTAATCCTCTTTGTCAGAACTATATGTTCTTTTTTTGCTGGTGAACCTAGTTTTCTCCTTTGAAACAGGTGTGATAGGCAGTTCTATAGCAACCCCTACGGATCTAGTGAAAGTTAGGATGCAGGCATGCACTCATGGACATTTGACGGGGGACAAAACACCCCGTTATAAAAGTACGTATTCAGCTTTTGCAGAAATAATTGGAAAGGAAGGAGTAAAAGGATTATATGTAGGTGTTGGACCAACTGTAAAAAGGGCAGCAATTCTTACGGCAACGCAGGTAATGATTAATCAGTATTAGTTTTAATTATAATTTGAAAATAAAAAAAAAAAAAAAAAAAAATATAATATGCTGCCTTTGAAGAGCGTTTCTGAATTAACCTTAATCATTAAGGTACGATTGTCGTAATTAGATCGTTCATTAATGATTCGAAAATTCTAGATGAAAGCTTACGGACGAGAATTGTTTAGTTCGTATGCTGATTGATACAGATCGGCACGAAGAAAAAAACAACAACAAAAAAACAAAAAAACTGAAAGCTAGTTCAAAGTCATTTTGACTAATAAATAAATCATGTTCTCCCAGACTAAAGTATCAATCAGTACACACCCAACGGATTATGATTTAGACGCCATAAACAGTTTGAGAAAATCACGATCTTTTGCAATACCAAAATATAAATTCAATATCGACATGATGCGAGGACCATAATATAAAAATAACAAGATAAGTTTGCATAAATGTAAAGCAATACATATTTAATCATGTTTTAATCTATCAAAAACAAAATCAATGTTATTGTCGGTAAAACCATATCCAAAGATCTTACTATGGTGTTAAAATGATATATCCTCTCAGAAAAAGTTCATTCAAAGGATAACATGAATCGTATTTATTTAAGTTAACGAGCTTTATGAACAACATTACCGTAAAAATTAGGTTGATATCAGAATTTCACAGGTGCAGCCAAACTTTGAATCCACATCTTAGTCTATGCAAGAACTTAGCAAAAATAACTATGGTAATTGGAATCCTGACTTGTCAAATTCATGATCACCGATTTGACTTAAATTCTCAAGGGAACACCACCGTCCTAAAAAGGAAAATTAACAACAGGAAAGGAAAAATCGTCTTATCGTATTTTTTTTAATTTTCCCGTGTAAAACAGAAATATCCAAATATAGAAAAGAACATGTTTGCTGTTAATATTAGATTTTATTGAAGTAAGTTCCACCATTATTCAGTAAGCAGCTGTGGCTGTCTTGTCTGGCCTCCTGTAGTAAAGCGAGCTCATTTGGTGCTGCATTCCAATTTCACTTTTACCCGTGACATGCAGTTTATAAGTTGTAATTGGATATGAGTATAGATAACACAGGCTTTTTAATTGATCTTTAAAACCATTTCTTTTTGTTAAAACCATTGTACATTTGACTTGTTTTTATGTATTTTGAATTAAATTTACTGTTAGACAGTTTTATAGTCGCGAGTAAAATGGTTACAAGAAAGAAACAAAAGGAGGATGGGAGACAGTTCAAAACAGAATTATGCTACTAAAAACTGCTCGTTCACTGCTTCCATGTTTTTTCCTTCTCTTTTGTATAGATCCCAAGTTATGATCATACTAAGCACACGATACTGAACTTGAAATGGATGGACGAAGGGCCACAACTACATGTAATATCATCTATGGTAGCTGGTTTCATGGCAGCACTTACTACCTCGCCAGTAGATGTCGTCAAAACTAGAATCATGAACCAGAAATACGAACGTAAGAAAACTATACTTTCCGGGTTGTTCAATTATTTACATTTTTTTTTTATGATTGCCATGGCAATCAGTGACTCAGGATAAAAGTGTTATACATAATCCGTCATTCGAAATCCAAGAGTCGTCCGTCGGAATTTTATTATTTACGTCTGTAGATATTGTGCGGATATATAACGTTTAAAAGTCAATATCAGCTAGTTAAAGATCCTGCATGTTTCTTTTCGGATAACCTATTTTTCGAAGAATTATTTTGGTCCTTGGAATTTGGTAGCAGGTTGAACATGAGGAAGCGGTGGAGGTTATGTATCGTACCGAAACATATACTGATAAAGTTTTATAACTTGTCGTAAATCAATTTAAAATATTGATGTTATTGAGTATTCCCCAAAAAACTTTTTTTTTAAATTTATCAATTTACCGAACATGGATGTTATATCAGATGTTATATCAGAGAAGCGAAGGATACCAAAAGGGACATTCAAATTCACAAGTCCAAAATAAATTGACAACGCCATGTCTAAAAAGAAAAAGACATACAAACACCAGAACGCAAAACACAACATAGAAAACCAAAGACTGAGCAACATGAACCCAACCAAAAAACGGGGGTGATCTCAGGTGCTCGAACTCAAAGGAAAATTCAAACGGAAAGGTCCTTACCAAATGGCAAAATGTAAAGCTCAAACGCATAAAACGAATTGAAAGGAACTGTCATTATAAGCTCTGGAGATAATTTAACCGAATACACAAACATCTACAACAACATAAAAACATATTTATGCAATCAAACTTGAAACAGAGAAAGCCGACACAAAAAAAGTAAGCTCGTTTTGACATGACAAATCAATATTTCATAATCAATTTAAAATCCTTAAGGAGAGTGAAAAACGAAATGAGTATGGCAAACATTATCTATATTAATGATAAAATAGTTTGGTCAATGCATGGGATTTGAGAGATTGTTGTGTTTTTCAGATCATCATCAGAAGGTTTATACGGGTACATTTGACTGTTTGATGAAAATTGTCAAAACAGAAGGATTTTTGGGACTTTATAAAGGATTTATACCTAACTGGATGAGAATTGGTCCTCATACCGTTATATCATTTTTTATATTCGAACAGTTAAGACTATTTGTTGGAATGGATCCTGTTTGATGTAAGAGAGGACTAGGAGTGTTTTGCAGTTTAGTGTTTGACGCTTCTCAGGAAACACATAAACAGTTTAATCCACGAGATATTTTTATCCATATACATGTATATTAAGTTTTTTTTTATATTTAAAGTAATTTTTAACTCATTTGGCAGAAGGGAAGAGTGAGCTGATGCTATCACTTAGCGTCCGTCGTCCACCGTTCAAATTTTTTATTTCAAATATCTTCTCGTCAGAAACTACTTATCTAATTCAAAACTTAACAATTATCATCCCAAGGGTGTCTATAGTTTAGTGTATTAAACATATTATAGTCCATGGACCAACAAAGTTGCCATAGTTAAAATAGAACATAAGGGTAAAATGCAAGTACACATCTAATATATATATATAGATACAGGAAATCTTACCGGAACAAGTATGTCCAAAGTGTCAAGATCTATCTTCTGCATATCTACTCCCCAAATTATCGAGCACTCCTTAAAGGAGATTTTGCTTTTAATTGATCCATGTTGAACAATAAATGCAGTTCTTCTTTGTGTGTTCAGCTGTTAATTTGTGTTATTTAGATTTATCAACCTATATGGCCGCCATAACAAAGGGTTTAATTTCCAATAATTTTCTTATATATATCTCAAAATCTATAGCAGCAAAGTAAATTATGACATGGGCCATGGACAGTCAATTTCTGTTGTAACTCCATCAAATCTGTCAGACGATTCCTTATTGGAATAATGAATTTTACAATTCTAGCAGTTTTCAAAATTATCTTTGAATAAATTGAATTGAGATCTGAACAGTATTTCATTTGTCGTTTTGGTGACTGCTTAGCGGAAGGCCATTTGATTTTGTGGTCAGAGGAGCTTGTGATTGTTTATCCTGATTTGTCTTCAATATTGTATATTTTTGCCAGACGGGAGCGATTCAAGATACTTGAAGCCTTTTGTTTTTACATACTTGTTGGGTTTTTTTATACAATTATATTTCAAGAAATTAATTTTATTTACGGAATGTGTATAACAGAGAGATATAGAGAGAGAGTGCAAACTGGTACATGTATTTAATATTTTTGGCTCTCGTACTCTTATACCTTAACAAAAATGCAGGCGGAGTAGCAGGTTCAATGTACGTATTACAGGGAATAGACGAATCATATTTAGATAGAATCGTAAAAAGTATTTGGATTTTTTTTTTTTCATAGTGAAGAAGATCGTGGAGTTTACCGGGAAAAAGTACTTATATCAAGGGAACCAATGACCTCGGAGGTACTAAGCACTTTGGTTCTATTTGGAAAAGATTTCTAAAGGTTTTTATTTTTCAAATTGTTGCTTATGCTGTGTATAATGGGTTTTCTGTAATGATTGCCAATTAGACAACTATCAACCAAAAGACCAAAAGACAAAGATGTAATCAACTACAATTCACCGTGCGTACAGCCTACAATCATGCTTCTTTTAAATTCATACTGACACACTTTTCAATATTATGCATGAATACCAGAGGCAGTTTAAAAGCTCTATGGACATCTTGTTAGTCATTATAAAAGTGTTTGACATACTTTGTCAGTATCAAAACACAATGAAATTCTAATCTGAAGAGATGAAAATGGTGACACAGACTTAACTTTTGGTTCGCATAGTGTTGTTGGCTTGATACCCAGTATCTCCATATATTGATTATTCACTTGTATCATAGTAAGATGTCATACTGACCATGACATAATAAGGTTAATCGTGGTAATGTAATAATTTTCAGAAAGGTTTATGGTTGATACAGGCTTTTAGGACAGGTCCCCCTTTTTCTTTTCTTTTTTAGTGGTGTTTAAGATTTTTTGAAGAAATATTCTTTAATAGTTAAGCTTAGTTACTCTAATTTCGCGTATTTTCCCTTATTTCATTTGTTAATGTTGTTATCCAAACAATCTTACAATAGCTGTACCTTTTATATACATGCTGGCCTTCTACTATTATTTTCTACAAGGCAGGAAAGAACTGCTCGCCTCAGGTACATTTCATGCACCATATTTCCATCGTACACGTATTCACGTCTATTATTTAAAATTTCAGCAAACTATTCGATTCTTCGTGTATATATGTTAAAATATACATTGTATAAGATAAATTTGAATGGACTGACTAGCTACCCCAGCACGACGGATAAAGTGTACACATTCTCGTCTCCGGTACTGAGAGAAAAAAAAGGTCCTGTTACTTAAAAAAAGACAGGTATATGAATATGTGACACGGTTTTTTTGTCTCAGACTTTCAACATAATATCAATGGTCAGTAAAACAGGCGAGATATTTCAGCGTGTGCACTCTTGTTTAGATATCTTAACTCTCGTCCTCTTCCTTTCGATCAGTGACTAACAAAAGGTACAACACATATATACATTAAAAATCGGTACACGTAAAACACGCAATTCGTGAATATAACGGATAACAAATCACACCGGTGCACGCACGAAAATAAACAACATTATACCGTATCAAAGAATGCTCAAAGTTAATGATGCAACTCCAACGTACTAAACATGCTGATAGGAAACCCGGCCGCCCTACTCTCTAATTTCGTGCTGTACTTCTTATATAATTATTACCTATATCAATAGGTGTATAACGACAAAGACCAAGATTTGAAGGACAATTCAGACTTATAGTTGTTACTTTGGTGATAATATTGAATAACAAAGAAACTGTTTCATATTTGTTTTTGTAATTATCTAAAATGATTTGACGTGACTATGCAGTATTTTTTTTTCTGTGTCCATAATCTGATAATGTATTGCCTTAACATGCTGGAGTCTGATTCAAATAAGGAGGCAACTTCAGTGGATGCAAATTAATTAAGTAAAACAAGGTAAGCTTATTAAAAAATGTTCATGTACTATTACATTTGAACTAGCCAGAACAAAGGCAAACCAGTCATAGAAAAAGAAATTACAACAATCATTGTTTCAGGGGGAAAGACAATTTACAAACTGACAAATCAAAATTTTAGAATTGCCTCTGGTCGAAATGTTTATTATAACTACGGACGGGTGGACGACGGACGCAAAATGATGACAAAAGTAAGTCGGCAGAACACTTAGATTTATCGATATCAAACCAATCACAAGATATGAGCAAAAGCGAAAATAAGTTTTTCTTTTTCTGATTGACCGATGCAATTTATTTTGTAAATCGTTTGTACATTTTTTTTTTATCGTTCAAACGATTGTAAAACCGTACAAACGATTTTTTCAAAATTCTGCAAATGAATTTTTTTTAAAGTGTACAAACGATTTTAAACACCCGACATCTATGATCTAAACGAATTTAAAAATGCATTTTAAAATGGAACGAATACTCTGTCGTATATTGGACATTAAATGACTTGCAACAAATTGTAAACGCTGTGCAGTCGAGTAGACTGGCAGTAAATGGGAAAGAGAAAATAAAAATTCGTCTAAGGAGCGTGCCAAAATATACTAAAACGTTAAACTGTGTCACCGCAGTAATCAAGTCCTAACCCTTAATCTGTGACTTCGTACAAAGATCATGTACACGCAGGGAACTAGTACAAAGTATGGAGAATTTTAACACACTTCCCCTGAAAAAGGGACGCAATATGAAAATACATTTTTATTGCTAGAGGAAAGCTCCAGGCTTGCTAGAATTTTGACTCACCTTTTTAGAATCGGAGACAAGAGTTTCCTTTCATAGACCGATATCCCAAAAGGTATCGTGTCCTAAAATGCCTTTAGTGGTCTAGACAGTACAGACCAACCGCCTTTATTAATTAGGAAACTGTCAATCTAATTAAAATTAATATCTATATTAACTCGCAGGCTCGTAAATGTAAGAGTATAACGAAATGATCGGAGATACATATTTTAATTAGATTGGGAAACTGGCCAATCTAATTAAAATATAGAACTCGGATTTCGTTATACTGCATACGAAATCCGAGTTCTATATTTTAATTAGATTGGGAAACTGGCTAACTGAAAGAAAAGCTTGATCCGCCGCTAGCCGACAGCCTAGCTTTTCTTTCATACATGACGGAAAATGGGAACACTCCAGACTGAAAACTGTTTGAGTCACCAGTACATGTTATATCATGCCTTTACAATTTACTGTAAATGTGTTTAAATGTGCTAATGCATATTGTCTACTGTCTATAAGATTAGACATTTTGCACGGTTCTTTGATAAATAAATAACTTTCAAATTATGCTTTTTAAATAAAAATTGTATAACATCATGAAAGCAAGGACTAACGTGCTACTCGTCTTAGGTATGACTACTTTATAATCAGTGACGTTAGAAAGTAACCCCTAATATGGCGACAGTTACTATGTATGATAGAACATCTTATATACGTCCATGGCACAGGCACTTGTCTCAGAAAAAAATTTCCTATATACCTTAAGATAACATAGGAATTTTTTTTCTGAGACAAGTACCTGTGGATAAAAGTCATGAATTTGACAGACACAAATAAATTAAAATGGCCGCGTGATATAGATATAGCACTAGAAATTAATAGTTACACACACTAAAATGATTTACATGTGTACTAAAAATAATTCAAAAAATAAAATTATGAAAATTGTCATGATATTTTGATAATAGACTAGATTATAATGAGTGAATTATATAAACTAGATTATCACTGCAGCCTAATATCCTAGGATGGCCCACAAAATTTATTGAAACTTATTTCCAGTGGGGTCCTTTCTGAGGCCGGTCCTTTGAATAATTTTATTGAGTAGACGGGCGACACACATTATTTGCTGTCAATGTAAATTGGTTAAGTAACTGCAAGAACATAATAAATAAAGAAATTATTTTGAAAAAATTTGCAACATAGAACGAATTGACCCATTCTTCATATTGGGGACTCAGTGGCGGATCAGAAATTTTCATCATGTAAGGGGGGGGGGGACTAACTGCCCGCTCGAGTCATGCTTCAGTGATTCCCTATATAATCAACCAAATTTTTCCCACAAAAGGGGTGGGGGGGGGGGGGGGCGGACCCCTGATAAACCCTCTAAATCCGCCCCCGGGGGTGTGTGTCACAGTTAACCAATCAGAAAACAGAGTTAAAACATAGAACTTAGTGTGTCTTAATTAGGTGAACTCTAAAAGGTAGACTGTGATTGAAGTTTAAATTTAAATTCCTTATCTATTGCAAAAAGAAGCTAATGAATGTTAACCAAGGCAGCAATATTAATTAGATCTGAGAAGCTAAGAAAAGGAAAGTCGATTCTGTTATCGGGATCGATTAAAAAATTAGTCTGTTCTCAGCCTGGGTTCCAGTCGATGACGTCCTACTCTCTGTTTACAAACAACCAAAGAATCAGTTTAAGATGGCATCGGCCTTGCGAAGGTTGAAATGGGAAAAGTTTAGGTTTCTTAATAATGTACGAATTTAGCATTCTTTAAATACAATTGCAATGAATCAAAATTATCTGTGGATGTAAAATATTTTAAAACAATCTGTTGTTATTACTGCTATGACTAAAAACAAACACTAGGGTAGGTGGTTGCGATCCAGGATCCATGCATTTGTGTTTCAAAGCGTCTGCTCCAATTTGACTTCATTGTCTTGGAGTGGAATTTAGTGTATTTGCAATAAGGGTCCGCAGATGGTCTGACTAATTACCGACTACTACACTCCCCCAGTTTTTATTGAAAAAAAGACGTGAAACACTGAGGATTTTTTAATTTCACCCACAAATGAATGAAAGTAACCATAAATTATTTGTAACAAATACACATTTAAAAATAAAAAAATGAGTATTTTATTTACATCTCTATCCTTTTCACAGGCACTGTTGACATCCCAATACTAGCCAAAGAATTTCCATTTGTCAGTGATACCTGTCAACTTTTCAAAACCTCCAAGGGGGCTTTAGCTCAAGATGACCTTGTGCATGTTTTGTACATGTATAAAGTATATTAAATAAGATATACTATGATTTTAAGGAGTATATTATACATGATATATGTACTTTAATGTCATTCAACTCATTTGAGTAACTTTTTTGAGGTATTAATTTCATATAATTGATTTAAATAGTCAGACCAACATCTCCCATGGGGGATATCCCGTATAAATCGGGACAGTTGCAAATCTGCATGTACTCCAAGATTAACTCACTCTGTCCTAACTTTAAGCACTTGGTTCTTAACCAGAAACTCATCTTGCTACTTGACATGCTTAATGTAGGAGAATGCTGATATATTAATATCTGTTTGTGATCTGATTGATGAAGGCAAAATATAGATCTAGCTTCTCTGCAATAGGCACGAGGATGGCATGGTGGTTACCTAGACTCACCAATACTAATAATGTTCCTTTTTGTATTTATTTTATCTTTGACAATCAGAATTATTCCCATATATGTTTAATATTAAAAAATTTCTATTTGGTACTATGCTTATTTGGGCATGTCATTTAGCATCATCCCTTGGTGTCTCTTGCAGTTGGGTCACCTTACAATATGTATCAACCCCTCTACATCAGACACAAGGATGACATGCCAGGATTGTGCATCTGCTCATAACATTTTAACCAAGTTGTTTATTTACATACATGTATACATGTACCATGTGCGTCTATCTCCCACCTTGCCATGCAGCACCGTCCCTTGGTGGCTTTTGCAGTTAAGTTACATATATCCAACAAATTGCCAATTTACTAAAAAGTATGTTGGGGTGTTCAAACTGCCTTTTCTTTTCTTTGTATGTATACTTAATTATTGTTTTGTGTTGTTGTTTGAATAATGTCTTAAATTGTAATATGCTCTTTGTAAGCTTATTAAATGGAAATAAAACATCTTCTACTTCTATATGGACTGGCGATTCTTGGGCCAGTATTGGGATGTCAGAGGTGCCTGTTCATGTCTTCTTAACTATGAAGTCCAAATAATTATGACTTCTTGTAAGTCTTATTTTTTTTTTCTTCAACTTCATAACATCACATGTACAGCAATTTTTCTTCGACTGGACTTGGTGAGCTTTTTTTTTATCTCAAATTTGAGACCCAATTTTACCATGAAATTTTCACTGAAATGTTTGCATACATACAAATTCTTACCTTTTCTTTGAGTATTGATGCAAAATATTTCCTAAAATATCCATTGAATATAACGATGAAATAAGTTACAATTTCAGTCAAGTGGAGGATGACTAAATTTTTGTTTAAAATATTTCCCAACATTCTTTACTTGAGAGAGTATAAAATAAATCTACAAAATAAACTCCATAAAATTTGATGGAACTAAATATCTGGAATGGTCAATTTATTCTATCTGTAAAATTGGGTTTGTCAAAATTTATGGAGTTTGATTTGTAGATTTATTTTATACTCGGTATATATCATCTTTTAAATTAAATGGAAGATTTAACCTAATGCATAAGCATATATAAATGGCAGTATCATTTCTTTATGTTATTTTTAAAAGTAACATATATTGTATATTAGATGCAAATGTATATGTTTTTGGAAACCATCAAAACTACAGCAGACAACATTTTACAAATGGTAATGAAATAAATGGAAGCATTTGGAGGGCTGATTTACATAGATATATATGGATTGCCTAACAATAAAATTGAGAATGGCAGAGCTCCAGATAAGAATTCACAAATTGGGGTTTTTACCCACCATTTTTTTATGTAATTGGGTGATAAAGTTTTTAAATTGCATTATCAATTCCAATTCACCCCTCAAGCAAATATCAAATTGGGTTTTTCACCACCAAGCCCCTTAATGTATTGGGTTTTTTCATCAACACAATATTGAATGTTTAGGCATGTTATAATCACATTATATCAACCCCATGCAGATGTTTTTCCATCTTAAGGTGGTACCTAACACTACAGGGAGATAACTCTGTAAAAATCAGCTAAACGTTTTAATTACGTTGTATTGTCAAGGAAATATTAAGCTTCTCAATGATCAAAATTAGTGTTTGTCAAACTGCTATATAACCAGTGTAATTTTTCTGATAAAGTGGTTGGTTCAAATTTTTTGAAATTTTTATATTTCTGTCAAAGGGTCAAAGTAAACATTTTGTCAAAATTTTATGAAAATTAAACGAGCCAAATTAATATTAGTCAAGGTGTTGGGTACCACCTTAAATGTGTTTCTTTCTTTGTATATATGCTAGCTGTTTTATTTGGTTTATTCACTGACGAACAATTGACGTTTAATTTGTGTCCGATTTTAAACGTTCTGCCAGTTTTGTATTTTATCACAACTTATATAAACTGCAGCTGGTGTCACTAGTTGGACAGTTACTAATTACCTTTCTAGATCCCATATGATCACCCCACAGTTTAGTTGGGGTAGGCGTGGCTAAGTGTTTAGATTTTTATGTAATATATGTGAAATTTAGGTGCTGTAAGAAAGTTTTGCCAGTCCTTTCACCTATTTGCCAGATCTACTTTTTAATAAAAATAATAAGTAGTTCCCAGATTTAAGATATACCCCAAAACCTTGACCAGCTTTATAGGTTTAATGACGGAGACCACATTCAACTTAAATTTACGGAGTTAAATTTACAAATAATTCTGCAACATCAAATAAATAAATGACAATGTGAAACTGCACTTGCCAATAAGACAACTATCATAAGCATACAGAACAATAAGACCAAAACAAAGAAAGTGTCAAGATGCATTGACGTAAAAACGGATATGTCATTATGTGTATTCACTCATCAACTAAAATGAAAAAAATAATATATAAACTAAAATTATACTTGAATGTTTTTGTTTAATTTAATTTACATAAACCAGGGTTAACTTGTCCCAGCTGATTAGAACGTTTGGTTTCTGATGCTTTCCAACTACATATATCGTGTCATAATTGATTTGGCCTTTCACTGTTTCCAACTGATTTCGTTCTTGACAAAACCCTGTGTTTATCGTTCTAGCAATGTTCTCGTTAAAGTACGCAAACGGGTCTTGTTATCATCATAATAACTTTCCCTAAAGTATCAAAAAGAAGCTGAAAACATGCTTCTATTCAATATTTTTATCGGATATTTACTTTCGTTTTAATTCATTGTATGTTATGATAAATCCCGAGCAATTCGAAAAAAATATGACAACAAGATAAACGCTAATTGGATAAACGCCGAGAAGATCGAAATGTTTTCATAAACACGTGTATATACCTTTTGAGCAACGGAAAATTCCAATAGGGACCCATTTCGGCTACTTGATGCAGGGCTCTATTTTTAGAACGAAAGGACATTTCCAATTATAAATATTATAAAAATAGATTTACCCGACGACTGTAATCAGATAAGGGTAAATAACGCAAACGATAGCGAATAAAAGCGTTAAGAACTCATGGTTTTGGCATATAATTGGGTTTTCCTTTGAATGAATTGGGTTTTTGAACCCTGCAATGGGCAATTGCATTGGGTTTTTAATTATTTTTATTGCGTGATCACGCAAATACGCAGCTTATCTGGAGCTCTGTGAATGGAAATGGGGAATGTGTCAAAGAGACAACAACCTGACCATAGACATGATAGAGCAGAAAACAGCCGAAGGCCACCAATGGGTCTTCAACACAGCAAGAAATCCCACACCCGGAGGCGGGCTTCAGCTGGCCCCTAAACAATAATGTGTACCAGTTCAATGAAAATGGACGTCACACTAAACTCCAAAACATGTAAATGAACTAAAAATAAAAAACATACAAGACTAACAAAGGCCAGAGGCTCCTGAATTTGGACAGGCGCAAAAATGCAGCGGGGTTAAACATGTTTTGTGAGATCTCAACCCTCCCCCTATACCTCTAGCCAACGAGTATGAACAAACACACAGCAATATGCACAGTAAAACTCAGTTTAAAAGAAGTCTGAGTCCGATGTCATAATAGGTAACAAAAGAAACTAAGCAAAATGACAATGATACATAAATTAACAAAGGACTACTAGCAGTTACTGACATGCCAGCTCCAGACCTCAATTAAACTGATTGAAAGATTATGTCTTCATCATATGAAAATCAAGCACAATTAGGGGTTTAGTATCATACCATCATGAAATATATAAGAAGAACATAAACCGTATAATGCCAGTAATGGGTTTTAGAATAAATGTGTTTATTTCGGATGCAAAGACCCTATGAGTGAATCAGTATTAATACCAAAATATGCCATTTTTGAATGACCTGACAACAGTATCGTAACTATATCCCTTCTGAATAAGTCTGTTTAAAGGTTTGGTTAGCTTTAATTTTGAGGTGAATGTCGACATTTTTGTGCTTTATATAGAATATTACCATAAAAGATTGGATGTGAAATACCTGAAGGTATAAGATGTCTGCATGTTGATTTATATTTAAGAATGATGTCCTTGTACCGATGATAAAATTTAGTAAATGGTTTGACTAGTTTGTGATATCGAAAACCCAGGTGTGATAATTTTTCAGTAATACAGAGATTTCTTTCGTTATATATTTTTTGCACACTATTTGATACGTAAAATATTTATAATGTGATGTCAAATTAAAAGCTGTCACAGACATAATCCAACATATGGTAGAAAACATGTACAGGTATTATATAGTATGGAGAATGAGACTGTATTACAAAAAAAATATGATTTGATAAAAAGATATAATACCTGTACACATACCTGCTAACTTTTCCAAATCTCCATTGGGGATTTTTAGTACAAGAGGATCTAATGCATACCTATACATGTCATTAGTGTACTTAATTAGAACATCTATGGTTCAGAATGAGTATACATGTGTCTAAATGTATTTGTTACTCCTCTGAAAGCCTTTTTAAAAGTATTTAGTGTAAATAATTGAGTTTTATAAGGGTCTGGGTAACACCTCTCATGGGGATATCCCCCATAAAGCAGGAAAGTTGGCAGGTCTGTGTACATTACTGTAAGGAAAAGTTCAGAACAAATTGAAATGTATACATGTATATATTTTGTAAATCTTTTTTAAAATTATTTTGCAGTTGTCAAAAAGAAAGAGCAGTTGCAAACAAAATCATACAAGGACAATTTGTCAAAGAAAAACAAATCAGTATGTCTGTCACAGTCAGCTAGTACTCTGCAGGACTTTTCATTGGTCTCCAGGTAAGTACATGGACATAACATATTAGCTTTTTGTTACTTTGTAAGTAGTTCAATAACCTTTATTAGAAGGAGGTGCAAGTATGATAACATCCTCTATTTTGTTCCTTATATCAATGAAGAAATTAAATATAAGGGTTTTTTAAAATCTTTTCAAAATTATTTATTATTATTACCATATGAACAATTCAAATGACTTGGCCATTTCATTTGACAAGTGTTAATTATGAAGTGACCATGACTTCATAATGATATACAATTGGTCTTTTTTCTCTATTTGTTTACATAAGTTTTGTCTAGTATTTTCAGAAATTGTTCTGCTGATCAATGTCATCACAGCTTCTGTTTATTTATTTTTTACAGTTTGTCATGAATTAGTACAGTTTAAACTTGCTGATATAGGTGAAGGAATAAGGGAAGTACAGCTGAAAGAATGGTATGTTATCAAAATAATCAAATAATGAAATTTTACATCTATGGTTTTTATTTAGTTTTTATACAACTACAAACTCTTTTAAAAAAAGTGTTATGGTATGCATTTTGTTCATCCATTGGTCTGTCTGTTCAGGCATATCAATACTTTCCAGTTTAGCTTTCATGACAACTAGCTTCCTTTTGATTTAAATGATTTTCAGTATAGTTATTCCCAGTGGGAATTACTTTTAAAAAACCACCCAGTTTTTAGCTCACCTGGCCCATAGGGCCAAGTGAGCTTTTCTCATCACTTGGCGTCCGTCATCCGGTGTCCGTAAACTTTTACAAAAATCTTCTCCTCTGAAACTACTGGGCCAAGTTTAACCAAACTTGGCCACAATCATCATTAGGGTATCTAGTTTAAAAAATGTGTCCGTTGACCCGGCAAACCAACCAAGATGGCCGCCATGGCTAAAAATAGAACATTAGGGTAAAATGTAGATTTTGGCTTATATCTCTAAAACCAAAGCATTTAGAGCAAATCTGACGTGGGGTAAAATTGTTTATCAGGTCTAAATCTATCTGCCCTGAAATTTTCAGATGAATCGGACAACCCGTTGTTGGGTTGCTGCCCCTGAATTGGTAATTTTAAAGAAATTTTGCAGTTTTTGGTTATCTTGAATATTATTATAGATAAAGATAAACTGTAAACAGCAATAATGTTCAGCAAAGTAAGATCTACAAATAAGTCAACATGACCAAAATGGTCAGTTGACCCCTTAAGGAGTTATTGCCCTTTATAGTCAATTTTTTAACCATTTTTTGTATATTTTTACAATCTTTTACAAAAATCTTCTCCTCTGAAACTACTGAGACAAATTTAACCAATCTTGTCCACAATCATCATTAGGGTATCTAGTTTAAAAAATATGTCTGATGACCCCGTCTGCGAACCAAGTAAAAAATAGTACATATGGTAAAATGCAGTTTTTGGCTCATATCTCTGAAACCAAAGCATTTAGAGCAAATCTGACATGGATAAAATTGTTCATTAGGTCAAGATCTATCTGCCCTGAAATTTTCAGACCAATCAGGCAACACATTGTTGGGTTGCTGCCCCTGAATTGGTAATTTTAAGAAAATTTTGCAGCTTTTGGTTATCTTGAATATTATTATAGATAGAGATAAACTGTAAACAGCAATAATGTACAGCAAAGTAAGATCTACAAATAAGTCAACATGACCAAAATTGTCAATTGACCCCTTAAGGAGTTATTGCCCTTTATAGTCAATTTTTTACAATTTTCATAAATTTTGTAAATTTTTGTAAATTTTTACCAAATATTTTCCACTGTAACTACTGGGCCAAGTTCATTATAGATAGAGGTAATTGTAAGCAGCAAGAATGTTCAGTAAAGTAAGATCTACAAACACATCACCTTCACCAAAACACAATTTTGTCATGAATCCATCTGTGTCCTTTGTTTAATATGCACATAGACCAAGGTGAGCGACACAGGCTCTTTAGAGCCTCTAGTTTATAATGCTGATGATACTCATGTATGCTTCTCCCTATAATATGAAATTCTTTGACAATGTCAAAACTAATAGAAATAAGCTTCCTTTACATTTTGACTTTAACTGTCCAGAATTAGATAATATTTCATATTTGTTACAATAAATCTAGTATGTTTTCATGAATCCTTTTAATTATTTTGGTAGGTGTCACTGATGTTATTTGATTATTTGATGTTTCATCAGGCCAAACGTGGATTAGCTATTTCATCATGTAGGAAGTTAAAAATTTATCAAAGCATTACCTCTTACACTTGAGGGGGATGTAGTGAAATTTATCAGAATCATTTCATACAACATGCAGTTGTGGAAGGAACACTTTCATTATCATACTAATTTATTGAGTCCCCACTGCAAAATGTGTTAGTTTTGTATAGTTTGCAAATACAAAACTTCCACATATTATATTGGAATGGAATATTAATGGAACTGCTTCATACTACATTACATTTTTGTATGTGCAGTTGTATAAGATAGTTTTTTTTATTCATCAAATTCATATTTGCCATAGTACATTTTCATAAATAGTCTCTGACATTTTTCTTTGGAATACATTGAAAATTGGACAGAATGCAATATATATGTATTGGCCTTTTATTTTTTTGAAGTTGAACAGATGAATTTTTTGAGTTTTGTAATGACCACAAAAGAAAAATGGAATGAAACTTCATGGAATCACTTCATACTTAATACCAAGTGTTGTTTTGCACTTTTATTATGTTGTGATGGATTAATATTCGGATTAATAATATCAAACACAGATTTGACCCTTTCTTGAAGAAGTTGACCTTGCAGAATCTCATACAATTTACACAAGTCTTGTTAGAATGGAATGGAATGGACAGAGTTGCTTTATAATTTATATAATTGTGCACTATTAAGTGTTGTGTGAATCAGATCAGAAGAAATGAGGCAGACCTGCGTTTTTATTTAAATTTTAGGTTTGTAAAAGTTGGTGACCATGTGAGTCAGTTTGACAGTATCTGTGAAGTACAAAGTGATAAAGCTACAGTGACAATCACCAGCCGATATAAAGGCATAATCTCTAAACTCTATTATGATGTGGATGATATCGCATTAGTTAGTACACCATTGGTTGATATTGAAACAGATGCTGATTCACCAGGTATGTCTAGCTTGATTACTTTTATATCCATTCATCGCCAGATGCTATAATGTTTCATGTTGAATCTGTTTCTGCTGAATAATGTCCTATATCAACTGTCTTGAGTAAAGTTATGAACACATTGGTACACATTAGTAAGAACAAACTTTATTTATATCTCATAATATTATGAGAAAAAAGTTATTTAATTTACCTAAAAAGAATAACAACAATGACCAGCAGCTGTTGGTTGAATACTTCCTCACAAGAAAGAACAATCCAGAAACAACCCTTCTTACAGGTTTCATGTGCTCTGATCATGAAATTCAATTGGAATTGGCAGAATTTGTGAGAGGCTTGTAAGTGTTTAAAAGACCATTTCAAAAAGAACCATTTTAACTGAATTAGTTAGTATATCAAGCCTGTAGCTATTACTGAAGAAGGATGTATGAAATTCCCATAAGTTAATCTATCATGCTTCAATATTTTATACAACGGCAAAAAATTTTGCGGTCGTATATTGGTATCACGTCGTTGTCTGCGTCGTCCGAAGACATTTGGTTTCCGGACAATAACTTTAGTGTATGTAAATAGAAATCTATGAAATTTAAACACAAGGTTTATAACCACAAAAGCAAGGTTGGGATTGATTTTGGGGGATATGGTCCTAACAGTTTAGGAATTAGGGGCCAAAAAGGGGCCCAAATAAGCATTTTTCTAGTTTCCAGACAATAACTTGTGGAAAGGTGTATGGATCTCTCTGAAATTAGACCACAAGTTTCCATTCCACAAAGGGATGATTAGGATTGGCTTTGGGGGGTTATGGCTCAAACCGTTTAGGAATAAGCTTGTTTAACATCCGGTGGCAAATCTTTCACTCATATAGGCAGGATGACATCACAGTAGAAAGTAATTGTGAGAAGTACCTTTTAATATCATTTAACTACAAGAAACATTACATTTAAAAGCCAGATGTACACATGAGTAAAAGTTTTTGCAATCTGGAAAATCAATGCCTTATGCAATTGGATAGTAGTATTAAAGGGGCACTAGCTACGAGATATATAAAAAATATAAAATTTTTTTGTTCAATCATTAATGAAAGTGAAATAGTGAAATAATATATCGCTTTTAGCAGCCAGTATGGTTCAATTTTGTCAAAATAAGCTAAGAAACATTGAGGATGAATTATTCACTTGTAAGTGAATAATTCTACCTCATTGAAACCGTATTCATGTGAACTTCAATTTAACCCCTTGGCTAGAGTTGGATACCGCATGCATTGTGTGTGTTCAATTACAAATGTATTTAAAGGAAAAGAATGTCAACATTGAAAGTGAAACAAAGGTAAATCATTTGATTGACTGATTCGATCCACAAAAAATCATTCTTATACAGGTAAAAACGATGATGAACATATATTTTTAATCTATAATATTATAAATATTAAATTAAACAGACCTAGAAAAATCCAAATGCACGATTCTGCTATCTATTTATATCTTTATTTATGTTTATATCGCTTATATGGCAAACGGTGGTCTTCGGGGGTCAACTCGACAGTTAATTAGATGGCGTCTAGACTTAAATACACACTAAACGAAGCTACATATTATCTGGCCCATGCCAGGAATATTGTTTATTTTAGACTTTTTATAATTTTGATAAATGTTTTACATTGTTATAAATCAAATATGAGAATTTGAGTCAAATCGGTAATGTAATCATGATCAATGTCAAACTATGTAATTCAGGTACAACACAGAGTGGTTCATCATCATCATCATCAGAAGTGTCAAGCTCATCAGATGATGAACATTCTATGCAGAGGATACGCGGACGGAAGGTTTTGGCAACACCTGCAGTCCGCAGACTTGCCATGGAAAATAAGGTAAATAATAATAAAGATATATATATACAATATTAGGTCAATGTCAGAAAAAGATTAACTTTTTTGTATGAGGCTTAGAAACTGGGAAAGGGTGAGGTTTACCAGCCCTTCAATAGTTTCGTGCCAGATACAATTAAGTTTTTACTGAGCCCTTCAACAGTTTCATGCCTAATACAAAAAAGTTGATATTTTTCTTACATTGACCTAATATTGTTTTTATATTGCCGCTAAAAATTGCAACAAACATAGTTATGAAAATGTTGACACAACTTTTTATCCATCTCTAAACGAACCCCATATTGTGAAGAAAAGTGATGTGATTTGAAATCAACATTGCACGAAACATCCCTTTGTTACTATATTTGATAGATAAAGACAACAGGAAGTGTTCTAGCTGCAGTATAAAAAGTATGATTGGCTAATTGATTGTTTGGTTAATGTCTAGTGACAAGTATTTCATCCATATTTAGGACAAGAACAAATAAACAAAATATCCAATAGGTAGGCTTTGCAAAGAAGGTTGACTTGAATGAAGCATGGCTTCCAAAACGGTCATATATTCCGGACATTGTCCGTCTGGGAAAAGCATGCATGAAACAGTCATCTACTTTTAGTTTTCAAGGCTTCCTTAAGAGACGGTCATTTTAACAGAATAAAAAAAAAATTCGAATTTCGATCTTTTTGACCCGACCTTTTGCCTTAAACAGTCACACATTTCCAGTCATAAAAGTGACATGATGATTAAGTACTATCAAATCAAACCCTACTTTAATACCTTATCATTTTAATCAAGGTTAATTAGTTGTCGGACAGCTGAAATTTACCTATTCAGGCGACAGGTAAACTATTTTGTACCGGACATTCATCGGTCTATTCAAAGTTATTTTCTTACACTTAAGTGGTTTGCACCTAATTAATTTAGCCAGAAAGATTAAAATTGTCAAAAATACGTTTATAATATGATTTGATGAAAAATTTTAAAAGGTTTTAAACGAAAAATCGTCAGAACCACGTTGTTTGAACTTTGAACTAGTACACCAGTGCGCATGTGTGCAGGTGGAAATTTAATTATGCATCCTAATTCTTCAAAAATGATATAATTATCATTGATACCTTTATCTATTGTTCATTTCGAGTATTTTCTTGAAGAAATAACGTGGAAAGAGCTACTTAAACTCAATTTTGTGCTTTGTAAAAGTACACGGATTTTAAGTTTCCGTCTCTGGTCCATGTTTTACCATTGTCAAGTCAGTATCCGGTATTAGGAAATGTGCTTTTTAAAAACGAAAGTAAAGTTTTTGACAACGTTATTTTGCACAAATAAAGAGTCTAAGGCAGATATTAGTACGCTGATGTTGCACAGTTCGAATGATGCATTGTCAATTTAACATTTTACGTCAGAACATTGATTTTATATCAAAGTAAAGTTTAATATCGTTTTTAAAGGCAGTGCTTTAATGCCTTTCTAGTTGCCGGGTTAATCCTTCCTTCCGCGATATCCAACTTATCTACGTGGGGGGTCATTAGACTCCAAGTAGATCCGGAAATGTTGAATTCTCTCCTCTTCTTATTGCGATATAAAATGTTTTTTGTTTCATTTCATTTACATTGGGAAATAGAGAAACGATCATTGTGTTTTGTTAGTTTTAAAAACTTTTGATATATTAGTATTTTGCATTATAAGCAGTCAACCGATTGACAAACTAGAATTATTTGAATTCCGTGTGGAAAGAGCTCGGGTTAATTTCGAGTGTTATCTGCAATCTAGATGTTTATAAATCATTTCAGTCGTTGATATAATAATAAAAGGTCGACTGAACATGAATTATATTATACAATTTAAAGCGCATTTCTGTTTATGCACGTGAACCCGTCTAACGTTATTTTCGCAGTTATATAAAGTAGCAAATTATCGTTCCTGAATAGGTGGCGCCGTGGTAGCGGATCCTGTTCCTCTACTTCCTGTTTCTGCACTGTGCAACTATTTCAGTTAAATTTTTAATTAACGATGCCAAGTACTTGTTGTTGTGTACCTGGATGTCATTTAAGAGGAGGACATGGATTTCCAAATGACTTAAAAAGAAGGAAAAGTTGGATCAACGCCATGGCCCATACGCAGATTGGACGAGAACACGATGATATCGTGGAGTCCATCTCAATCAGCTGTTGTTTGCAAGGCACATTTTACTGAAAAAGACTACGTGCAGGAAACTATTCATGGTAAAACTCTATTTTCTTTGTGAAATATATAGTTATATATGTAATCGCCATGCGAATAAACCAAAGTCTGTTTACAACCGCAATTATCGTTTTAGTAATTTAGAATAAAAGGGGGTGGGTAATTCAAGACGTCATAATTTTTTGGATTACGATTCAATGTGATCTGTTTGAGATTTTTTGGTGATTGCTACAATTATAATGATTTCTTACAAGAGGTATATCATACTGAGAATTATTTTAGCAGTAATTATGCTAATGTAGTAATGACAGGAATGCATAAGCTATGCCTCATAGACTTTCTTGAAAAATATCAATGACAATGTTAACAGGAACAAAACAATGACATGCTCTCATCTATATTATAGTTATTTAGGTACAAACAATGTACGTTTGTTGCATAAGTCTCTCATTGTTTGTCCTTTGGATTTACATAACATACATTGAATCAGGCAAACATAGTTTTATCCAGATTGTAATGAATAAATCTAGTTAATATTTCGCCAGGTAGTACAAAGTATACATTGCTAATGGAAGTTCTTTTAATTATAAAAAAACTAATGTTTTATAACCTTTTTCAGGGCGCAAACCCACCATACAGAGACTTAAGTCTACTGCAATTCCCAGCCTATTTTCCTGGACCAAGCAAGAGACTGAATCGTCCGCAAAAAGAAAAATCAGGGCAGTTTCCTGTGAAAACAAAAGAACTAAACTTGATAAATATTGTAGTAGAAATTTAGAGGAAAGATTTGATTGTAAAGTTGGTTTTCCTGAAGAAGTCATTCATACTGCAGAAAGGATTTATGACTGTCCACCACCAACTGCCGAGCTAATGTTGAGCTTTACAGATGGAATTACGCAAACACCATCAATGCCTATATTTTCAGCAGAGAATTTTGAAATGAAGACGCGTGACACAGCCATGCATTTTTATACCGGTTTAGAGTTGTATACTAAATTTTTATTTGTTTTGACCACACTTGGTCCAGCAGCACATTGTTTGAGATACATATATTTTCAAATTGATAGGGTGTCAGTTGAAAATCAGTTTTTTTATGACTTTGATGAAATTGAGGCATCATACAACAACTTTGAACTGTCTAGATTCTAGATTGAATCTAGTGTTAAGAATATTGTGTATACATGGATTGTTTTTATGTCTAAACAGTGGTGTGAGGCTAACACTTGGCCATCTAGTGGTTTAGTCAGGTGTTTTTCACCATCCAACTTCAAATTAAAGTTTCCTACGACTTGGATTATTATTGACAGCACAGAATATCCCGTGATAAAACCTAAAGCTCCTAGAGCTCAGGCAACCTTTTCATCAAATAAAAACAGAAACACTGAAAATTCTTGAATGTTCGACACCTGGTGGTTTAGTCAACTATGTCTCTATGTCACATAGAGCGAATTATTGGACTTGGCAAAACATACAAAATTCTAATAAATCCTATGAATGGAACTGAAACAAAACTTTCATCTGAAATAACATTTAGTTGTTTTATGTTGTGTAATTTTAGAACTTGTATTGTGCCAAAGGATGCATAAATAAAAGTGACGCAATGAATTTTGTTCTGATATATATATATTTACAATTACATGCACATGTAAATTGTAATGCATATAAAAATAAGGAGATGTGGTATGATATTCAGTGAGTTTATCAAACTAAAGTGCATAAGAAATGGGTTTAAGCAGTTACAGGTATTACTGTCACCGTACAATCTCCAACAATGAGAAAAACTCGTACCCTGTAAAAAATGTCAGAGATCTTACAACTAAGTTTTGTTGTCTCACCTTGACTTTGGTGAATTTTTTATATCTGTTGATGTAAATATAAAAAAGAAGATGTGGTATGATTGCCAATGAGACAACTCTCCACACATGCACAAGAGACCAAATGACACAGAAATTAACAGCTATAGGTCACAGTACGGCCTTCAACAATGAGCAAAGCCCATACCGCACAGTCAGCTATAAAAGGCCCAGAAATGACAATGTAAAACAATTCAAACAAGAAAACTAACGGCCTATTTTATGTAAAAAAATGAACAAATATAACAAATATGCAACACATAAACAAACGACAACCACTGAATTACACTTTTATAGGCTCCTGACTTGGGACAGGCACATACATGTACATACAGAATGTGGCGGGCTTAAACATGTTAGCGGGATCCTAACCTGGGACAGTGGTGTAACAGTACAATATAAGAAAGAACTATAAAAATCGGTTGAAAGAGGCTAAACTCATCAGATGGATAAATACAAATACAAGTGGACGTGGTCGGATAGTTGTACATCCAAACAACAAAAAGACACTAAGTACAAATCGGAGAGTACTTGCAGTTACTGACAGCTAGTTCAAAGCCACTAACAACTGATAAAAAAATCTTGCATCTAAGACTAAATTATCAATCCGTAAGCTCCCTTTAGAATTTTATAAATTTTAGATTTTACATTTCTGAGTTATGGGGTTTTATTCATTAAAAAAGGGGGGATTTTCCAGTTTTTGGACAACAACTCAAAAATGCTTTAAGCAGTTCACATGAAACTTTGGTGAATTATTTATAGCTATTGATGTCATCTCCCTATTGATTTTCATAAATTTCAAATATGACATTGAGAAGAAATTGAACTTTATTTGATTATAGTCTGGCAACAGATTTATTAAGTATTGCACAACAGCACAGTGTATTGCACAACAGCAAGAAATCTTTAATTGAATATAAATTCAATTCATATAACCGATTTCAAGTTCATTGACTACATTTATTCAGAAACTATAATATGTCAAATATTTAATTACAATCCAAATTCAGACCTGTATCAAGCTTGAATATTGTGTCCATTTTTGCCCAAGCTGTTCAGGGTAGTACCTCTGCGGGTGTACTGTGGATTCATTTATTTTCGTGGGTATCAATTTTCGTGGATTGAGGAAAACTTACACATTCGTGGTCATTTAATTTCGTGGTTTTGCTCAATTCTGCATACAAGCCTATGGAAAATTTGTAATTCGTTGAACATTTAAATTCGTGGTCCCCCTGTTCCCACGAAATCCACGAAAATTGGTATCCAACGAAAAAAAAATGAATCCACAGTATCCAGCTGCACTCAGCGAATCAGTTTATTTCTTAATTAAGAACTCCTTTTTATACGACCGCAAAAAACTTTTTGTGGTCGTATATTGGTATGACGTTGGCGTCGTCGTCGTCGTCCGAAGACACATTAGTTTTCGCACTCTTACTTTAGTTTAAGTGAATGGATCTCAATGAAATTTTAAAATAAGGTTCAATACCACAAAAGGAAAGTGGGGATTGATTTTGGGGGTTATGGTACCAACAGTTAAGGAATAAGGGGCCAAAAATAAGCATTTTTGTAACTTCCAGACATAACTTGTGTGTAAGTGTATGGATCTCTCTGACATTGTACCACAAGGTTCCATATCACAAAGGGAATGCTGGGATTGATTTTTGGGGGTAATTGCCTCCAAATTTTAGGAATTAGGGGCCAAAAAGGGGCAAAAAACAAGCAATTTTCTAGTTTCATGACAATAACTTGTGTGCAAGTCTATGGATCTCTCTGACATTGTATCACAAGGTTCCATATCACAAAGGGAATGCTGGGATTTATTTTGGGGGTAATTTGCTTCAAATTTTAGGAATTAGGGGCCAAAAAGGGGCAAAAAATAAGCATTTTTCTAGTTTCATGGCAATAACTTGTGTGTAAGTGTATGGATCTTTATGAAATTGTACCACAAGGTTCCATATCACAAAGGGAAAGCTAGAATTGAGTTTGGGGGTAATTGCCCAAAAAGTTTAGGAATAAGGGGCCAAAAATAAGCATTTTTCTAGTTTCCAGACAATAACTTGTGTTCAAGTGTATGGATCTCTCTGAAATTGTACTGCAAGGTACCATACCACAAAGGGAATGCTGGGATTGATTTTGGGGGTAATTGCCTCCAAATTTTAGGAATTAGGGGCCAAAAAGGGGCAAAAAACAAGCATTTTTCTAGTTTCATGACAAAACCTTGTGTGTAAGTCTATGGATCTCTCTTACATTGTATCACATGGTTCCATATCACAAAGGGAATGCTGGGATTTATTTTGGGGGTAATTTGCTTCAAATTTTAGGAATTAGGGGCCAAAAAGGGGCAAAAAATAAGCATTTTTCTAGTTTCATGGCAATAACTTGTGTGTAAGTGTATGGATCTTTATGAAATTGTACTACAAGGTTCCATATCACAAAGAGAAAGCTGGGTTTGAGTTTGGGGGTAATTGCCTCCAAATTTTAGGAATTGGGGGCCAAAAAGGGGCAAAAAATAAGCATTTTTCTAGTTTCATGGCAATAACTTGTGTGTAAGTGTATGGATCTTTATGAAATTGTACTACAAGGTTCCATATCACACAGAGAAAGCTGGGTTTGAGTTTGGGGGTAATTGCCCTAAACGTTTAGGAATTTGGGACCAAAAAGGGGCCAAAAAAACAAGCATTTTTCTAGTTTCCAGACAATAACTTGTGTTCAAGTGTATGGATCTCTCTGAAATTGTACTGCAAGGTACCATACCACAAAGGGAAGGCTGGGATTGAGTTTTGGGGTGATGAATCATAAGGGGGTTCAAAAAATTTTTTGGGGGGGATTCTTTTTTCTTTTTTTTCTTTAAAATTTTCCATTTTAAATTGGTTATTTCTGATTTATATATAAAAGCAAATAATAATGATATGGTTTGAATAGGTAAATTAAATTTTTTTAAGTATCTTAGACCACTTTCATTCTGTGTCAGAAACCTATTCTGTGTCAAATATTTAATTACAATCCAAATTCAGTGCTGAATCAAGCTTGAATGTTGTGTTCATACTTGCCCCAACTGTTCAGGGTTCGACCTCTGCGGTCGTATCAAGCTGCGCCCCAGCGGAGCATTTTATTTCATTCATAAATTACTTCATGCTTGGAAATATAATTTTGCTTGGAGTTGAAAGAGTTGACATGTTGCAATGTACATTTACTCTACATAGTTCTATGGTACCAAATCAAAAGTTTATATAAAGAAAGAAGTCAAAGGTTTCCCATCATAGTTTAGTTACATACATTTTTTTTGTACCTGAGGTCGTTGAATATAGATCATTATATAAATAAGATGTGTTATGATTGCCAATGAAAAAACTAAGGATTTTCTTATCCAAGGAATAGATTACCTTAGCCGTATTTGGCACAACTTTTTGGAATTTTGGGTCCTCAATGCTCTTCAACTTTGTACTTGTTTGGCTTTGTTACTATTTTGATCTGAACCTCACTGATGAGTCTTATGTAGACGAAACACACGTCTGGCGTATTAAATTATAATCCTGGTACCTTTGATAACTAATTTGACTATAAACATAGATAAAAAAGGTACAAACTGGACATAATGCACTAGTTCATAAACAAGTGAGAACAATCGCCTTCATATAGTGCTCAGAATATGACATTCATAAAACTTATTCAATATCATTAGAGAACTCTAAATCTTAAATACTGAAAGCCACTTCTGATAAGTACACTGTACTATGCAAGATAATGATATAACTGGACTTAAAATACACACAACCTGTAATTAACTGCCTTTACAGCGCTTTCGTGCTTTGATTTAATATCAGTCATTGGTTATATGATGGCCAACTGATTACCATGGTCCATAATTGCCTTTTGTTATTAAGTCTTAAGGGATTAAAATCGGGATAAGACATAAAATGTCCGGCTGGCTCAAATATTTTTTGGATGCCCAGGGTATGTAAGGCAGGGGAAATGTCTTGTCTTGCAACATACCACCTCGATACCCGTTAATGAGTTGTTGCAAGGGTTCTTTCATCTGCAGAGAATGTGGAATTTTCCTACACAAAATCTGATTAAACATTATGACTGGACAATGCCTGCATATCTATAAATCATGCACATTCAAATTTAAGTCCAGGTTACCATAAATTAATACCCCAGTCACCCCTTTGGCTACCAATAAGTATGAAATTTTACTGTGTTTTAATGGTAAATATGAATGTATAGCCATTAGCTAAATGCTGGATCTCCCACCTACTTTTAAATTGTCACATTTTGATGATATTCTTCAATCATAAAAATCAATTAACATGAGATTTAGATGTTGTGCTTGTAGTCTGTAGAATGTTTTGTCTTTGTATTCAGTGTTTTCAGGAATTATTGCTTGTACCATCTCAATACTAAGATACTGAACTGGACCTTTAAGTCTAAAATCTGTTAACTTGTAATACATCATGGTTTGTACTATACAGTGTGAATCCCTTTATATATAACAGTATGCCTTATTTTGCAGATCAAGTTAAGTGATGTTGAAGCAACAGGAAAAGATGGTAGAATACTGAAAGATGATATCCTAAAATACATTGAGGACCCTTCTGTTGGAAAACAAGGTATGATTTTAGTATTAATCAACTTTATTTGAGAACCACCACTGTGGTCTAGTTTAAGCATGGAGGTTAGGGGTTTCACTTTCTGACTGGAATGAAATAAGTCTGTGGCATATAAGGAGTAAGAACAAAAGTAGTTAGCTCAGGCATGACACGAGTCCGAATGTGTCTGACTTTCTAATGATTATGATCATGTGAGCTAACCTGTTAAACTTTTGCTTAACTTTGTACTCTTTTTCAATGTTCTGGACCCAGAAATCCAGTGGAAACTCAATGTAAAGTTTCATGTAGTTTCCATAAATTTATTTTGATATCAACGTTGATTGTTATGATGACTGTTCTGTAGTAGTGTGCTACTTTTTCCATTATTATGTCTGGTATGATAATAGTATAATAGTTTACATGTGTTTTAAGTTGTTATAATTTTACTGATGTTGGCCTTTGATAGCCAAACTGAAATTATTTGTTAATTGAACATTTATATCTTTAGTGTTTCGATTTTATTGGTAATAAAATAAAATTATTTGTTTTAGCAAAAGCCAGTGCTCCATTAGCTACACCACCAGCAGTCACTGTTGAACCCTCCAAACCTACTCCAGTTGTATCAACAACACCTATACAACCACGAATCACCTTACCTGTGGGTAAGGATCACACAGAAAAGATAAAAGGAATGAGAAAAGCAATGGTAAAAACCATGACTGAGGCCAATAACATTCCCACTTTTGGATATGATGATGAATTTGATATGAGTGCACTTGTTGACTTGAGGTCAAAGGTCAAAGCTATTACTGATGAAAAAGGTGTCAAGTTTTCTTACATGCCTATTATAATGAAGGTATGTAGTGTATTTTGTCAACCTTTTTTTTGTTAATCAAAGGAAAATTCTAAATAAGGTTTGTTTAACTTTTATTCTGGCAGAAGTCAATTGACGGATTCTTTGCACCAATGGTGCATATTTCCAAAAACTTTATTCTGATTTTTATGAGAGAAAAGGAAAATAATGTGATGTTTCTTGTTACCCAACCAACACTTTTAGTTACACATTTTATACAGCTAAATTTCAGTCCACTTTTAACTTTTCTTACCTTTCAAACCTTATTCATTTTTTCCTGATGGGACTTCAAGCATAAAGTTTGATCTTCAAGTATTTGTGCTATTTCTTTGAAATTATACTTCATATAAAAAATAATGGTATCACTAATAACTGAAATACACTTGGAGAGTTGAAATTCAAATGGATTTCTTAGAAATTGATTATTTTCTTTATTTACACTAAGATGATGTTTCATCTTAAATAGATAGTTGTAACTTAACAACAGGATAATCTAATATTAAAGTCAAGGTAGAATAGCAACGCCTGTTTAATGTAAGATTAAACATATTCTAAAACATATATTTCTTACCACAGATGAAAAGTTTTCATTTTTAGATTGATGTTTTTTTGAATGATAAAAATGTTTAAAACATAAGTAAATCAGGAAATCTAAAATAAAAGAAGATTTTCAGGTGACAGCTTTTTTTAGAGACACATTTTTTTTAAATCAAAGCTAAGCAACAAGACTGTTAATTTATGTGCTAAACTAGGACATATGTCTGATTTGTCAATGTTTACAACTGCTTACTGTATTGCACATGCATCGACAATTCTGATTAGTCTGTATTAAAAATTGTAAACCAATAAAATTGTAGCTTGCAATTATGCCAGCACAGGGCACATTAGTTTTCGCACTCTAACTTTAGTTTAAGGGAATGGATCTCAATAAATTTTACCATAAGGTTCAATACCACAAAAGAAAGGTGGGGATTGATTTTGGGGGTTATGGTACCCACAGTTAAGGAATTAGGGGCCAAAAAGGGGCCAAAAATAAGCATTTTTGTAACTTCCAGACATAACTTGTGTGTAAGTGTATGGATCTCTCTGACATTGTACCACAAGGTTCCATATCTCAAAGGGAATGCTGGGATTGATTTTGGGGGTAATTGCCTCAAAATTTTAGGAATTAAGGGCCAAAAAGGGGCAAAATCAAGCATTTTTCTAGTTTCAGGACAATAACTTGTGTGTAAGTGTATGGATCTCTCTGACATTGTACCAGAAGGTTCCATATCACAAAGGGAAAGCTGGAATTGAGTTTGGGGGTAATTGCCCAAAAAGTTTAGGAATAAGGGGCCAAAAAGGGGCCAAAAATAAGCATTTTTCTAGTTTCCAGACAATAACTTGTGTTCAAATGTATGGATCTCTCTGAAATTGTACTGCAAGGTACCATACCACAAAGGGAAGGCTGGGATTGATTTTGGGGGTAATTCCCTCAAAATTTTAGTAATTAGGGGCCATAAAAGGGCAAAAGAACAAGCATTTTTTCTAGTTTTAGGACAATAACTTGTGTGTAAGTGTATGGATCTTTATGAAATTGTACTGCAAGGATCCATATCACAAAGGGAAAGATGGGTTTGAGTATGTGGGTAATTGCCCTAAGTGTTTAGGAATTTGGGGCCAAAAAGGGGCCAAAAAACAAGCATTTTTCTAGTTTCCAGACAATAACTTGTGTTGAAGTGTATGGATCTCTCTGAAATTGTACTGCAAGGTACCATACCACAAAGGAAAATCTGGGATTGAGTTTGGGGGTGATGAATCATAAGGGGGTTCAAAAAATTGGGGGGATTTTTTTTTCCTTTTTTTTTCTTTAAAATTTTCCATTTTAAATTGGTTATTTCTGATTTATATATAAAAGCAAATAATAATGATATGGTTTGAATATATACTTAAAATTTTTTTAGTTCTTAGACCACATTCATTCTGTGTCAGAAACCTATGCTGTGTCAAATATTTAATTACAATCCAAATTCAGTGCTGTATCAAGCTTGAATGTTGTGTCCATACTTGCCCCAACTGTTCAGGGTTCGACCTCTGCGGTCGTATCAAGCTGCGCCCCAGCGGAGCATTTTATTTAATTTTTGTCGAGCCTGCGACTTTTGTCGCAGAAAGCTCGACATAGGGATAGTGATCCGGCGGCGACGGCGTTAGCTAACTTCTTAAAAGCTTTATATGTTAGAAGCTAGAAGACCTGGATGCTTCATACTTTGTATATAGATGCCTTATGTTACGAAGTTTCCGTCTGTCATATGTCCATTGTCCTTGACCTCATTTTCATGGTTCAGTGACTACTTGAAAAAAAAGTCAACATTTTTTGTAATGTTAATTTCTTTCTTATTATGAGTAATAGGATAACTATATTTAGTATGTGTGTACCTTGCAAGGTCCTCAATTTTCATTTGACCTCAACCTCATTTCATGGATCAGTGAACAAGGTTAAGTTTTCGTGGTCAAGTCCATATATCAGATACTATAAGCAGTAGGTCTACTATATTTGGTATATGGAATGATTGTAAGGTGTACATGTCCAACTGGTAGGTGTCATCTGACCTTGACTTCATTTTCATGGTTCAGTGGTCAAAGTTAAGTTTTTGAGTTTTGGTCTTTTTTTCTAATACTATATACAATAGGTCAACTATAAATGGTGTATGGAAATATTTTATGATGTACATGTCAGTCTCACAGGTTTTATTTGACCTTGACCTCATTTTCACGGTTCATTTCTCAGTGTTAAGTTTTGTGTTTTGGTCTGTTTTTCTTCAACTATAAGCAATAGATCAACTATATTTGATGTATGGAAGGATTGTAAGGTGTATATGTCTGTCTGGCAGGTATCCTCTGACCTTGACCTCATTTTCATGGTTCATTGGTCAATGTTAAGTTTTCATGGTTAAGTTTGTTTCTTAGAAACTATCAGCAATAGGTCAACTATATCTAATGCCTAAATTGATTGTAAGGTGTACATGTCTATCTGGCATGGTTCATCTGACCTTGACCTCATTTTCATGGTTCATTGGTCAATGTTAAGTTTTCTTGTTTAAGACTGTTTCTTAGAAACAATAATCAATAGGTCAACTATGTTTGGTTTATTGAATGATTGTAAGGTGTACATGTATTTCTCGTTTGGTTTATCTGACCTTGACCTCATTTTCTTGGATCATGTTAAGTTTATGTGTTACTTGTAGTAAAGCTTTGTATTTAGGACTATCAACATAAAATCAATGGTTAGTAAAGAAGGCGAGACATTTCAGCGTGTGCACTCTTGTTATTTCACTGACAATTTTTTTATTTTACTCAAAATGTACACTTTTAAGTCTTTATAGATTTATATACATAAATTGTTTTCATTTTCAGGCAGTCTCAATGGCTTTAACAGAATTCCCAATGTTGAATGCTAGTGTAGATAAAACATGTGAGAACATAACATACAAGGTAAGTATACTGGAAGAAAGAATTTATACAATGACCTATGACTCTGTTTTCAATAATCATCATGTACAAACATGTAGTTAAATCAATAAGGGCTGTTCAAGATTAAAGGCACTTTTTAGCTCACCTGGACCAAAGGGCCAAGTGAGCTTTTCTCATCACTTGGCGTCCGTCATCCATCGTCCATCGTCGTTGTTAACTTTTTACATTTTGAACTTCTTCTAGAGAACCACTGAATGGAATGAAACCAAACATGGCATGAATGTTCCTTATGAGGTGCAGACCAAGTGTTGTTACTTTGTAGCGGATCCATCATCCAAGATGGCCGCCCGCAGGGGACTTAGTTTAACATAGGACCCTATGGGAAATACATACAAATGTCTTCTTTTAGAGAACCAATGAATGGAATGAAACCAAACATGGCATGAATGTTCCTTATGAGGTGCTGACCAAGTGTTGATACTTTGAAGCTGATCCATTATCCAAGATGGCCGCCAGCAGGGGACTTAGTTTAACATAGGACCCTATGGGAAATACATACAAATGTCTTCTTTTAGAGAACCACTGAATGGAATGAAACCAAACATGGTATGAATGTTCCTTATGAGGTGCTGACCGAGTGTTGTTACTTTGAAGCAGATCCATAATCCAAGATGGCCGCCTGCAGGGGACTTAGTTTAACATTGGACCCTATGGGAAATACATACAAATGTCTTCTTTTAGAGAACCACTGAATGGAATGAAACCAAACATGGCATGAATGTTCCTTATTAGGTTCTGACCAAGTGTTATTACTATGAAGCCCATCCATAATCTAAGATGGCCGCCAGATGGGGACAATGTTTAACAAAGGACCATATGGACAATACATACAAATGTCTTCTTTTAGATAGAGAACCACTGAATGGAATGAAACCAAACATGACATGAATGTTCCTTATGAGGTGCTGACCAAGTGTTGTTACTTTGAAGCCGATCCATCATCCAAGATGGCCACCAGCAGGGGACTTAGTTTAACATAGGACCCTATGGGAAATACATACAAATGTCTTCTTTTAGAGAACCACTGAATGCAATGAAACCAAACATGGCATGAGTGTTCCTTATGAGGTTCTGACCAAGTGTTATTACTATGAAGCCCATCCATAATCTAAGATGGCCGCCAATGGGGGGACTTCCTTTAACATAAGACCCTATGGGAAATACATACAAATGCTTCTTCTAGAGGTGCACTGAATGGAATGAAACCAAAACATGGCATAAATGTTTCTTGTGAGGTGCTGATGAAGTGTTGCTACTTTGTTGCCGATTTACTGTTCAAGATGGCCACCAGGATTTTTATTAAATTACAGGACCAATATTAAACCAAATTTGGCCTCACTCACTATTAGGGTATCTGTTATGATTTCAATCTATTTTTACATGATTTCCAAAACCAAAGTAGAATCAGGTGAGCGACACAGGCTCTTGAGAGCCACTAGTTTTAGACCCCAACCACCCATAATATAAATTTTTCACTTTACTTATAATTTTTACAAAATTAGAAAATGCAACCAATAATTTATTATTTTGAGTGCCTCCAATCCGTCCCTCATGGGTTTAATGGGTTTATAAAAGAGAGGCGAAAGATACCAAAGGGACATTCAAACTCATAAGTAAAATAAAAACTGACAAGGCCATGGCCAAAAAAGAAAAAGACAAACAGACAAACAACAGTACACAAAACACAATATAGAAAATTAAAGTCCGAGCAACACGAACCCCATCAAAAATGAGGTGATCTCAGGTGCTCTGGACGGGTAAGCAGATCCTGCTTAAATTTGGAACAACCCTAACTGTATGGAGTCTAAAGTTGATATAAGGTACAAAACACACAAAAAATGGTGCAAGGAAATAAGACTGAGGTATATATAAATATATTATCTAAGAATTTAATTTCATTAATATTTATAGGTTTTTTTTAACCTTCAATGTTTCTTCTGTTTACAGGCAGTACATAATATAGGAATTGCCATGGATACACAAGATGGACTAATAGTGCCAAATGTTAAAAATGTCCAATCATTAAGTATATTTGAACTTGCAACAGAACTGAACAGGCTTCAGTCTTTGGGATTAGCTGGAAAGTTAGGGACTTCAGATTTGAGTGGTGGAACCTTCTCCTTGTCAAATATTGGAGCGGTAAATTATCAAAAGTGCATGGACATAAGCATTTGTCACCTACAATATTTTGCTATTAATTACAAATGATAACACATTCTTTTATATTGTGTCATTAGATCTTTACAAACCAGGTATTAAAAGATTCAGAAATGGTTAAAGTTTTCTTGTTTGATTGTACATGATTTTGTCTCTTGTTGTTTTTGTTTTCTCTTTCTGTAAACACAAATAATAATTATTTATGATTTCATTTTAGTTGAAATATATAGCAAATTTCCTGACAAAATAATACTTGCATTTGAATTGTAAGAATTGTTGTAGATATTCATGAAATAGTTGTCACTGGACATGAAGCAAGCAACAATCAATCAATCAATCCTACATTTACAGAAAATGAAAAAATATCACAACAAATATATGACTATACAAGTCTATGAAATTTCTGCTTCTTATTGTACAAAATTCATTAAAATCCACAAGAAATGGCCCAACTATTAGTTTTGAAAACAAATTTGTTTTAGATAGAACTATAAAGTGAAAACTAGCTAGTGACAGATACTTATGTCAATGCACTGTATATCATTGTTTATTAGAAATATATAGCTTATACAACCCTGGTTTTCATTTTGTTCCCTGCATAGCAGAATCAACATATTGTTATCACTATTCATAGTCTACATTGAGGTTACAATTTTGTTTCTTTACGTCTCCTCTTGATTTTTTTTCATGAGAGTCTCAGAGGTGAAGTTGTACTTCTCCTTTTTATAGTTTGCTTGAAGAAAGTTGCGAGGGACAATTGCTTTAACACCAATGTTCAAGTTTTAATGCACAAGTCTGCAACTTTTTGTTGGTTCAGATGTCAGATGCTGAGTGACCTTGAATCACATAATTTGGTATAAGAGCCTAAAGAGGCAGCTAGGTAAGTTTATTCAAAGAAGGTTAGAAGACATCTGAAATCTGAAATCAATATTAGACGTTCAATAAAAGACAACTCTGATCTAGATCAGATTTGCCTGTTTTCCTACCGATGGTCTGTGTTTCTCACCAGGCAATCAAGCTTCCTTTGCCAATAAAATCTGGCCACCATGATATAGCCAAGTCTGCAGAAAGTGATCTTAAACAACAACAATCAAATTATCAATTATAAAAAGTTGAACATAGCAAGTCAATACTGAGTTCAGTTGTCATTTTTTCATATTATGTCGTGTATGTTATGTACGGTATCACAAAATAAAAGTAATTTTGTCTCCAGAAGTAATGATGTTTTTAATAAAATAATTTTATTTTAATCATTACAGATAGGAGGAACATATGCTAGACCAGTTATATTACCTCCAGAAGTATCAATTGGAGCATTAGGAAAAATACAGGTAAATTTTATGATCTAAACTATTTTATAAGGTAAGGAAACTGATGATACTCTGGTTGTTGGATGGATTACAATCTGAATGCTGTTGGTAAAAGAAACTTATTTACAATGAAAAACTCACACTTAAAATATTCTGAAAACTTTAGGTGGGCTGTATCACTAAAAATTTTCCTCATCAACATTCAGTGGATTGTAAAGATGGTGCTTAATGTTCAGTGGCACCATTTCATGCTTATCAGGATGAGGACATATTTATATGAATCCTGCTAATCAACTTTCTGTTAAAAGCTTAATTTTATATTCTAACACATAATGGCCATGCATGAAATTTTCATTGCATTTTTCTAAGGAACTGCATGTCCAGACCTGATATTGGTCTTGTTTTAATGATATAAAGACAGAGTGGGTGAGAGATTAGAGTGTGTTATTCTGTTCAAACTTTTGTGTCAGTACATTTAATTAATCTTTTAAAAGTACACAGTCTTCATAGTTAATCTTAGTAAAAGTACTATATTTAAAACTGAGCCACTCTTCTTTTTTTTTCAGCTTATTGATTTCAATTATCCTTCACATAATTTTTTTAAAGCATTTTCAGTGAACTTACGCTTAAAACACCAATCTGCCTGCATGGTTAGAAAAAAACGGATTTGGAAAATGCATGAATACACTTTGCATCATTTTTGAAGTATGCAGCAAATTAACTAACTCAAATACAAATAAAACTATGCAATACTAAACACTGGACTTTGGAAATATAAAAATAAGAAGATGTGGCATAATTGCCAATGAGCCAACACTCCATCAGAGACAAAATGACAAAGTCTGATTGGTGAATTAATTTGATTGATTGTGATGAATTACTGGTATATTATAAGATACATGTATTGCTAAGTTTATATTAAACATTAAATCTTCTTTATATGACCAATTTAATTATTTTTTTGTTTCTTTCAGACATTACCAAGATATGATAACCATGGAAATGTAGTAAAGAAACATATAATGTGTGTTAGCTGGTCAGCTGATCATCGAGTCATCGAAGGTGCCTACATGGCACGTTTCTCTAACTTACTCAAATCATTCTTAGAAAATCCAGGATTGATTATGTTATATCTAAGATGAAAATCATGTGATAGATACATTTACAGGTATATTGACCTTGAATCTTATCGTAACTGGTAAGGTCAGAATGAAATGGTCTTGCCTATTGTAATAATGGTTCAGATTTATAAAAGTGTGGTCTTTCAGGGATTGACAGGAGCATGCTTGATTGTGTTTTTTATCATAAATTTCGTTATTTGATTCCAGTCAACAGGATGAATTAATCAGGCCTCTGTCTTTTGAAAAGTGCAAATGGCCTGAAGTTAAGTTTTAGCTTCATATTTCTATATAACAAAAAATCCAAATTGTCCACCAGCCTGAAAGAGAAGGTCAAGGGAAGTTGTTACCTTACTTTGACTTTTATTGTGCTCTAAGGCTGTATGTATAAACCTTTAAGTTATTTATGCATTCTTTATTTTTTGCTGTTTCATGGATAGTTGTCGCATTGGTAATCATACCACATCTCCTTATTTCTATATTGTATTGAAGACTGGAATTAATATATACAGAGTGATGTAATATATCTGTGGGTTCTGGAGTATGCTTATACTTTTCAGAAAATAACAGATCCTAGTCATATTTGCATTTATATTTTGAAATATGCTATTATATAAAATATGTTAATACAATGCAGTCTTATTTTTGAAAAACAATATACAGCTAAAATTGTACTTGTACTAAGATTGAGTAAGTAAGCATTCTTCTTAAAAAAATAATTTAAGTTGATTCAAGATTAATACAATAAGTAAGATACACATTTAATGCTTACAGAAAAAAAAATTATGTTTATCTTTTATTAGTTGCTTATCAGTACAAAAATGACTCTAAATAATCAATATATTTTTGAAAATTTATGATCTAGTTCTAGAAGTGCCATAAACACTTTCTGTTCTAAAAGATGATAGACTATATGTAAACCATTACAAAACAAGACAGAACAAAGAGTGTATTAATCAGTTGTACAGTATCATATCACTTTCCTATTGAATGAAACAGAAACAATATGAGAGGGCATTTTGTATTGTAGAGTTCGAGTGATATATGTATTTGAATCTCAGAATAAAATTAAAAAAGAAAACTATACGACTTTTGAATTCCTATTACTTTACATAAACATTTATTTGATTGGTCTGTTTATAGATTTTAAAAATTGAACTAGTAGTTCATCTTAGCTTGGGCAACCATGGTGTGTTGGATAAAGTATGCATATTATTGATATTTGTATAATTTGATAAAAAAAACGTGCAAATTAGTCAAAGCCTGCTGTTATATGAAATAAAATAGGTAGCTCTGAGAAGTATAACATATAATGTGGTGATGGAGGTTTGATTTGTTGGGAAGTCGATGTCCCAACTCCAACCACATGCCAATTTTACTGAGTTTTGTGCAACATATTCATATAATGCAAACATATTAAGGTTTATCTACATTTCATATGCTTATGCAATATATCAACCATATTCACTATTTTAGTCTGCACAAAATGTCATGGATGAATTTTGTGTCATCTCTCTCTCAGACTTAGAAAAATGTATGGTATGCCCTTTTTCCAAAAATCTTAATTTTCACATTAATTTCCTTTTTTGTTGGATTTTTTATTAGCGTGAGGGATATTTAGGCCATGGAAGAGGTTTTTTTAGGTGTCTCAAAGATTCTAAGAAATAGATTGAAGTAAAAATATTGATCTATATTACATTAGTTGCAATGAAACACAGGACAACTCTCACATTCATGAATTAATGTGTTGTTCTGCCACTTCTTGAATATTTTTCTATATTTGAATTCTTGGATTAGTTTTTCAATTAAAATAAAAGGATAAGGATGAATGAGAAGTATCAATTTGAACATAGCAGAAGTAGATCTATGGTTATTTTGTTGAAATCTTGGAGCATTTTTACCCTATGAGTGTTCATGGCAGGTCTTTTGGAGTTTCCAGCTTAATTTAAGAGCTCATCACATGGTATAGACCCTTCTTATTATTTATCATCATAGGTTAACCTCTAAGTCTCTTTGTCCCCTCCTGAACACAGTCTGGGGGCAGAGAAGTACAGGGTGTCAGTCTGGTCTTGCACATCTATGCAGGTCAACTATTTTAAAAGGAACCCCTTGGAATGTCTGTGTTGGTCCTGTAAGCATTCCCACAAGGTCAATTATTGCTAGATTTTAATGAAATTATATCAAAGGTTTATATAAGCAATGTCTTGGACTAGTTTGAAAATAAGTGCCATTTTTACTATTTTTAAAGGACTAATGCCCACTTGAAATGAAATTTTTATTGAAAATTGCATTGTAAGCACTAGGATATTTAAGAAATAAAACTTAAGAACCCCAGAAAATATATTGGAGTCATTGTTCTTGGACATATAAAATATGTGCATTGGGAAGACTCCGCTTCTATTTTAAATATTTATATTTGAGTTGAGGGTAGAGGCTGATCCAGGATTTGAGTTAGAGTGACCATCTCTCTAACAATTTCACCCAGCAGAGTGAGTTAGAATAAATAAAAAAATGTATGCCAAAATATATTTTTCTAATTTTATTGTGTTCACATCCCTGCTTTATCCCCATCTGAATTTGCCCCTGGAGGGTTTAATAAGTATTTGTAACTATTAACATAGACTCAAGTGGTAGAATTTTGCATCAGAGGTTATACAATGTGTTTGATAGAACATGGTTACATTTTGTGTTGAAAGCCATTTATGACATTTTCTCTATAACAATTTATCAATAATTTCTGTCTGTGTAGTTTTGTTTCAGTAAAAATTCTGAAGTAGAGACATTATTTTTGCAATATAAATACTAATTAAAGTATAAATATCAAAAAAAATGTGAGTAGGTGTACTTTTGATATCTTCATCACTACAAAAGAGAAACAAATTATTAAAAGTACCTGGAGGTTACAGTGTGTGACTTTAATGACTTTATCACATTTAGTAAACCAAAGATGATCAGGTTTGTAGAATACAAATTTTTGAAAAAAGGAAAACATTAGCTAATGCAATAGACATGTTTGGAAAATAACAACAATTTAAACTGAAACAAAAATTTCAATTCAGTTATTTATTCAGGTAAAGTGCTATTGTCATCCTTGCACTTTTCTGGTACCACGGTAAAACCCTTGCTAAAGTGAGGTGTCTTTTTTTTCTGTGTTGGATGTATAAATAAGCAGCCACGTTTGGTTGGAAATGGAATGTTAATTATGATACCTTCTGTGTATTGAGTTCCACACTCTGCATGTTAAAGAACCCTTGTAACAACTCGTTTACAAGTCAAAACAGTCTGCCCTATTCCAAATACCCTCATTTTCTAGTGTTTCGACCCAGCATCCTGGTTGACTTACCTTTTGTATTAGTTATTTTAAATTTGTTCTCGTCCTTGCTATGCATGAAATATTTGCCACTGGCAGTTAAGGAAGCAACAATCAAATAGTTCATTTTATTATGCAGTACACACAATAAAAATAATAACAGTTTCAGTATACCAGAGATATATAATATATATTCTTATTGAAATTTTTATTCACTTAATCTACCCATTGTTCACAGAAAAAGACTAATTTTATATCGAAATATTGAAAATTTGCGTCTGTTTTTTACAGCTGAATCTTTAATCGATTGCTACTGCAAGACGTCCTTTCAGGTTTCGAAGTTTTTTATTGTTTTGTTTCCCGGTCTGTGAATCTGTTCTGTATCAGGTTAAAGTTTTAGTGTAAGAGTAGTTTACTCTTAAGTTGTGATCACATAACCTTGAACCTTCGTGCAATTGTTCATTAATATGTTCTGTTTCTTGGTTCACTGAAATTTGGTTCGGTTGAGAACTTCACGACAAAAGTGATGAGTTCAGCTTTCAAATTGTGAACCTTCTTTTCCTCCATGTAGAAATATTCCAGCAGCACCTACATATGAAACATATTTTTTTCACAGCTTCATGGTACTATATTAAAAACCTTGTCTGTCCTATAATGATTTGTTTTATAGAGAGTTATTGCTTATTTGTTAAACAGAACATATTACATCAACGGTCCCAAGTGGTTAAGTTGGAAGTATCTCTTTGAAAGTTTTACGGTTGCATCAATATTTCAATGCCTGTATATGTAGTATATATTTTCAAGTGGAAACATGGTGGCCGAGTGTTCTAAGAAGTTCATCTACAGGGAATACTAGCCTGTGGATACTGATGTTGTGACGCCGAGACCCGCTCGTGGCAGATGTGTTTGACACCTATCTTAATTGACTAGGAAAGCCAGTTTTCCTGTCGAAAATTGCGATGGTTCTCTCCCGGTATTCCGGTTTTCTCCACCAACAACATAAACTGGCCGCTATGATTTCTCACAAGGAAGCTGTTAAACCATGGGTTCTATTTGTAAAATTAAAAATAACTATACATATAAATCATAGTTTGGCCAAGGATTTGTATAGTTAACTAACTAACTATACAAATCCTTGATTTGCCTGACCTTTTTCAGAGACATATATTACATATAATATATTGTCGAATTATATGTCTATGCCTTTTTATGGAACATCTGTGTCACACTTAGTATTACGACGTCACCAATAAAGGCAATAGTAGTATACCACTGTTCAATAGTCATAAATCGATTTAACTGAAACAAATCCGGGTCACAAACCAAAACTGAGGGAAACACATCAACTATAAGAGGAAACAAAACGGAACAATAGAAACCCTAAACTGCTACAAAAACAAAAGCCAACATACATAGAAACGGACTATGTGATAACAACTGCCATATTCCTGACTTGGTACAGGAAATTTTAAGAAAAAATGGTGGGAAGAACCTGGTTTTATGGCTAGCCAAACCTCCCGCTTATATGGCAATGTGAAAAATACCGCTGAAGTGACAACCTTACGTGACAGGAATGCAGTACAAATAAATGCAAGAACATTTTTTTGCGAAAATTGTCTATGGATTGTTATTACTTGAAAGATTGAAATAGTCGTTCTTATGACATCGGTTACCTTTATCAAACGTGATTTTCCTTCTCTTCATTCCAACAGAGACATATAATACAATATATGTCTCTGATTCCAAGCTGAACAAATATAGTTCACATGTCAGAAGACTTGTAACTTGAGTTCGTAAAATGAGACCTTTTTTACTTGCCATGGGATGCTACTAGTGAAACGGTATCTGCTTGTCTACTTATCCATCTGAAGCATTCGAGTTCCCCTTTTCCCTACCCCTCGTTTTGTGTAGGGTTCGTGTTGCCCAGCCTTGTGTTATTTGTAGTGTTTTGTCTTTTCGTCGTTTCCCTATTGGCGTGTTGTCTGTGTTTTTTTTCCCAGACATGATTTTTGGTTGTCTCCTTTGTACCCTCTGATTGTTGTTTACCTAACGTGGAAATGTGATAGTGTGGAAATAAACTCATCATAGATACCAGGATTGAAATCTTGTATTTGCGCTAGACGCGCGTTTCGTCTACAAAAGACTCATCAGTGACGCTCGAATAAAAAAAAGTAAAAAAGGCCAAATAAAGTACGAAGTTGAAGAGAATCGAGATCATTTCAGTTTAAGGCCACAATAAGTTGAAACTAATTTTCATTATAATGTGAACTTTTTAAAATATATACTAAATTAAAGCTTTGATCAGTAGCAGTCTTTGGTGTCTAATGGACACTTTATTTTATTATTTGACATGCTTTAGTGATTTTCATTGACAAAAAAGATAAAATCTATTTTCGGAATCAGAGATATATAGTTTTATATGTTTCTGTTGGAATGATCTTAAAACTTAACGATTTTTTTTCTATTTTTCAAGTTTCTTGAAAAAATTACTCATTGCTGGCTGTTATATTAATGACCTTTTGGTTATGATGACCACATATGATGTGTTGCGTATTTTTGTTTTCAAACATTTTGTTTGTTAGAGTATATGATCAAAGTTATTACAGCAGCATGTCCTGTGCACACAGAAATGGTATCATACGAAAAAGTATTGAGGTTGACCTGTACTTTGTCATATTCCTCGAGATCAAATCAATATAAAAACAAGGTGTTTTTCATCATTTTAGGGGTGAATTGGTTCAGTGTCTCTGGTTCAAGATTTCAATGGAGACAGTAACAAAATAAAATTTTACTCAAGCTTTGCGATCTATTGTTATTTAGTTAATAAGCATTCAAAAGAAAATATGTTTGTGCGAAAATTGTCTTTGGATTGTTTTTACTTCTATTTGTAAAATTAAAAATAACTATACGGACCTAATCATATTTTGGCTGACCTTTATTAGAGACATATATTACATATAATATATTGTCGAATTATATGTCTATGCCTTTTTATGGAAAATCTGTGTCATACTTAGAATAACGACGTCACCAAATGAGACCTTTTTTGTCGAGCCTTCGACTTTTGTCGAAAAAGCGAGACATAGTGATCCTACATTCCGTCGGCGTCGTCGGCGGCGTCCACAAATATTCACTCTGTTGTTAAAGTTTTTGAAATTTTAATAACTTTCTTAAACTATCCTGGATTTCTACCAAACTTGGACAGAAGCTTGTTCATGATCATAAGATAGTATCCAGAAGTAAATTTTGTTAAAAAAAAATCCTGTTTTTCCGCATTTTACTTATAAATGGACTTAGTTTTTCTGTCAGGAAACATTACATTCACTCTGTGGTTAAAGTTTTTAAAATTTTAATAACTTTCTTAAACTATCCTGGATTTGTACCAAACATGGACAGAAGTTTGTTTATGATCAAAAGCTAGTATCTAGAAGGAAATTTTTATTAAAATTTTGTACTTGTTTATCCATATTTTACTTATAAATGGACTTAGTTTTTCTTCCAGTTAACATTAGATACAGTCTGCAGTTAAATTTTTCAAAACATTTATTAGATTCATAAACTATCCTGGATTTTTACCAAACTTGGACAGAAGCTTCTTACAATAAAAAAATTGTATCGAGAGGAATATTTTTATTAAATTTTTTCCTCATCTCATTTTTGTTGAGCCTGCGATTAACAGCAAAAGTAGGCGAGACACTGGGTTCCGCGGAACCCTTACGAATTTTTACTTCCCATCGGGTGCTACTAGTGATTGTCTTTGGATTGTTTTTACTTCTATTTGTAAAATTAAAAATAACTATACGGACTTAATCATAGTTTGGCTGACCTTTATCAGAGATTTTTTTACTTGAAAGATTGAAATAATCGTTCTTATGCCATCGGTTACCTTTATCCAACGTGATTTTCCTTCTCTTCATTCCAAGCTTGAACAAATATAGTTTCCATGTCAGAAGACTTGTAACTTGAGTTCGTAAAATGATTCCATTTCAAATTTTATTCTATTTATTTTAGCTAGGAAAGGCAGGATTATGAAATGTAGTTTGTTACCAAATTAGGAAACTTTATAGACTTTTGAACAAGGAGCTAATTGTGTCAAACATGCAGTCTTTGTGTAGTACAGTTTCATAGTGTTTTCTTTCATTACCGTGACATAATACATTCCATTCAGTCCCTTCATTTGATTTAATGAACCGGTTAAATGGTCACTCGTAAAAATCTATAAAGTCAGTGGTTTCGAAAAATAAGCATTTGATCATTCTCCCCATTGTTTAAATTCAATGATAGTGCGTTTCTATAGTATCACTGAAATGTTAACAACTTGAAAATCGTGACAAAATTAAACTGAATTATTCAGTCCCTCTTCATGTTTGACTCTCCTTCTCGCGCTACTCCCTCGTACAGCAATGGAATATAACGACGGAATTATCCGTTAAAGGACGGAAATAGCTGGACAAATCATTCTCAACTGTGAATTAGAGTTATCCTCCTTATACTATTCTATATGATTGTCATTCAAGTGAGAGGTTTAGTTAGGTAAATCCACCATTTCTACATAAGGAAATGCCTGTACCAAGTCAGAAATATGACAGTTGATTTCCTTTCGTTTGATTTATTTGAGCTTTTGATTTTGCCATTTGATAGAGGACTTTCCGTTTTGAATTTTCCTTGGAGTTTGGAAATTTGTGATCCTGAGAAATTCCGTAACTTAATTGCGAATATTTCAGAGTTAAAAGTATTATCTTTCCTAATTTTATCGAATAGTAATCGCTTTAGTAAATAATTTAAGTCAGTTTGTTAAGTTGCGTCAGGTACAAACATGGAGTTTCAGTTGTCAGAAACAAATCGGGGGGAAATCCTTAGTGTGCGATTGATTCACTTTCAGTATCGACAGAACACTTTAGTCAAGGGATATTGAATGCATTGTAAATTATTGCAAAGGTATTTCATCATATTCCCTACCCCCCAAGTCTTTGGACATCACTACCGTCAGCAGAATCCAGGCGTACTACAAACCAGGGGCGGATCCAGGATTTTAGGTTAGGGGGGGGGGGGGGCGCAAACTTAAATTTTTTTGAGTTTAAATTATCGAAATATTTATTATTTATTAAGCTGAGTTCAACACATGCTTTGCAAATTTTAGAGGGGCGCACGCCCGCCACGCCCCGCCTGAATCCGCCCCCTGCAAACGACCCGTATTCATTCCATGCTCACAACAATGAGCAATTTTATTCAGCATATCCATGTATTTTTGTGTTTTGTGTTTTCATTAAGCAATTGGCTTCAAATATTCAGCACGTTACGACATGTAAACTCAGTACTTTTAATCTTTAGATTTGCCCTGTTTTTACATTTTATCTATATAATTATATTTCCACGACTAAGTGCTTGTGCATAATAAAACGAAAATAATAGTTGAATAAATAAGTATAATCTACCTGTATTTACCTGAGTTTACCTGTAAAAGAAAGCGCGCAAATGTAATCAAAAGTTCCGCGCAAATGTAATGGTAATGCGCGCAAATGTACAATCGATTTCAGTTTATCCTTTTACCTCTGACCGTTTGGGAAAATCATTTAGTAATGGTCACGTTTATCATGTGGCGACGTTTTCAGTTTATCCACAAACATGGATCATTTTAATTCTTACGTTGAAAAATATGCACCTATGGTCGAACTATATTACGGTCGTAATATGAAGTTCGTATTAACAGAATCAAGGAGGTAGTACAACCTCCTTGGCAGAATAGACCTTGTTCCTCTCATTTCATAAAATGATCCTTTTCCTTTGGTTAAAGAAAGTGTATACAGAGATCTTCAAACTTTATTCATGGTTTTGTTCTACATATATGATAATGATAGCAAAAACGCGTACTTTTCATTACTTTATTTACCATACGGCCATTGACCTGAAGTGAACGTTCGGTTACTGACCTAGCGTAAGGTCAAACTTTCTCGACCCATTTATGTTATGCGGATTTATCATATTTATTACATTTATGTACCAAAAAAATACCTTTATGAATAATATCGTTAAATAAATTCATATTTATATTTCTTCGTGTTTAGATTATATTAAACCTTAGTCAGTTCTGATAACAAAATAAAACCCCAATACTAGAGTTAAAATGCAGGGTTGCTGCTATTATCTTTTTGGTGTTCTCTTTTTCATTGACAAGCTGCACCAAGAATTTTATACACGTGTTTCCAAAACCATTAAATTTTAGATTTTAGACGTATAATCGAAATCTCACTCAAACGTTGCTCTCATCCAAACATTGCGCTAATTATGCTTAATCTCATTCAAACATTGCGTGAAGTGCGCAAAATATCACTGAAAAATTGCATTTAGTGCGCAAAATTTTACGAAACCTGAAGAAATCCGTTTGATGTTTTGTTTTCCAATTTCAGCAATGAGTGCTATAGTAAACTTTACAGAGAGGGTGTTCCGCCAAGTACGCAAACTTTGAAGAAAACTGCAGCAATGTTTAATACTTGAATGCAGCATGTAGCGAAATTTGCGAGATTTTAGGTCCAAGGATATTTTGAAGAAAAAGCTGACGATAAAAATTCAATTTTCATTCTCTGTAATACTACTAATTTCACCTTGGGGGTATTCAAACCCTGTCGGGCTATAGAAGATACTCAAAATCTGAGAATAATGGACCACCTGAATCAATAAAGTTGCCTGGCCGGTTTCTGTCCATCACTGGACTTTCATCGGAGGCTAACTGGGTTTGTACTTTAAGATGCACGTGTTTTTCTTTCTTATTTTAAATAAAAACTTCATAGATTTTAGACCCTAAAAAGTATTCATTGGATACATATCAACGTTCCAACACAGCACGAAATCTGTCAGATAACTTGACATTTAAAGCCAGAGCTGACCCCCCCACCTAAAAAAGTTGAACAAATTCCAAGAAAGATAAACCAACACTACATATAAAGGAAGATGTCGGGTTTGTATGGATTGAAAGTTGATACTACCAGTATAGAGCTCTGTGAAAATCTAATTGTGTATGAACATTTACAATAATCTTATAACTATTTGTGGAACGCGGAAGTCCGTTTGTTTATTTTTCTTTGATACACATTTTTTATCTTTTAAAATCACCTATTATTTTATATATACAAGAAAAAAAATCCATCAACGCTCTATTTATTCGAAAAGCTATCCAACGGGAATAAAAGCCCGACTGAAACATACCCATTCATTTTTGTACGCTGTGTTTTTTTTTAATTCATTCGAAATTACTTTAAATTCCACAGTTTAATATATAAATTATTTTCAAGAGAAAGACGTATTGTTTTGAAAAAAGTACTAATTAAACTTTTACTTATACACCTATAGTTTTCTCGCTTTTGAACGTTAACAATTAACCATTCAAACAAAGCAGTCAATCGGCTATTGAAAGTAAGATTTACATTTAAACAAACGTTCAATGAAAAATAAAAACTTTGTACTTCCTAGGATTGTTACTTTTTCTGAGAGGAAATTCAGAGGAACAATAGGTTTGTATGATTTTTGTAACTTGTTTATTTAGACAGGAAATTGCAAAATATATGAAAATAGGAAATGTCTTACTGGGTGGTGATTTTAATGCAAGAATTGCTAATTCACCATGATAAATGTTATTTACCTTTGTGTAATAACTAACCCATTGATAAACAAATCTTAAAAGGACAAGTCAGTCATTTAACACAAAGGTCTTTTATTAAGATAATTCTATTAGTCACTAAATGGTCGCCGTTCTTGTGGATGTTTTTGGAAAATATTTTATACCCCAAATGGCAGTTTGTCGGAGAGTATCCTGGATTAAATTCATTTGTTTATGTTCACAACTTTATATTACATACTATTTCAGATTGAAAGGGAAATATCAAGTATATGCATTGTTGATGATACCGATTGTAATATTTAAATGTTTGATAAATCACCAAACTTCATGTGGTCAAATGAATCTCCCACAAAATTTCAGACAGCCATATTATCACAAGATATACAAATGTAGAATTGCAAATGTATACGTTTAATAAAAGTCTCATATCCTCGGTCGATGAGGCTGTAGCAGAATTATCACATATTCTCTTATCTGCTTCTCTTAAACGAATAAGAAAATAAAGACAACAAATTGATTTGATGGAGATTTGCAAAATCCCCCCCCCCACCCCCAAAAAAAAAATCAGTTATGGTTAAATATACTTGCAATTAAATTTTTCTTAACATCCAATAGTGAAAGGTCGCTATTATAAACTCAACGGGTAATATTTAAAACTTAGAAAATTTAGATACAAAAAAAATACTATTGAAACAATTACATAATCTGCATGATGATAATCCTAAATACTGTTGGAAATTAATGAAAGATTTAAAAAAATAATGATCATAAAGGTCATACATAGTTCAACTTCTGCTGCTGCATTATCTACTTTGGTTACACATTTCAATGGATTGTATCAGATATATGATTCATTCAAAGACGGAGTTGGAAAAAGCTTGCTAATCAAGACAAAATGTTTGTTTCTTTAATCTTGATAAACTGATAAAAGAGAAAGAAATTTCTTTTTACCATTTCAGAATTACAGTGTAACAAATCGTTAGGGACTGGTCGTTTTCTTTCATTGGGGGGATGGGAGGAAACAGTGGAATTTTCTGATTTTTTTCATGTCCCCACCTTGGGGAAAGAAAATAAATTCAAGACCCCCCTTCAAAAGACAATAAAATCCCCCCTCCCCCCAAAAAAATAAATTCTTGACACTTTTATATAACAAAAATACATGCATACAATTTATATTTATATTATTATCATTCAATAAAATATTGCTTCATTACTACGGCGGATCTAGAGCTTAAAGTGGGAGAAGTTGTTATCTCAGCTGTATTTGGCAAAACTTCAAGGAATTTTGGGTCCTCAATGCTCTTCAACTTCGTACTTTATTTGGCCTTTTTAACTTTTTTTATTCGTGTGTCATTGGTGAGTCTTTTGTAGACGAAACGCGCGTCTGGCGTGCAAAATTTTAAGCCTGGTATCTATGATGAGTTTATCGTGACTTCATGGAACTTTATTTGGTTATATATAAAATGAGGAGATGTGGTATAATTGCCAATGAGACAGCTATCCAACAGAGTTAAAATAGAGTGGTAGTAAGCAATTATTGGCCACCGTACAGCCTTCAACAGTTAAAATGAAGGGGTAGTAAGCAATTAAAGGCCACCGTACGGCCTTAACGATGAGAAAAACTCATACTGTATTGTCAGCTATATAAAAGGGCCGACATGAAAAGTGTTAAACAATTCAAACGAGAAAACTAACGGCCTAATTTCTAACAAAACAATTTACGAAAAACAAATACATTTATGACAGATCTGAACCAACGATAACCACTGTACTACAGGCTCCGGACTAAGGACAGGCACATAAAGAATGTGGCAGGGTTAAACATGTTTGTGAGCGCGTAACCTGGGATAGCGGTGTTACAGCACAAGATACTAACAAACTAAAATTCATTTGCAATTTGAAACTCAAAAGATCGGTAAGATGCACTAAAACAAAAGACACAAAGCAACGAAACTCGCAGTCACTGAAGGCTAGTTCAATGCCAATTACAACTAATAAATCATCTTTTCCCAGACTAAAGTTTTAACCAGTACACATCAAACGGATTTAGTGTAAAGACGTCATAAACAGTATGAGAAATGCACAACCTTGTGCAATGCCAAAATATAACTAAACAATATCTACAGGGTGTAGAATCATAAGTAATTATAACTGTACATATAAAGCAACATATAGTCAGTTATGTTTTAATTTTTCAAAACAAAAACAATGTTAATAGTCCTGTAAAACAATTTTTAAAAGATTGAACTACTGTGTATAAAAATTGATAACCTGGCTTTAAGATTATTCAAAGGATCAATTTGTTTACATGGAATGTGTCTATATTTACGGGCTTTATAAACAACCTCACCGTCAAATTAGGATGGGATATCCCGTTTGTAATAAAAATTCTACAGATGCAGCCAAACTTTCGGACCAAATTTTTATATATGTGAAAGGTTTTAATTTGTGGTACCTTTTAATTTACTAGTTATACACAAATTATTTTCATTGAAATATAAAACCAACTACAGACACGGGCATAGCGAGCAAGTTGTGAAATGTATTATCACACCGTCAGAAGGGGCTATAGGAACATACCTGTATTTACCACACCTAGCTTCATTCAATTTCAGCACATTGTTCATATATATCCTTTATCAAAGAAGTTGGTAAATGAACTTTAAAATTAGATAAAAATACATTCTTGGAAGAAGATGTTGACACTTAGGAATTGAATCTTAAGAATTGAAACGAGCGGAGCGAGTCGAAAAAAAAATGGATGTCTATTGTGCCAAAAAATTATACTTTTTATTGTATAGGGAAGAGGTGGGTGGGGTCACCAAAAAATAAGATGCACTAAAACAAAACACACAAAGCAACGAAACTCGCAGTCACTGAAGGCTAGTTCAATGCCAATTACAACTAATAAATCATCTTTTCCCAGACTAAAGTTTTAACCAGTACACATCAAACGGATTAAGTGTAAAGACGTCATAAACAGTATGAGAAATGCACAACCTTGTGCAATGCCAAAATATAAGTAAACAATATCTACAGGGTGTAGAATCATAAGTAATTATAACTGTACATATAAAGCAACATATAGTCAGTTATGTTTTAATTTTTCAAAACAAAAACAATGTTAATAGTCCTGTAAAACAATTTTTAAAAGATTGAACTACTGTGTATAAAAATTGATAACCTGGCTTTAAGATTATCCAAAGGATCAATTTGTTTACATGGAATGTGTCTATATTTACGGGCTTTATAAACAACCTCACCGTCAAATTAGGATGGGATATCCCGTTTGTAATAAAAATTCTACAGATGCAGCCAAACTTTCGGACCAAATTTTTATATATGTGAAAGGTTTTAATTTGTGGTACCTTTTAATTTACTAGTTATACACAAATTATTTTCATTGAAATATAAAACCAACTACAGACACGGGCATAGCGAGCAAGTTGTGAAATGTATTATCACACCGTCAGAAGGGGCTATAGGAACATACTGTATTTACCACACCTAGCTTCATTCAATTTCAGCACATTGTTCATATATATCCTTTATCAAAGAAGTTGGTAAATGAACTTTAGATAAAAATACATTCTTGGAAGAAGATGTTGACACTTAGGAATTGAATCTTAAGAATTGAAACGAGCGGAGCGAGTCGAAAAAAAATGGATGTCTATTGTGCCAAAAAATTATACTTTTTATTGTATAGGGAAGAGGTGGGTGGGGTCACCAAATTTTTGCCCCCTCCCCCCCCCCCCCCCCCCCCCAATCTGATGTATTGAAAAATTGGACACCCCTTCCTTTCCATGCCCAAAAATTTTCAAGGCCCCCCTTATTTTCCTCCCCCCTTTTCGGGTTACAAATGACCAGTCCTTTAGGCTTGGATAATATTTCGAACAATATGATTAAACATAGTCAGGTTCTTTCGAAAATATTTAATTCTTGTCTGTCTCATGGATTATACCTAAGAAACTGGATACTCTGCTAAGCCTGCACTGAACTGTCCCTTGTTTGGACACTGCTGACTTAACATATATATTCCATTATCTTGTAATAATATGTTATCTTTCTAAATTTTTTTATGAGTTTGACTGATCTGGATAATTATTCAATGTATTTGTAGTATACCTCATAGTTAGATATTTTTTTAATTATCAGTAGAGACCTCTCCTTAAGGCACCATTGATTTATGTTGTTTCTTTATTCAATAGTATAGTTACAATATACTTTCCTGGTGCAGTTGGGTCAAGGTCGACAAAACATAAATTTTATCATAATATGTTGCCTTTTGTTTTATAACATGTCTATTGTCTAGATTGAATATATTATTGTTCTGCAAATTTTTCTAATCGTTGTGTTATATGTCTTACTGACGCCCTAATTTCCTGATTTGGTGAAAAAAGTCTTCATCTTCTATACATTAATTTCTTAGTAAGTGCAGTCATAACTTCACACGGGTAATTCTTAAATTAGACGGAAACCCAACGACACAAAAAACATGATATCTATAGATATCAGCATAAGAACATCAACAATTTATGAATTTGAATGCATATTATGGTCATGCCATTTTTTTAAATTTAAGCAAAAGTCAACCATGGTCTACATAGCGCATTCCACGTTTGATACTTAAGTTTATTTTACAAAATGGCGTGGTAAATCGTCATGCATGAGTAATGATGTGAATAAACCGTCTCTTCCTTGGAACTGTAATACATTTTGTCCAAAAATCTATTAATTTTTAAAATTACTCCAATTCTGTGTTTTCTTTTATGTTCTATATCCAGTGACGGTGGATTCGATGATTGCTGGTTGACAGAAATATCGAAAAGATTTCCAAAAACACAAACTCTTTGACCTGAATCAGGATGTCTTTTGGTTGTTTATGTCGTTGGTTTGCTGTTTCATTGACGGTTAGCTCACATCCTCTTTTGTTGATACCCACAAGAATGATTGTTGCTAATATCTAATGGAGTTAGCAAAGTTGTTTCAGAAGAAAACAACAGACAATGTATAGTGATGCAGTGGAAGAATCGTACATTTTCTCGTATATATATATAAAGTCGAAGTAGTTATAAGTGTCATAAAATTCTGTTCTAAGTTCTTCATCGGGAAAAAATCCATTACGAAGACAAAGTCTATGATGTGGTGGAAAACTTTAAAATTTGGCATATATATTTAAAAGTTCAATTAATGATGAACATATGTACGTAAGTTTCAAGTTGATTTGACCACAAACTACCTTCAACTAAAAAAATTACCTACCTTAAATAAAAACTTAAACTATCACATTTCTATGTACAGTGAATCATGAAATCTGTGTAAAAACTCTTATTTTGCATATATATCAAATAGTTAACAGCTTCAAGTTGAGGTAACCACAAAATATCCTAAACCACAATGATACAGGATGGACCAACAGACGGACGGACAGACGTGAAGATAGGAAATTGTAATGCCCTTCTACTATCAGAAGCAGGACATAAACCATACATTATTACGTACCAATATCATATTGAATATATTGTTGTCGCAACTACAACAATAAGTGTCAATACGCTCACATGATAGTGTTTGCCGGCTAGGATCACATGATAACTATTATGCAACATTCTCTTTACATTTTTAGGATACATATGAACCCAAGGCTGTAAATGATTACTACTGGTTTGTCTGAAGTTATTGTACAAGGTTGCTGATTTTTGTGTGCAGAAAGTTACTAATAACATAAGATTCAACGTGATAGATTAAATAGTGTTTGAATAAGAACTCCAGAAGAATGGATAACAAAGAACCCGAGCCAGATTACCTACCCAGAGACGTACAGAGGTGTTTGAATAAGAACTCCAGAAGAATGGATAACAAAGAACCCGAGCCAGATTACCTACCCAGAGACGTACAGAGGAACAAGAACTGTAATTTTTCAGGAGGACAAAATGTAGTTTGCTTTCATACTTCAGCAACACAAAACAGATATATCAAAGAAGCACAAAACCTGGGTAGCATTCATGATGAATTATCATATACTGACAATATTTCTACTGATGATATGAACAATTGGGTTAAATGGCGGGAAATTGCAAATGAACAATTAGCAGTATTGATTCGTGCATCACCTTCGTCAGACAAAAGTTTGACAAGACCTCCATTGGAGAAAAACGTTTTAACGAATATCGAAACTCATTTTAAGAAATGTTATCCTTCACTTTCTGGTCATCTCTCTAGTAAGCAATTTGTAATGTTTGGTATACCACGAGCAAAGTTATTCATTTTACGTTAAAATATAAACTTAGGACTAAGAGGTTAATTAAAAAAACAAATTTTGTACCAAACATTTTCCTTGGCTTTTCATTGAATTCCTTTTACAAATAAAAGGTAAATTGTTGTACAAATTATAAAGCTCTTCAATACACCAAGTTATAGAGTGTTTCTTTTGTTCTTTATCATAGTAAATTATCCTAAAATCTATCTGTATGCAACAACTAAGTTTTTTCCAGCTCACAGACCTACTCGTTGTCACGAAGGACGTTTTAATATATTTGTTCTCTATAGTTTATATCAAAACAACGTGCCAAGGTCGATACATTCAAAAGTCGCCGTGTGAATCTTACAGTGTTATATGTCCACTTTTGATAAAAATAAAGATAGCTATGTATTTGATATTCAAATGCAATGGTCTATCTCCCTATACAACTATAATACGAGATGTCTACACTCTACAAGATTTGTCAGAACTGCACTGTTCTATCTCCACACTCTCATTGGATTATAGCTTATTCATCTTGTTAGTTCACAGAAAAAATATTTGTTTAGTGTTGTAACTCCACTATTTTTCAGGTATTTTTCCTGTAAAATTATTCTTTGTAGTACTATGCTTAAAGTGTTTGCACGATTTGATCTCAATCTATGAACAATTCTTAGAAAATCCAGAACAGCAGTCCAGAATTGGGGATATTACACAGTTAAAAAATCCATGGTGTATCTCTTAGAGAAACATAGGGATAAATTTCTAAAACAACATTGTTTGTAGTGAATTGTTCTATCTCCAGAAAAAGGGATGCTTTATTTATCTAAGCTGCTTGTCTATTAAAAACATCCAATTGAACAAATAATTTCTCTTCATGTACGTAAATTCAATCCAATTATAACTTTTTATGCGTCAGTCAAATATTTATGATATTGCGCTTTTAAACTTTAATTTTGATTTATACCACTATTACCAAATTGGGAATTCATGATTATAAGATTCACACGACGAAATGTGAATTTTTGCTGTGTTTCGTTAAATTGTGTTGGTATTTTTACTTAAACTTATGTGTTTTAGCTTTACAATTTGACATATACATTTACAAAATATTGACGTGTTAAAATTACTATGCATATAGATGTACCGAATATAGGCGTGTTAAAATTCCTATGGCATATACTTGAAAATGTACGGAAAAGTTGCGTGTTCCTGTGACATATACATGTACGGAATAAAGACGTGTCACTGTGACATATAGTCAGTATTAGAGAACCACAAAATGAATAAATGAATAGTATGTATATTAGTTATTTGTTTCCATAGCAACATTATAAACTTATTTTACACCATTCTCCTATAAAATGTTGTTTTCATATGCTATATTTAGAGAACAATGATAAATTATATGACAACACTGTTTTCTTTGTAGTGAGTTATTAATGTTACTATTATAAATAGCGACTTTGCGCATGTTGCGAAAAACGTGCCAAATATTGTATGTGTCACCTGCTTCCCTAAAGATATTGAAAATGACGTTTACTGATTTATTTGTAGCTGCCGGGTAGCCTAGTGCAATATTTCCATAGTATGGAATCTTCAGTAATCCTTTAATTAAATCATTTGTATACTCTGTCACTATATGTAGGCACATAATAATAATTGCTCTAGCCTAGTGCAAAATTTCAACAGTATGGAAACTTCAGCAGTATTATAATTAAACATTTGTATACTATGTCACTATGTACCTCATAATACTATCTGTTCTTTTTTCAAATGTAAAGGAAAAACTTAAATGGCTGATAACCATAGGAATTTAGAGAGTATTTAAAAAAAGCTGCTTCACGGCTGACTGATGATATTTGTATCGACTATACAGTATACTTTGAGCACGATCCCTTTGTTGCAGTTAGGAAACCTCTAAGATTACACAATATAAATTCCTATGTCTATAAAAACTACCCAAACTTGATACGATATTATATGATCACATTGATTGTTTCTGTGCAGTCGACTCAAGGAGGACAGTAGGACGACTGAATGGTGTCAAATTAACAGGAGCGTAGGGCAAGGATCACCCTTTTTCTTTTTAAACTAGGCATTTCAGATTTTTAAGTAAATTTTCTTTAATGTTTTTATAATTTTCCTTTTTTATGTTCGGCTCTTATCCATTCAAAATTAAAAGAACAGTGATTTACAGGAGCTTCCCCTCTACTCTTATTTCTAACGTAAGAAATTGTGCCCATGCCTAAAAAATTATCGGGACTTCATTATTTTGGAAGTGACAATTGGCCTAGACGCTGAGACTGCGCATATTAGCCATTTAAAAATACGGAAGTTAACTTTTGATATTGATCTCTGCAAAGAAATATTCAAGCTTAAAAAAAATTGCCTTATCATCACACTTCCGATTACTTTAAACAGTTTTAAAACATTTTGGGGGGTCAAAAGATCTGATACCTTATCACAAGGTAATAGTAAATTAGAAAATTATTTCAACCTCAAGACTGACTTCGTAAAGGAGGCTTATTTATCAATTAAAGATTTTAATATAAGAAGAGCTATATGTAAATTGAGAATAAGTGCACATGATCTTAAAATTGAGAAAGATAGGTATAGTAAAAAATACATAGAGAGAAGTCAGCGTCTATGTCATCACTGCCTATCACATGGATCAAATTCTATTGAAGATGAGACCCATTTCACAGTAAGTTGTCCTTTATATAACGAACAGAGAAAATTATTATGGGATAAAGTAAACAGTTTTTGTAATAATTTTAAAGAATTACCCAAGGATAAAAAATATTTCTGGCTGTTCACAAATGAGCATTTACCAACTCTTATGTGCCTAGGCAATTATATAATTAAGTGTTTAGAAATAAGATCCAGGTGGATACAAAATATATAAAATTATTATGCAATTATTGTTAATGTTATGTAAGACACATGATGTGTTAGGCTCTGATCCTGTCCAATATATGATAGTATTATATTAGGATATAGTTTTTCTTTTTTCCAATCATATTGTGCTTAATATTGTTGTAAATGATGCCCTTTATGGGTTCTTGATTAGATTAATAAAATTCTTATCTTATCTTATCTTATCTTATAGAACGATGTGGTATGATTGCCAATGATCGAGGCAACTTTCCACCAGAAATCACATGACGTAGAAATTGGCAATTATAGGTCACTGTACGGCCTTCAACAATGAGCAAAACCCATACCGCATAGCAAGTAATAAAAGGCCCAACAGATTTAAAACAATTCAAACGAGAAAACTAACTGTCTGATTTATTTAAAAATTCACCAAGGGTTCTACAGACTCCGTGTAGCGCATGTGATTGCTGCGGTCGGTGTAAAAGTGTAATGTTGACTGTAAAAAGTGAGTCCATATTTCAGTTCAATACAGAATTAAAAAAAGAATCAACCTTTTTCTTTAGATGCTATTTCCTGATCATTGTTTCATAACATGAAGGTTTACAATGTTATCATGTAAAAAAAATAATCAGACAGCCTGTAAACTTTAACTGTTAAGTCCATTTATCAGTAAAATACGGAAAAATGGAAATAAAAATATTTATTTTTACTCTGGATGATGTCTTTTGATCATAAAAAACTTCTGTGCAACTTACATAAAAATCCACGAAGATTTGACAAAGTATAGATGACTTTAAAACTTTAACATTACACTGAATGTTAACTGTTAAAAAAAACTTATTTATCTTTAAAATACGGGAAAATGAAAATAACTATTTTCAGATTTGCTCTAGACACTGTCTTTTGTTCACAAAAAAGCTTCTTTCCAAATTGCATAAAGGTTTGACAAAGTTATTGATGTCTAAGAAAACGTTAACTACAGACTAATAAAGGTGGACGCTGCATCAAAAGACTGATAAAGGTGGACGCCGCAACAAAAGACAACCACTGAATGACAGGCTCCTGACTTGGGACACGTGCATACAGAATGCGATGGGGACGCATGACGTTTTCGCTTTTATACCTGTAACATATGTAAAGGTCATTTGCGCTCCAAACACTATGTACTTTAAACATTGATACACCTATATAAAATTGACCGGACGTTTGCGCTTTTAACCTATAAAAGTGTAACTGTAAACAGAATAACCGTAACAGAATACTAGTAATCAGTTTTGCATGCACGACAATTTAGAGTGCTTGTGGTATATATGTCGAAGAATTTTTATGGATGAATCATTCAAAATGCTCTAAATTCTTCAAGCAGCTTTAAACGATTCATTGATTTAAACTTGAAACTATATTCCTTGCTCTCACATTCATTCTATTGTTTGGAAAGTCCGAGGCGCTCTACAAACATTGTTTGTCTGAGTCTCTTTCAAATTGTTGTGACCAAAATTTGATTTTAAACCAGCAGCTGTTCATGTTGACTTTGAAGACAACCGCTCTCTTGAAGTGTTGTCGATTTCAGCTGGCATAAGCAAAGATGCAATCATTAGGGCTCTCTATGGATTCAAAGAGTGGACATATGAAGTATGGAAAGCTTCGTAACTTTGTTCGGGTTATCATTTCTTCTAGATTACGATCGATGTTGAAGATTCTATTGCTGTTGAGAAGATGACTGAACCTATATGTTCCAAATATTCAGATTATCTGACCAAACATTACATAACCGTTGACGCTCGATTGCTACCGTCCAATAGTGTGGGCTGGTCAAGCTTGTTTTGTTCTGGTCATATTTGCTATATGGTCATCATCGGCCCATCTCGGGACCTAAGTTGGAAATAAGATTGTCTAATAGTTTTGTAAAAAATCATCAGCACTATTCAACTAAGCTTTAAAAGGATTCACGTTTCTGAATAATGTTTAAATTTGATACACAGACGTGTTCTAGACATTCAATCATGGAAATAAACACCGATTCAGTGTGGAAATAGCTTTGTATTTCAACATCTTGATTTTGTCAACCACTGATGAATTTTACGGATGGTGATTTTTAATTTTAAATTGATATGAGATCATACGACACTGTACCTCAAAAGTATATGATAAATACACTCAAGTTCGACCCCGGATACAAGATATAGATGGGAAAATATTGGTTTACCATCCCGGATACAATATTACTATAAATAGTATAATATAAGATGGCACAAATACAAAATTAATGATGCATAACTAATAATGTATGTTGTATTACTTTAATATAGAAGGTTCAATGGTGATATAACATAGGAATTACTGTTCTAAAACTACAAACAATAACTTAGAACCGTTCTAAATAATATAATCTGTGTCAAAATTTGAAATCTCGTGAAAAATTTGCAGATTACAGGGAAGACCCACTACTGTAATATAGGACAATGTATTGAATAGAGAATGGAAACGAGGAATGTATGAGGGTGTGGATGGGGGTTTACAGATTAGAGAATAATGGGCAAAAAATATAAAGAAAAGAGAAAAATAGGCAAAAAAAGAAAGAAAAGAAAAGGTGCTAAAATATAAGGAATAGAGAATAATGGGCAAAAAGTATAAAGAATAGAAAAAATGGCATAAATAATTAAATAATACAGAAATGAAGGACCCCCTCCCCCATCCAGACCCTCATGTATCAAAGTGACAACAATCCGACCAAAAAACAGAAAACAGCACAAGCTGCTTTCATTGGTTATATTTGTTGAGATCATGAGATCTAACATTGATTCAAGGTCAAGGAACATTACATGTGGTGTGGATGGTAAAGATTGTTGTACGACTTTGCCTCCAGCAGAGCTGTAGAAAAATAGTACAATAACGGATGTTACACGGACACTTTTTATGAATAGAGTCCCTCGTGCATTCAGTGAGTTCATAGGAACTTTATCGTACACCTTGTGACCTAATAATATAATTTATATGAAAAGTGTTCATACAAATTACATTTATAAAAAAAAGCTAACTATGTCCCAAAATGCTGAAATTAAATAAAGTGTCTACGAAGTTACTGACTGCAAGAGTAACTGCAACCATAAAATGTTTTCATGTACAAACCTCTCGTGGGTTTGCTTAGCAGTTCAGCTGAAATCTTTCAAATCGTCTAAATCGAACTATACGGTGGATTTCCCCTTTTCTCTTCATGTTCAAAGTCGAATATTGATAGCACAAAATCAGTCTCAACGTCAAATAAACTATAGTGTGTGATAACATTTTGCGAGGGAATTCGATGTTTGCTATACAACGGTTCATCTCAATGCACTTTATGACAATACCACTAAACCAATCAGAATGATTATTTTGCAGTATTTTAAGAAATTATTTTTCTTTGTATTCATGTATTATTTGTGAATCATTAAATGTTTCTGTTTAAAGTCAATAATTATGTAGACTTTTGAAGCCTAAACTTTCTATTGCCTTAAAAACGAAGATCCGAAATCTATACCAATACAGAACGACATATTTTTGAAATTATAGCAAAAATTTTGGTTGACAAATTTTTATTCGTTATGAACTTAAATCAAAGTACTGAAGTACTGAACATCGGATGACCGCAAGTTCTAGTGGATGGTCACAAGCACTTGTCTCAGAAAAAAAATCATATCTCTATACCTGAAAGTTAAGTTAAGGTACATAGATATATTTTTTCTGAGACAAGTTCCTGTGTGGATGATGAATAATTAAATGACAGGGAATTCAACCTCACCGTAATAATTATTATATTGTAGTGATATAATCATTTGTTATCAGTATACTCTGGTTTGTTGTTATAAGTTACTATTTGTAAAACAGTTATATATATAGCAGATCATCTTAATAGCTCTACAGGCAAATTTTCATTCATTTACATAGCATTCTATTCTACTATTCTAATGATAGTGCAGTGCAAGTGCATGGTGGACACTCTTCTGTAATTATTCGTTTTTCTAATAGATTGGATTTGAGTATATAGGCATTCATATTTTCCCGCTTTTATTGCAAAGCGTTCTCGAGATATTCTTCCGCATGCGTTTACTCAAATATTCGGTATTCGTGATTTGTTATTGATATAATTATATATTTTTCTTACGACAAAACATTTTCATATCATTTATCTATGTTCTTAAAAATTATTTTCATGAATATTTATTGATGAAATTAATATATAACAAGCGATAAGGAATGTTATTTTGCACTCGATAATATCCGCGTAATTATACAAAATACGTTCGGTTATCAGTCAAAAGCGCAAGGAAATTTCTGCGGCAACATAACACCGCTATGACCTCTCAAGGTCACATCCGATGTAAAAATGAACTTAAAATATCTGTCATTTTCTCCCTACCCAGTTTACCCCTATTACTTTTTATGATGTGGACCGGTCATTGTTATTGAATCAAGATTACGCAATTTGATTGGATTAAGTTATTATTAGTTTACCTTAAAACTGTTTATTTTTTTCATACACGTATATTGATTAAATCAGAACATGCATATATGTGTACAGCATACCTGCCAACCTATGAAAATGAAAGTGCAGGTCATGACCTGCATTGGAGAAGAAAATCTCAGGTCAACTTTTTTCAGCTGAATTTAAGTATTTAGGGGACATTTATTTATATTTTAAATCGTACAGTGTCCAAAATATGTTCACATGGTGAATTACTAACTGAATTTAGTTTTATTTTGTCATTGCATAATGAGCCATTGAAATATAAATGTGTTATACTTCATCATTTCAAGCTAAGCCATACCCCCTCTCTTTGTCTTATTCATAGTATTATATCAATTCTCAGGCTACATTTTTAGCTCACCTGGCCCTATGGGCCAATGAGCTTTTCTCATCACTTGGCGTCCGTCGTCCGTCGTCGTCCGATAACTTTTACAAAAATCTTCTCCTCTGAAACTGCTGGTCCAAATTTATCATTATTGGGGTATCTAGTTTAAAAAATGAGTCCGACGACCCCACCTACCAACCAACATGGCCGCCATGGCTAAAAATAGAACATATTGGTAAAATGCAGTTTTTGGCTTATATCTCTGAAACTAAAGCATTAAGAATAAATCTGACATAGGGGTAAAAATGTTCATCAGGTTTAGATCTATCTGCCCTGAAATTTTCAGACGAATCAGACAACCTGTTGTTGGGTTGCTGCCCCTGAATTAGTAATTTTAAGGAAATTTTCGTAAATTTTTGTAATCTTTTACAAAAATCTTCTCCACTTAATCTACTGGGCCAAATAGAATTAAACTTGTATTTTCGATACCTTCAAAATAAAAACGAAATTAAAGAGCAGACAATCCTAGACAATCTTTTACATAATACATTTTTATAGACTGAATATTTGCTTGCTTACATGTTAATAGAATGACATTTTCAAGCCTAAAGATAAAACTCAAAATTTCTCATGCATTTTTTACAAGTAGAAATAAAGTTTTAATTTTAAATAAAAAAATAAATATAATAATTAAGAGTAGAAGACAACATGCACAAACTGCATGATGTTACCATTTATAATAGCGTGTGGTTCATTTCTTTTCTCAATAACTGTATAAATGTTGAATGTTTTAATCTACTCAATCATTGAAATCATGTTTATTATTGTTTGATTTGTCTTGTAGCGATAATTAAATTGTGATTATTGAGGCCCCTCATGGGGGTGTCCAAGTAATCACATAATCACAAATTTTTTGCCAATATAATCACATAATCATTAATTATTTTTTTAAACAAGATAATCACATAATCAAAAATACATATCAAATATATATATCAAATACTCAAATAATCATGAAATATTTGGTCTGGTAATCAAATAATCACTATAAAAACGGCCAAGTAATCACATAATCAAAAACCCCATGAGGAGGCTCATTATTCTGCTCTCATGATGGTACCTTCATTAGTTAATGTATACAATTGTATTGTATTATATTGTGATCTGAGTCATATATACTACTGTTGACTTTATTCATAACTTGTTATATGAAAGGACATTGTCTTAGATTTTGAGGTAAGCAAATCATGGAACAGAAATTGAAATGGAAGACTCTCGCGTATTACAAATAAAATAACAGACATACTCTTTTTCAGATGCCATTATTATTATCAGAATCGATATTGGAATAAAAATGAGTTGTCTCTCTTTATAAAGTGATATACATCTTGTACAGACCAGGAATAACAAATGTAATGAGCTAGTAAGTGCAAACATTAAATTATACACAAAAAAGGAAACATCTAACATAGCTTCATTGTTAGTACGATTCTGAAAAATATATGCATGCCTTTTTTTGCAAAGTTCTGAAAGTTTGTCGTTAACATAGTTACGGGTATCAACATAATTGAACTTCCGGGTATAGCTTCGGTTATTTGATAAATACTATATATCAACTAACCATGTAACATAGTATTCAGCACAAAACATACATGTGAATGCTTCGTTGTATATATAAAAAGTCCACCACCGCTTATACAGTATACCATTGTAATAGTATCAATAGTAAACAGGGGCGTAGCTAGGCCAATATGATGTGTACTCAATGCCAGAGGGTGAAGTCAAACGGCAGGGGGTTTTGGGGCCGCTCAAGGCCCCCAGAAGCTCTAGGGTGAATGGTGCAAAATCCTGCATTCTCGCAATTTCCTTTGACCCATGTAGTTAAGTTGTTTTATTTGAGGGCCTCAATGAAAATTAGACTACTTCTAATTGAGTCACCCTCTTTAAATAAAGAATTTATTATTATTGTTATTATTTTTATTATTATTATTATTATTATTATTATTATTATTATGCATGTACCTCACAGGAAGATGATGAGAATGAATCGTTGTCCATGGTCTTTTTAGAACGTCATATTTTATTTATTCAGTTATTTTGATATCTTCAGAAAATATGTCAGGACTGGGTAAGGGGGCATAAAATTGTTTTCTGACACCTCGAGGACCATTTTAATTGTTTGCATCAGCAACATAATCAAAAGTATTTCAGGAACGGAATATAGCTACAAAGTGATTATTAATATGTTTGTATAATAGTTTTTAATTTAATTTATTACTTTAGTTTTACTTTTACTAGATTTACTAACTTTTTATTTTTGTAAAATTTTCGATGTGTACGCAACTGCGTTTTTGCGTACGGGTTGCTACGCGCCTGGTAAACTGTAGAAAACGACAACACACACAGTCATCACAAAATCGTCCCTGTTTAGAGGTCCTCCTATTGGTTGACCTGTTGACTTGTCATTCTAAAAAAATGGTATTTTTGAGAAAAGTAAATATTTTTTGCATAATACTATAGATTTTCTCGTGAAGATGCAGAGAAATGACAATTTCAGGGAGTAAGCGATATACAATGTATCTTTATTTACATGTAATGTAATATATTTAGCTCAGTTTTGGGCGCTGTGATTAGCAATACACATTATTCTATTCTATTCTAATGTTGATTTAAAAAAAATACCGTATAGTTGGTTTTTATGGAAGATAGTATCAGAAGTCTTGTAGCGTTCACAATTAACGCGTCATTATAATATATTGTCCCATAACTCAGGTGCAATAAGTTGTGAAATCAAAATGGTTGTAGAGTATGAACAAGTACACACGATGTCACCCAAGTAATTAAGCTTTTGAGCAGATAGTCTCAGAGACTAATATTTGGTTACGACGGAAGGATGGACGAAGATGACTAATATTTATGGCAAGCTGTTTTACTATTTATTCAAACTTCAAGATATCTAATAAACTTTATAAGATATCTCATATAGTTTATAAGATATCTCATATGAGTTATAAGATATCTCATATAGTTTATAAGATATCTTATATAGTTTATAAGATATCTCATATGATTTATAAGAAATCTCATAACATTTGCTTTATAAGATATTTTATAAATTATATGAGATATCTTATAAACCATGAGAGATATCTCATAAATTATATAAGATATCTTATAAACTTTATATTTATCATTCATTCATCAGATCAGTTCAGATCAGTCACGTCTCAGTCCTTACAGCTGAAAGGACGTGCAGCATCAGCTCCTGATCATCCGTTAACTACAACATGTTACGCTGCTCAGATGGTTCAACGACAAACTGGTTTATGAGGCTCCCGTACAGTAAACCTGCGTCAGCGATACTCTGAAACCCATTGTGGATGGGTGAGTGTCACATGCTGCCCAGACGTCCGAGGGCTATGTGTATCGTAGTTTTATTGCAATTTGCAGTCATCTACTACTGAGTCAATGATTTATCTACCAGCAACACATCGTCGAGGTTAGCGGGCTGCCCATCTGATCAACCTGGTCCTGAAAGCAGCCGTTGTGGAGTCCAGACTGCAAAGAAAACATCAAAATAGTAAAAAACCAAACCAAAACGACTCACGTTAACCAAGATGGCCGCCTACCAAAATGGCGTCTTCCATCTGTGCTTGACTATAACTACAACAGAAAATATTCAATGCTCAACAATCGCCTCCGGGCACGAGCCGACCGTGCGAGGGCTGTATAGCCAGTCAAGGTCGTTAAAAACTCCCATCATCATCATAAGAAGATTTCTTATAAAAACTAGATTATATAAGATATCTTATATATTATATGAGATATCTTACATATTATATGAGATATCTTACATATTATATGAGATATCTTATATATTATATGAGAATTCATGAAGTTAGAATAAATAGTAAAACGGCTTGTCATAAATATTGCCTCCATCGCGGTAAAGCGGATAATTCACACACACCAATACATTCCTTAGATTTAAAATGCTTCAACATAAATATAGATTTTTAGGTTCTCATGACCTTGACAAATACAATAAATGCTTACATGTCACTTATTTGAATTATTAATTAATAAATCAAAGTAAATATCAGAAATTAAATATGCTCTTTATGCCAGACCTGCATTTTGTGAGCAACGAGTCTACAAGACTAGTTTTTCCTAGTAAATATTAAATACAGTTCCAAATATTCACCATAACAAACAAAAAATCGCAAGTTTCGATATTTTAACATACATTTAGAGTAACACCTATGTATATTCCATTAAAAATTATCACACAGTGATTGGTGACAGTGGCGGATCCAGAAATTTTCATAAGGGAGGGCCAACAGACTGCCATAAGAGGGGCCCCGCTCCAGTCATGCTTCAGTGATTCCTTAAATAATCAACCAAATTTTTCCCACAAAAGGGGGCTCTGGCCCCCTGCCCCCCTAAATCCGCCTCTGGGTGAGTAAGTGTAATGCATTGATTTAATGATCAAACAAGTCTTCTATCCTGTGAGAACAAAATTTATAGAACCTTTACTCCTATCGTGTCTGAAATAGGTTAGAGAAGAATATTTCAGGGAATATTCTACTTTTGTCGCTCACTTGCTCTCGAATGAAATCAATGTTCTAATGGAGACCGTGTTCTGCTTTGCTGATTTTATACAAATTCATTGCTTCTTCCTGATATATTGTTTGTTTTTGATTTCCAATAGTTTAATTTCCCCCAGAAGAAAACTTTGTATCCCCTTTTTCCACAGTTTGACAGAAATGACCGGATTTGACTTTTTAATGGAGACATCTGTCAAGTTATGCCAATCTTTTGAGTCTTTAAGGATATTTTTAAAAGTATTTAAGGACAACTCCTCATGAAGTTTCTAGTGGAAATGAGTAAGTAAATTGAGAGTATGTGGTTATGCAAGCTTTTATTTGAAAAACGATATGTAAATACAATATATTCTTGTTTCTGAAATTGTATTTAATTGAGTTTTTAGTCTAAACCGAAAAAGGGGTTTTTGGCATATGATATGGGAGATATTTGATGAATAAATATCATACATAAATATATGGCGTCACGGGTTATTTTTTTTCAAAAGTTGAATTACCCAGTTATTACTAGGATGCAAACAAAATTCTTGTAAAATCATCTGTATGCAAATACAAAAAATGATTGGTTTATTATTTTCTTATACAGATGTCTACAGTGACTGTGTATGGAACCGACGTTTGATAAGATATGCGTTGTCAGCTGGGTCTATAACTAAAGGCTGTTCCGTAATGGAAAGCAGAAACACATCGTATGACGAAGAAAGAGGCTCAGACTTTGATGGTTTATAAGAATTGAAACGCAAGAAAATGTAATGTCTGATTCAGAAATTTCCTTAAGAATGGCTCAAGTCCAAGTGTCCCGTATTAGCGAAAAGTCAGAACAAACAGAACCCAACGAATATGTAAAGAATAGTGGCGAAGGTGTGTTTTCATCTCAATAAATTAATAGTACTACCTCCTCTCGTCCCGAAGTAGTGAGTACGCAAAGTGATGTCCTTTACTTTCATTTCGTCGTTCGCAACTCCAGTATTGGTCAATATTATTATTATTATTATTATTATTATTATTATTATTATTATTATTATTATTATTATTATTATAATGGGCTGGGATTTCTTGGTTTGGGAAATTTTGAATTCCTTGACTGAAGGATTTCTTATAGGAAAGTTAAGTAAGCTATCCCCTATATACATGCACCACGCATCGACCAGGCATAAAAAATGAGTGCGGATATTTATTTTTAAATAGATCGATTTAAAAAAAATGATTTAGGCCAACACGAATGTTGACTCAATGTTTATGTATCGAAACTGGATTCCTTCCATGTATTAGTACTAATACTGAAATCCGACTAATTTCGTAACGAATTTTACATATCAAGAATTCTTCATTATGTACATTTGTGTATTTACGAGGTGTAACCAGAATCTGGTTGAGGTGTGTTCATTAAAACATTGAAATTATTTGTATATATTCCAGTATTATACATTATTTGGTTTTAACTTCCGTATTATGCATAATTTGGTGTTATACTCCAGTGTTATACATAATTTGGTGTTATACTCCAGTGTTATACATAATTTGGTGTTATACTCCAGTGTTATACATAAATTGGTTGTATACTTTAGTGATTTACATAATTTGGTTTTATACTCCAGTGTTATACATAAATTAGTTTGATACTCCAGTGCTATACATAATTTGGTTTTATACTCCAGTGTTATACATACATTAGTTTGATACTCCAGTGTTATACATAATTTGGTTTTATACCACAGTGCTATACATAATTTGGTTTTATACTACAGTGCTATACATAATTTGGTTGTATACTTTAGTAGTGTTTTACATAATTTGGTTTTATACTACAGTGTTAAACATAATTTGGTTTTATATTCCAGTATTTTTCATAATTTGGTTTTAAGCTTCCGGTGTTATACATAATTTGGTTTTATACTCCAGTGCTGTATACTCCGGTGATGTGACATAATTTGGTATGATACTTCAGTTATATACATAATTTGGTTTTATATTTCAGTGTTTTACATAGCTGGTTTCATAAGTTCAGTGTAATACATAATTTGGTTTTATGTGTTATACATCTTTTGATTTTTTACTCCAGTGCGATACATAATTTGGTTGTATACTTCAGTGTTAAAATAATTTGGTTGTATACCTCAATGTTATGAACATAATTTGGTTTTATGTGTTATACATCTTTTGATTTTTTACTCCAGTGCGATACATAATTTGGTTGTATACTTCAGTGTTATAAATTATTTGGTTGTATACTCCATTGTTATACAAAATTTGGTTTGGAACTTCAGTGTTATACATGATTTAGTTTTATATTTCAGATTTATACATACTTCGGTTGTATATTTCAGTGACATCATAAGTTCAGTGATATACATAATTTGGTTTCATAGGTTCAGCGATATACATAATGTGTTTTCATAGGTTCAGTGTTTTACATAATTTGGTGTCATAGGTTCAGTGTTATATATACGTGTAATTTGGTTTTATATTTCTGTGTTAAGCATAATTTGGTTTTATACTTCTGCTCCATTTCCAGGATCATGGCCATGTCATCAAATTGGACCTCGACCATGCCATCCTCCTCTTTTCGGACCGCCATATCACCATCCGCCACATCATCCACCTCCATTTGAACCAGGCCATCACCCTCCACCGTTTGGATCGCCACATCACCATCCACCACGTCACCATCCGCCACATCATCCACCGCCATTTGAACCAGGCCATCACCCTCCACCGTTTGGATCGCCACATCACCATCCACCACGTCACCATCCGCCACATCATCCACCGCCATTTGAACCAGGCCATCACCCTCCACCGTTTGGATCGCCACATCACCGTCCGCCATGTGGACCAGATCCTCGCCTTCATTCTTTCGGACCGCCACATTGTCAACGACCATTTCGACAGGCCCATCACCAGCATCATTTTGGACCGCCACGTCCTCCATCATTGGAACCACGGCACCACCTTCATTAACCACCATCAGTCGGACCCTACCATTCGAACCAAGATTCTGAAAAACATTGAAGGGAGCCATCTGTTTGTACATGTACAATAATTACTAAACCAGTTATTCATAATGGTACTACTAACAAATTAGTTTACGTTTGCCATAGATATGTAATAGAAAGGTAATCTAAGAAAAAAATATTTATGCAATGAGATTAAACTAAAGGCAAAATAATATTTTAAAGTTTTTGTGTCTGTTTAATTAATCGTAACTTATGACTATCAAATTCATGTTCACCGATTTGACTCAAGTTCTCATATTTGATTTATAGCATACTAAAACTTATATCCAAATTATTAAAAGTCTAAAATAAACAATAACAATGCATGGACTCTATAATATGTATCAGCATTTCGTGTCACGGTATTTTAGTCCAGACGCCATCAAATTAAACATCGAAATAACCTCCGAAGACTGCCGACGGTCATATACTCCGATATAAACAGAAGTATAAATAGATAGGGAGCACGTGCAATTATATTTTTCTAGGTCTGTTTGATTTCATCTTATAGTTAAAAAAATATGTAAATCATCGTTTTTACCTGTATTAGAGTGATTTTTTTGTGGATCGACTCCGTCAACCAAAAGGTTGAAATCATCTCTTCGTAAATTTTACGGACGCCATCACGAGTTGGTTGACCGTTATGGATATCCGTTTCACAGATGACAACGGATATGTTCCAATTGTCGTTACTACAATCCCGTTCCCTTTTCCACAGACTGTGACCTACCGAATTAGACTTATCACCTGGTTTGTACTTACATGAGCAACATGACGGGTGCCACATGTGGAGCAGGATCTATTTATTTTCGATTTATGCGTTTGAATGGTATCTTTCGGCTCTCTTTCACCCTTGTTTCATTTTCAATGTTGATATTTTCCCCCTTTTTATAACGAAAAACGCCTGATACATGCGAAACAGATCTACAGCTAAGGGGTAAAATTGAAGCTCACATGAATACGGATTCAATGAGGTTAAATTATTAACTTGCAAGTCAAAAATACATCAGCAATGTTTTTGAGCTTATTTTTTGACAAATTTAGGCCAAAATGACTGCTTATGACGAAATATTATTTCAAAATTCCGATTTTATTAATATTTGAAACAAAAAGAATCGTATTTTGAATTTCAAAATCGTAGCTAATGCCCCTTTAATAAAACTAGCCAGAATTCGTTTTGTAAAAGGATTAAAGAACACAAAAGCAACTAGTATTTGAAAAGCGAGTTGTGAAGACTATTAAACCTCCAGACTAATCGCCCCTATTTTCCGATACCACATTGGTCCGTCGACACCCCATTGTCATACAGCCAACTCAGACAACGGTTCCACAATTTAACGGTCAGTAGATTCTGTTGGAACATAGTAATCGAGCTAGTCTCTCTTCAGAGAATACGATAGAAACTGGGTAATATCATATTACTGACCAGATACCATAGAATAGAGAGGCGAAAGATACCAAAGGGATATTCAAACTCTCAAGTCTAAAACAAACTGACAATGCCACGGCAAAAACGAAAAACGTCCAAAAAAGACAGACAACAGTTAACAAAACACAACATAAAATAACATGAAAAAAATAAAGACTGAACAACCCCGGACTCAAGGTATCTTTTAAGCGAACCAACTCTCATCCATTTCATCTCCTTTATATATGCAGGTATATGTGTACAGTTTATATCTCATTTCATTAGTGACCTGGGCTATAACATCTTAGTGTAAAGTTTGTAAATGCGAATATTATGCTGCTCCCAAGGACCCTTAATTGGAATATATAATATTCTTATTCTTACTGTAATGGGTGTAAATACTTTATAAAGCTTGAATTTCGAATAAAACAAATGCCATTTATATACACCTAATAATGGTTGGAAATGTATTAAGCAATTAAGATTTGCAATAGACAATTAGAACGTTTATTTGGTTGATAGATAATCTGAGAACCAGTTAATAGTTCGTATTAATTAGTTCACTTGATTCATTTCATCCCTTTTCCAAACCTCTTATGGTTTGTTGAATCCATTGCATATTTAGTTATATGATGGTGCTTTTTCATATTTAGATCATACAGTGCTGTCGAGTTTTTTTTCGTCTAGGCAGTCTGTTTTTTTTTTCACATATAATAACTGATTATTAGTGGCTACTTTGATAGTCTGGGTACAACTAGCAAACATGTTGCACAGAAAATCACTCTTTATCACTACCAACAGCAGTTTCATCTATGAACAATGATATAGGAATGAATTTGTTGAGTGTTTGCGAAGTACATATAGAAAGAAAAATGACACACTTGACTCCCATTCTTAAGATTATGCATGCCTCTACCACATGACTGTTATGTCAGCTATGTACAGCGTTGTACGTGTATAGAAATTAGAATATTCATAAACGAGTGTCTTTATGGTGGGTCCTTCATTTCTGTAATCTTTAAATTTTTATGTCATTTTTCTCTATTCTTTATATTTTTTGCTCATTTTTCTCTATTCGTTATATTTTAGCACCCCATTATTCTGTATTCTTTATTTTTGTCAAATTTTTCTCTAATCTTTATACTTTTTGCCCATAATTCTCTACTATGTAAACCCCATTCAGACCCTCGTATACTCTTTTTTTGCTTAAAGTGTTCTTTTGAGACAACTTCTTTTCTACTGAAAAATCGTTAATGTTTGCGAGTTATTCGTTTAAGAGTAGTGTTATCAGTTCGTTTCATTGAATGTTTTAATTGGAGAACTGTTCTTTTCTAACATGATTGAAATGATATATTTTGTAAATTCTAATTATTATAAGATTATTAAACAATTATCCTTAACTAAGGGCGTATTTGTTGCAGTCAAACTAGTTTCAGTTTACGGTATAAGCTTTTGAATGGTTTAGGTATGGCGCGAAGTGTATTGTTATATATATTGCATTGTGGAGAAGACTTTATAAGTGTGTTTTACTTGTGTTTGATCTTTTTTGCTTTGAGCCAATACAATATGTTTAAACTACTAGTAAATTGTAAACCCAGCTAGTTGAAATTCGCATCCATGGATTACATATGAGTTGTGTGTTTCTAATATCTCTATGTATAATGTTTTGAAGTTCTATTTGTTTGCCAATGGTTTTTCTTACTATGCTTTTGCAGCTATCGCTCATAATTCGTATGCTGCGCTTGCGTGGATGTTGGTTTTGTAGTTCAAAATTATCGTTGGTAGAATCATGAGATGTGTTCGGTGTTTCAGCAATCAATCTGATGAGGTTTAAAAGTAGTCGTCTATGTCAGACTCAATAGAACTTAACTTTTACTTGTTTGGGTCTTTTATAGACGAAATGCGCGTATAGCATATACAACTTTAACCCTGGTATCTATGATGAGTTTATTTGCAACCACTGGGTCGATGCCACTGCTGGTGAAGGTTGTCTCCCCGGGTGTATCACCAGTCAAGTAGTCTGCACTTCTGTGTTGACATCAATTATCATTGATTTGGTCATTATTATGAATTAATTGTTTAAAAAGATTAGAATTTTTCGAAATACTAAGGATTTTCCGGCCCGGATTTTCTACCCAAGGAATAGACTACCTTAGCTGCATTTGGCAAAACCTTTTGGAAATGTTGGTCCTCAATGCTCTTTTAAGAATAGAGGAGCATCGGTCTTACAAATTAATTACTGAATGTTATTGATGAATCGTAAAGAAAATAGCAAGAATACAACAAAAAGGGGAAGATACGTTAAAATACTAAAGAAATTAAGAAAGTTTACTTTAAATGGATTTAAAAAAAAAGGAGCGGTCCATTTTCCAAGCGCCTGTGATGTACACAAGTGTTTAGTTCTTGTAGTACTATAGAAGAAGGTGTGGGTTGGGGTTTACAGAATCATGATAGAATAATGGGCAAAAAAATATAAAGAATAGAGAGAAATGGACCAAAAAAATAAAGAATAGAGAATAATAAGGTGCTAAAATATAAAGAATAGAGAATAATGATGTGCTAAAATATAAAAAAAGAGAATAATGGGCAAAACGTATAAAGAATAGAGAAAAATGCCAAAATAGTATAGACTACAGAAATGAAGGACCCCCAATCCAGACCCTCATAGAAAGTATCTTATTCAAAGCTATGATTGTTGTTCTTAAACAGGCGGATATCCAGTAGCAATTAAGCAACAAAAAATGGGACTCTTTATTACAGACTCATGGCCACGTAGGCATATTTGGATGGTTTACATCTGTTTATTTGGCCTTTAAAATTTTAATGTAGGTGTATAATCTAATATCTATATATACTTTTACACTGATATTTTAGTATGGAGCTACGAGATATATGTTATCTTTTAAATTAAAGACCAATGTTTTAAAAACAGTCAATGTCGGTATAGGTGCAAATCATTTCAGTCAGGATTCTACTTCGTCAAAGTTATCTCCCCATTACGCCAGTTCATTTTTACAATCGTGGATGACGCGCTGCCAATTTAGCTCTTGAAAACCGGTATATTTATCCACATAGCAACATAACGATTCCTATATGCCATTTATATTTTAAAAGACAAATGTATCTACTAGCTAATGAACATCAGTTAATGTACTTGTCTGCATTCAGTCAACTTAAAACTATTGTCTGATTGGTTGTCAGGTGGAATTTTCGAAAATTCATTAACATTTAAAAAAAATCTAATTAAATATTTCGTGGAAGGGCAGACTAAATATTTTCAGTGGTTGAAGACTATAAACCCTAATTATTACACACAAAAAATGAAGTTTTTTCGAAGATATGCATTTTTAAGATCCAACTTAAAAGTCTGTCGTCAAGTACTTTTAGTAAAAATTTGCTATTCGAACACACCTACTCTGTTTTTGTGATTCATTAGAAAGGTATTTCACTTGACCCATATATTTCATTTTTTTAGTACTGTGAATTTTCGATATTATAAAGTCACCTGAAGCCTTGATATATAAAAATGATAGAATCTGAAGCGAGATGATGTATCAAATACTTTTGCTTTATACGTTTTCAAGACAAAATATTCAACTCAAACATGCCAAACATAAAAAGGTGCACTCGATTTTCTCTTTTCGATGCAATTGTTGCCCATTTTTTGGATTTTTTTCTTGAGTCACATAATGGAAGGACAGAAACGAAAATTAAGGAACATATATAGATTGATATGTTCTCCGTCCGTGGTATTTTTTTTTTAAAAATCGGAGGTTATGCATTTTTTAGATCCAACTGAATAGACACCCATGTCGTCGACTTGATATCTAATTGTTCTGCTTAATTGTGTAATAAATAAATTGAAAACTTATGCAAATGTTGTTTTTATGATAAAATACTTTGTAATTTAGCCGAAAACTATCATTTTATTTGTTTCTATTAACTTTTAAAAATTTTGTTACTATAAAATTGAGAATGGAAATGGGGAATGTGTCAAAGAGACAACAACCCGAACTTAGAACAGCATAGTAAACATTACAGTAAGCATTTATCGCCTTCTCTAACAAAGAGCTTCGATTCTTTTGTTCTATTTCAACTGGGTTTCCGCCTGATTTTGGATCTTGAAGACATATATATAAGCCTAAATTCCATCGGAAAAAATCCACGCAATGATAAAAGATTGATCTTTAAAAATCGTTCATCTTGTATCTCTACTTCCAGCAACAGTATTTTTTTGGGGAAATTCAGAAAATGAGCAATCGCAATCTTATCTCGAAGAGAATGTCGTATAGGGTACATATAAAAATAAGATGTAATTATCCATGTAACATGTAATGAATCGTCACAACAGAATAGGTGTATTTGAAATAAAAAAAAAAAGGGTTTTTGTGCCACTTCAGTAAATTTTAGGTGTACTCAAATATTATTTTCAATTTAGACTTGTATATTTATAGTTACGATCCATTTTGTAACATCTGGTGATCCGTTTATTTTGCAATCGCTTATGGCAGTCAGCAGGGTTTAAGAACATCCGTTGTTCGACCGGCTAGTCAAATGCGTTTTGTTAAAATATAGGCCTACTTTTTCACTTTTTTTGGTCTTTTGGAAAATGTTGTTTGTGCTGTATTTAGACCCCTCTACAAAGAAATTTGTTTAGCATGCACACGTATAAAAATTGTGGTTTTTATCCAATGCAGTCATAGGTTTGAACGTTGTTTTCAATTTAGACTTATATAAGTGCCTAGAAAATCAACCTAACGATGTTAGAGTAGATCTGTTTCTTTACTTCATCCCCGAGCGTGGCTGGAACCTGTACTTTCTATTTTTAACTTCTACGACAACTATATATATATATATATATACACCCCTCTACCAAGAAATTTGTTTTGCATGCACATGTATAAAAATTGCGGTTTTTATCCAACGCAATCATAGGTTTGAACGTTGTTTTCAATTTAGACTTGTATATATATATATTATTAATTCATTTTCACATTCGCTCTTTCAAAGTAACATTTAAGTGTACTTTAAACATTTTATACATTAAAATGTACAGACTAGGAAAAAAAAGTTCACTGCGAGTATTTTATTTCTTCAAGAAACTTCTAGACGACACTACTATTGGATCTTGAAAATGCTAAAAAAAAACGTTCAAACATGCAAGATCATGCAAGGTCCATTACCCGAGCGCCTGTGAATACCGTAGCACCACTTTGTTGTTATACACATTTGTTAATATGAAGATAACAAGAATGTGTCCATAGTACACGGATGCACCACTCGCGCTATCATTTTCTTTGTTCAGTGGACCGTGAAATTGGGGTCAAAACTCTAATTTGCCAATAAAATAAGAAAGATCATATCATAGGGAACAAGTGTACTAAGTTTCAAGTTGATTGGACTTCCAACTTCATCAAACACTACCTTGACTAAAAACTTTAACCTGAAGCGAGCACTATCATTTTCTATGTTCAGTGGACCGTGAAATTGAGGGTCAAAACTCTAATTTGGCATTAATATTAGAAAGATCATATCATAGGGAACATGTGTACTAAGTTTCATTGGACTTCAACTTATCAAAAACTACCTTGACCAAAAACTTTAACCTGAAGTGGGACAGACGGACGGACGGAAGAACGACCGGACGCACAGCCACAGACCGAAAAACATAATGCCCCTAGGTGGGACATAACAAATATAACTTCAACTAAATGGATCGTTTAGCGATCACCGTGATACATGATAAAGTTTGAAATAAAAATATCAATCATGACAAACTACTTGGGTCATGACAGTTTATCAATGAAAATAGTGTGTATTCCCATGGATTTCGTCATGTGGTTTACAGTAACCAATCGGAATTGTCATCCGTATTTCGAAAGGTTGATATCGCCTGATTTTCTCATGAATATTCATTATAAACCTTCCGATCGGATAACTGGTGACGTTTCAGAACTAAAATTCGTTTGAGATCACAACACCCATTCTGCGAGAGTGCGATTTTTAATTTTGACGTTGTGGAAAAACTTTCATACATCTAGGACTTCAAATTTTTCATAGAATTACAGTGTTTTATATGCTAAATTAGCGGATCAGCCAGACGTCTTTTCAAGATCCCCATTTGACCTCGCTGTTACAACTACTGGGATCGACCACCACGTCTGACGTGTAGTCCAAGCAGCTCACATATTTCAGGATATAAAGTGAAATTTTGGCAAAAATGAAGAAATTATCCGTTCTGTTTTTTGCTGTGATTGTTAATATCCTAATATCATCAATAACTTGTGAAGAAGGTAAGCTTTTTTTTTACATTACATGTTTTCGTTATACATGCCGGCCGGCAAGACTGAGTTGCGAGTTTTCATGTTTTCATGTTTGACGAGTTTTATGATTTGAAACAAATTTAAAAAATGATGCTGATTAGTTTTATCAGCAGCCTTTATTAGGTTGTTAATTAATTTAGCTGTTTAAGTGCCCAATAACTTCTATTTACAAATGTTACTAATAAAAACAGCGTTAAAATTAAATAAGCAGGTTTTGGTTTGTGCAGACTTCACTAAACAGTAGACAACGTAGAGTTGAAGTAAATATTCAAGAGTATAAAGCATAAAGTGGGATGTACGATACATACATTTTTGATTTTTTTTAGCTGCCAGTTGTTTTGAGACTCAATTTAAATGCGTGACAACAGGACGATGCGTTGCGATGAACTGGAGATGTGATGGGGATAGCGATTGCGGATACGGTGATAGATCAGACGAGGAAAATTGTGGTATGTACAGCCAGCATAGTGTATACAGTTATACAAGTTCAATTCTAACTCTTTTAGAAAGTTGGGTGTGTCAAGAAAATTACATTTGTCCCCCAGTTTTAAAATTTAAAGTATGACAGTAATGTAAATGTGTTTATTTTGAATCTATAGATTGTTTCTGCAATGTACTGTCATTTGAAATGTAAATGAAATCTTGTAAAACATGAAAATTATAAATATTGATGTATTTGATCAATAATATGACCTGATTTCCCATTGGTTTCATTAAATGGTCTGAGGTCACATTCTTAAAAATAGACCAATCAGATGACGGTATTCTGACACACCTGAAAAACATGTGAATATCTTAAAATTCTTTACCTAAACTGAAATAAGCAAAAGAAATTTATTTGAAGAAATGAAAATTGCATAATTGTATTCAATGGAATCCAAACTTGTACTTAAATCTTGTTAAACTAAATTTTGAAATAAATGATCATTTTGAAATTTTTTATTTGTTGAATGCTGGGACTAAGGTATTCAAGTAGAATAATAAAGTTACAAGAAGGCTTTATTTGGAATCTGTTCAGCTGCATTGGTTTTATTGTCCAAATTTGGCACATTATCTAGGTTAAATAAGATATTTAATTTTGGTGGAAGATTGCCACCGTTGATTAGTATGTTATGGCAGGAATTGTTTAAAATAAAAGTTTATTTACAAACCTATTTCAGTAAATTTTTCTCAGTAGTTAATATGATCAGGAATTTTCTAATTTACATGATAAAATTATAAAAGCCTGTTAGATTTTGAATGACAAGTTTACAAACAACATGAACAAAGTGGCTACAGGGGCAGGTCTTTCATCATCAGGAAGTACCTTAACCCTTGGAAACAAGTGATTGAATTTGCCTGATTATTTGACTTTTACACATATATACATAGATAATTTACTAATAAAATCAGAAAAGTACCAGTTCATACAACCCATGCAAAAGTCTGAAGGGTGCTCTAACTTTGTCCTTTAGTTTAATCCCAGGATTCAATTTCTACTATACTTTTTGCTGATAAATTTGCATCTTGAAGATATCGAAACCAGTGAATGGAAAAAAAGCAATTGCAAAAGACTGGTTTGGAATTTCATATTCTATCAAATATAAAAAAATTAATTAATCCTGCAAGTATCCTATGTTTTATACAATGGGCCATTTTGCTTAAAGTATAAAAAAAACTTGTTACTGTAAAGAAAATTAGAAGTATACAAGTAAATATAAATGACATAATTATATGTAGGAAACTTTTGACATTTACAGATTCAAAAACATGCCCTCCAGATGAATTTCAGTGTGCCTCAGGACAATGTATACTTGCGAAATGGAAATGTGATGGAGAAAAAGATTGTTATGATGGCACAGATGAATCAGCTGCTGTCTGCAATGGTTAGTTATGAATTGCATAAAATAATAATCAAAATGAAAATAAATAAAAAGGGGGACTAAAATCATAATGTTGAAAAGCACAAAACAGACTTGCTACCAAAAGACAAACAATTTACAAAAAATAAACACAGGAAACACAAAGTAACCCGAATTCCATTAACACATGGATTGTGCTTTGACAGGTGTCCAGTAAGCAATTCGTTTTCCACTTGACAACTATTACAAAATTCCACTGACAAAACTAGTCTGAAATGAGTTATGAACAAAGTTTTACAAGACACTAAATTCGTAAACTTATCGTTATAGTTGTATAAATTGGAATATCTTATTTTTTCTTCAGGTACCCAGTGTAAGGATGAGGAATTCAGATGTAACAATGGACAGTGTATCTCAAATAGTTGGCGATGTGACGGAACCAAAGATTGTTCAGATGGTGAAGATGAAACTTGCGGTATGTAATTTTGTAATCATGGTAAATAGGATAATAATAATATAGAATTCTAGATAAACTCCTTCATGATAATAAACATAAAGAAAAAAGTTAGTTTTTGGTTAACATTCATTGTTTAATGTATTTGATATTTTTTCACAGATGCTCCAACATGTGCTGAGGATGAGATGCGATGTGCCAATGGTAAATGTTTGACGAAAAAATGGCTATGTGATGGTGAAGATGATTGTGGTGATAGCAGTGATGAGAAGAATTGCAGTATGTAATATAATATCCCAAGACCAAAAATAAAATAAAAAAAATTTCCTCACTGATCCTTTTATCTAACCCTTGTCTCAGTTTTTCATTGCTAATCCTAAAAATAAAAATTTTCCAATTAAGGATGAAAACACCTGTTTCTGAAATGCATCATATTTTATTATTTGCAGTATTTGAGTAATTTTTAATTTTTGACTAACTACTTAATAATTTTGATTTTTGTAAAGATTAATGTAAACCACGTATATATCGAATTTGTTAGAAAATCAACATGTGTTAATTATAATTTAATTTTCAGCCTCAGTTTGTACTGCTGACCAGTTCCAATGTGCAGATGGTAAATGTATAGATCAAGACTGGAAATGTGACGGTGACCATGATTGTGATGATCATAGTGATGAAACCAATTGTAAGGCAGAGCCACCCAAGAACACCTGTATCGATACAGAGTGGGCATGTATGTATGAGGAACAGTGTATTCTCCTCAACTGGAAGTGTGATGGGGATGAAGACTGCTTTGATGGATCAGATGAAAAGAATTGTAAGTATGCTGGATAGGGTAAAATTTTAAAATCATTTGCAATATATAAAAACATAATTTGTGGCTTCCAAATTTTACAGGTTATGGAAGTATGAGTGGACAAATATACATTTCAATGGGTGTTAAATAAGATAATTGTTGGTTTTAATTTAAAACAAAATACTTTTAAATTGGAATCTCATAATAACAAATTCTTTACATTTGTATTTGTTCTTAAAAAAATGTTAATAGCTATTAACTGCATATTAAGAGACCGCAAAAATAAATTTATTTTGGTTATCATCCCAACTCTTAGAAAAAAATTTTGAATTCATTTATTTTTATCTAAATCTCTTTTAACAAAAAATAAGATGCAGATTTTGGCAAATAATGTGTGTTGATATGGATGAAATCTTGTGCAAATGTCAACAATCTAAATGGCTTTACTTAATTTGGCAGTATTTTTTAAAAATATTACGTAAAAAGAAAATTGGCATAATTTCAGACTATTGAATTGCATTGAATTATAATTAATGAAGTATAAGGGTTCAGTATTTTTACACTTTGTCATTTTAATCATAGACTAAGACATTTAAGGTCAAAATTGTTTTGATTCTATAATTCTAAAGAATATATGGTGCTTATAAATTTGTTATTCTTTGTAATTTGGCACTATGCCAGAAGTTGAAAATTTGGTTGAATTAATGTAAACATGAAACTCAAGATTTGGAATTTGACATATATTCCAAACACTTTGATATTATGTACTTTAAAATTACATTCATATTTGTTTGCATCATTCAGTCACAATGAAGACTGTATATATTCAACCCTATCAAATTGATGTCATTTCAAATTAACAATAATTTTATAAGTTGCATAATCACAAAAATGACCACATGCAGTATGACTTAGATTTTCAAGTTTAACATGCATATATTATGACATTTTAGGTACCTACACATGCTCTGCTGACCAGTTTAAGTGTGAAACTGGACACTGTATTGATCATGTTATGAGATGTGATGGCCTCCCAGACTGTACTGATGGTTCAGATGAATTTAATTGTAGTAAGTTTTATCATGGAATATTCCTGTGTCTAGCCAGTCTCATTCTTAACTTCATTGAACGTGTCGGAAGACCATTATAATGAAGAATATGAACAAAATTGGCCTACCTTGACAGAAATTATGTTTCCTCCAAATTGTTTTTTGTTATGTACAACTTTAACGAAGCCATTTTTCTTTTAAAAAAAGCTTATTCTTATTTTATTTTGTTTAGAATTACTAATCTAACTATGATAAAGAAGTTGATGGATAATCTGCATAGTGTTGTGTCTTCCAGAATTGTATATTTTCTAATCATGATTTAAGTACTTTATAAATTTTTATAATTTTTTTTTTCATTTCAGCGTCTGTTATTCAACATTGCCCAGATAATCAGTTTGATTGCTTTAAAAATGGAAAGAAATGTATTGACTACACCAAAGTATGTGATCATTTGAATGATTGTGGAGGCTGGGAAGATGAATCAACAACTATCTGTGATGGTAAATATTGTTATCTATATCAGACAGCATGCTGCTCTGCTACTTGTATCTAATAGTTCTGGATTTGATTAGTGTACTTTTATACCTGTCATCATGTATAAAGTATGAAAATGAGTATCAGATTCTTTAAATAAAAGAATAATTATGGAACATAGAATAATTAATTGGTAATTTTGATGTGCATCAACTAATATTACTGTCATTACTATCATTTTCACAAAGAATTTTTAAATTAAAACTAAATTTTTTCCTTCAATATTTTTATGTCTTTCCCTGATTTTGAAATAAAGCTGAAAGTAGTACATGCCTTCTATTCACTGCATAGTCAATTTTCTTGATTAACACACATGTATATATTGATGCTTACAATTTATCTTTAGAACACCAAGGCTAAAGTGTAGAAATTTTGTCTTTCTATGAAAATGTAAATTAGACAGTAGTTTTTACAGTTCAGTATATGACTGAGGTGTATATTATTTTCTTCGTAACATCCACATTCATTCTTTCATTCATTAGCGGTGTTTAATGGGACCAAACCTGGAAGTATGTGTACCATTCATTGTATTTGTATGTTGTCTGCTGCATGCTTTATTCATTTCTAAGATCATAAAAATATACTAACTAGTCAGCACGCTTCAACAGAAACAAAGAAATCTGTGAAATAAAAAAACACAATCAAATTTTGTAGCTAGCTTGAGCAGGATATGTTGTCAGACAAAAATAAAAATATAACAAGGTAGATCATACTGATGAAAAAGCTGAAAATTGAAGAAAAAAAAAATCATTAATTTAATTTGGACATTAAAATTTATGAAGAACTAGAAAATTGAACTAATTCATTTTTGGCAACAGGATTTCATATTTAGCTCACAGTAAAACCATAAAATCCTTGGGAATCTACACATTAGGCATAAACTTGAACATTCTACATGTATAATAAATTTACTTAATAGAAATTCTTATGAAGTCGGAATGCTTTCATTCATCATGTTTGCCAGCTCATAATTTTTTTCACTGTAATACAAGACTTGTGACCTATCTCTGTAAAGCATGGTCTTTGTTAATCTAAGACAACATAAAGTTTTTTCTTCCTTTAGTATTAGTTACCAGAAAACACTGCTTACCAGCCAGTTGTCCTATATATTGTTAATACATGTAGTTATATTGAATGATTGTAGTCATCAGAAAGTTTTCAACTGGCTAGTCCTTGTTTCTTGTTGTATTTTCAAGTGTAACCTTGGACATGTTGATCTGTTTACATGAACATTGTACTGACAGTGTAGCTCTATGCATTTTTAGAATATCTTATTTGCTTAGAAAGCAGAATAGTTGTGGTTTAGTTTCTAAAAATAAAAACCAGCTTGATGACCTTTTTATATTTTGCTTTTTACATTATAGACAAACATTTAAGTGGTTAATAACTGTTGCATGTCCATTTTTAAGTACATTAAGGTCTTCAGAACCGACACTAACTGGGTTGCTGTTGAATTCCTAACCTGAGATTTTTTAATATTTGTACCTCTAATGTTAATTGCAAATGATTATTGTAGCTCTCTGAAACAAAGTCTATGCATAATACATAATAATCAAATATTTTTTTATATAAAAAATCTGGCAAATATATTTTGATGGAATAAAAGCATTTACACATAAAGCTAGTGAATTTCTTTACAATATCTAATGTTATAATGTATCTAGTTGTATACATTTTACAACATCTATTTCAAGTTTTACAACTTTCTTTACAGCAGACCCATGCAAAACAAAAAATGGTGGTTGTGACCACGTTTGTGAACCACTGGTAGGAGCAAAAGCTAAATGTTCATGTAACAGTGGATACAAACTAGAGGGGACAAGCAGATGTGTCAGTAAGTAACTTAACTTGTATAACCTGTCATTGACAAAAGATATGTGTCAGTAACTTAACTTGTATAACCGGTCATTGACAAAAGATAAGTGTCAGTAAGTAACTTAATTTGCATAACCTGTCATTGACACAAAGATATGTCGTTACGTAACTTAACTTGTATAACCTATCATTGACAAAAGATATATCTATACTTCTTGGTCCGTTTGGTTTTCCTCATAGATTTTATAAACATCAAATAATCATACTTAAATAAACACTTAGTTATGTGACTTGTATATAATACTAGAATCGAATTTTATGGCAGTTTGGGTTGAAGAACTATATAGACTGTTATGACCTTTCATGTGGTCCCTGTACACAGCATGATGTGTTTTATATTTTAATTTCTACAGATATTGATGAATGTAAAGAAAGCAGCATTCCAGTTTGTTCACAACTCTGTCATGACGAAAAGGGTCATTACAAATGTGAGTGTGTGGAAGGCTACAGGAAGGATTTTATTCTGGGTAAACCAGGCAAAACAACTTGTAAAATTGATGGTATGTTTATAATTTATTATTGACTTGTTGGATATTTCATAAATTATAATGCTGATACTATACATTACACCCTCAACAGACAGAGTTGAGGAGTGTCTGCCTGACAGTTCATAATCTTCTAATCTCAATTCCTTTTGAAACTGATTGAAAAAGGTAACAATATTAATGTCTTAAAAAATTGATACAGTTGTTGTAATTGAACTTGCATCTTAAAAATAAATTGGATCCACTTTGGGATATCATTATGTGATTTTATTGACAGTACCACTAAAGTAATTTGTTTTGAAAATTTAGATGGTGAATTGAAAGATAAAATGTGTTAATTATGAAGAAATATAACACCCCCCTTCAAAGTGGAAATACTTTCTTCAAAAGAGTAAATATTAATTCATAATTTCTGAAGATAAACATTTATTTTGACAGGTCCAAGACCTTGGTTGCTGTTTGCCAACAAAGATGATGTTAGAAGGTTGGAAGTAGGGACTTGGTTGTTGGAACCAGTTGTAGAAGGACTTTCAAGTGCTGTTTCTGTTGCTTTCTATAAAGAGAAATATGTTTATTGGTCTGATGTCAATCTACAGAAGATATCTAGGTATGTTTATCATAATTTGCCAAGATGATGCTTTTGAAGTTTAGTAACCCTACAAGTAATCAAACTACATATTGGTTCGGAATAGGATTGAGCAAGTTTTTAATATATTTTCTCATGAATAAAAGAAAAGGATGATGCAATTCCAATTAATGGTTTTATTTGAAAAAAGGGACAACATTTTTAAGCAAAGGTCTTCCTGCTCTTTCTTAAAATGATTAGAAATGACTACATGCACACATTTTTGAAATGCGAAATACAAATGTTTTACAGGACTGAAATCGGGAATGGCACCATGATGAACAACAAAAAAGAAATCATTAAGGCTAACATAGATACACCTGATGGTATTGCTATTGATTGGGTCCATGATCTTCTGTACTGGACTGACACTGGATTAAACAGCATACAGGTATCCAGTCTGGATGGAGATAAAACTGTCACAGTTGTCCCCCATGATTTAGATGAACCAAGAGGAATAGCTTTGGATCCAAGAAATGGGTATGTTACAACATGACTGCATTTTTTTTAAGAAAAAAAACTGAACACTCTCTAATTAAATAGACTTTCTACAAACCTTTTCTCTGAAATACTATATGAATTTTATTTAGATTAGTTTTATTTTTGATTATGGTTTATACAGCTATTACATGTTTGTAACAAACAAACTTATTGTTAAATATTGAGCCATTTATTGACATAATACTTCAAAAGAGTTTGATTGGAAGTTTGCAGTATATTTTGAATTTGATCATATTTTAACAGGTACATGTATGTAACTGATTGGGGTAAAAGTCCAAAGATTGAGAGAATTGGCATGGATGGATCTGACAGAAAAATCATTTCCAAGGATGTTGTCTGGCCTAATAGTATTACAATTGGTGAGTACATGTCTCAGAAATAAACACTGTATATATCTGTACAAAAGACACTCTTGCTGCCATAAGTATTTCAATAATGCTGGTCAACAAAGTGAAAAATATAGTTATCCATGCAATCAAAAATAAGCTATTGTCTGCAGTGAAAATCTGTGTTGGCAACTTTTTGAATACTTTTGGTTAACTTGTATTGTTGAGATTTTGTTGCATTGGCAATTATCTCTCATCCCTTTTCATTACTATATTTTATAATTGAATCTCCTGTCATTTCTGTACACTGATCAAACCATAAAGGTTAATGACTGGTTAGGATGCTATTGAGTAGTATGGAATATACATGTAACTGTTTACGCCATTAGTATAAATGTCTATTTGGAAATTGTTCATTAAACATCTAACCAGAAAATGGAATTATTAAGTTATTGTAATACAATTTATAATTCATTCTTTCTTTTTAGATTACATTGATGGTAGATTATTTTGGATTGATGCCAAACTACATACAATCAAGTCAGCTGATTTAGATGGATTAAACATCCGTACAGTTGTACACAATGCTAAACACATTGCCCATCCATTTGCTGTTGCTGTATTTGAAGATGATGTCTATTGGACTGATTGGTCATCAGATTCAATCCGTAAGGCCCACAAACATACCGGAGAAGACTTCCAACAAGTAGCCCTAGGTCTTCATTCGCCAATGGACTTGAAAATTTATCATTCATCTATACAAAAACCTGGTAAGACATTTATATCTGTCAACAGAGAGACAGCCAAAGTTTATATTTTATTAAGTATCCTTTTTATCCCTCCTTAAAATCATGTGGGAAATTCAGACCGCTTAAAGTCGGCTGATATGAAGATCAAGCCATAAAAAACTCTAAACATGTTTAAATTTAAATATCGGACATTTTATTTTGTAATTATTTTCTTTAATTTTTGTGTAACAAGCTATTAAGACTAATTAATCAATGGCATGGTTACACATATGTACCTTTTCTTTTTAGAATTGAGATGTACTGATTGTCAATTCCTTAAATGTTGCCATCCCTAATTTAAATAAATACATTTGTATATAAATAATTTTAGATGATGACATTTTCTATCTTTAACTTCAGGATATAATGCTTGTGCTAACAGGAATGGAGGATGTGAATACCTGTGTTTACCAAAACCTAATGGAAAGTCTACTGATCCTAATGTACCCAAATATACATGTGCCTGTCCAGACAACAAAAAACTTTCCTTCAATGGAATGACATGTGTTGATAAAGGTAAGATAGTTTTTATTTTTTTTTAAATTGCTGTCATCATATACTTCATCACTTACATTATACAGGCATGTCTCCTTTTCAACATTTTCAAGAAAATCTACATTCCTTTAATTATATATTCATAAATTGTATATAATCATATCACTTCTATATCATTTTTATCATTGTCATGTTTGTCATTTTCTCTCAGTAGATATTTGTTATCTCTTACAATTTCAGTCATCAAAAAGATTTGCCAAGAACAACCTCTATTGAAATAGTTTGTGGTAATTGGTATGATTTTTTTGTACTCAATTACCAGTGGACCACATTATCTAAAACTGAAATCTAGTTTATTTACAAAAAATGACTGTTAACAATTGTTGTAGATAACAAACATAAATATGCTTGCAATCATACACATAATAACCCAACTCATCATATTTACTTAACAGAACCAACAGATATTCCTGTAATAACTACAAGTGTAAAACCAGTTAAATCTACTACTCCATCACCTAATAGTACTAATAAGAATCATAGTTCAACTGGTGAGAATTCATTGTTGTAGTTGATTGTTGTGAAAATTCATTGTTGTAGTTGATTGTTATTCTTTATTTTTTAATAGTGAAGAAGAAAGTTAAACAACATATTAAATTTTACCAAACAGTTTTTTATTTGTTGTTGTCTTGTCATAAACTTTCCCCATCGTATAAACAGGCCCCTCATTACTTGTTACCTGTTTTCAGAATAGCACATCTAATTTTTTAAATCCTTAAACACATGATTTTCCTATAAATGAATCGTTAATGAATTAAAATGTATGCTGATTTAGTGAACTTGTGTCTGTATGCAATGATAACTTGCATGTTGTGCAGTGCAACTATTTTATAATATTTTTTCTTTGCAGCTGGTATTACTGTTCCAACAACCAAAAAACCAGCCTCTACACCCAAGTCCGAAACAACACAAGCGCCTCATGTGACTCAGAAACCAGTGACACATCACCCTATTGTGGTATCTACTGGTGGACCAAAATACACTACGTTTACAGAGAAACACAACAAAACTTTGGAACATCCTAAATCATTGCAGGAAGAACAGGCAGGAATTGTAGCATTTGTTGCCATTGGTGTTGTTGGTTTTATTGTCATCATGTTCCTTATCGTAAGTTTATTGCAACATTTTAAAGTTAGAAACATTTATTTAAATAATGCAAAAATTTCTAGTTCTATGTAATATTTGTTTTATAATAAAGATTTTAGTATTTTTGTTCAAATGTTCAGGTTAATGTAAAATATTTCTTCATAGTTAGGATGGTGGCTTGCACAGCCGAGAATATAAACAGTATTTTTTTTTTTTTTACATATAATAAAAGTCTATTAGTATGAATTTATTATAAATTAAAATTTCTGTTACTGCAGGTTGGATGTTTTGTATACAGAAGAGTTAAGAAACGTAACATCAAGAGTATGAACTTTGATAACCCAGTTTACCGTAAAACAACTACAACAGATGATCATCATTCTGTGATGATTGGTCACCAGGGCAGGGATGGACATCATATTAAAGGAGATCAATCCGTAAGTGTCCTATTGTTTACTTTAATTATTTATTAGGTGTCTTGGTGGTCTAGTAGTATACTTTATCTTTTGAATCCCACTTCCACAAGGTGGGTTTGAATCTGATATTAATTGGCAAGGTTTGCCAGTATTCCTGCTGAATTAGTGGTTCTCTTCATTTACTCTGGCATCCCAAACCATGATATAGCTAAGTGTGCTGAATTGGTGGTTCTCTCCATTTACTCTGGCATCCCAAACCATGATATAGCTAAGTGTGCTGAATTGGTGGTTCTCTCCATTTACTCTGGCATCCCAAACCATGATATAGCTAAGTGTGCTGAATTGGTGGTTCTCTCCATTTACTCTGGCATCCCAAACCATGATATAGCTAAGTGTGCTGAATTGTTGGTTCTCTCCATTTACTCTGGCATCCCAAACCATGATATAGCTAAGTGTGCTGAATTGGTGGTTCTCTCCATTTACTCTGGCGTCCCAAACCATGATATAGCTAAGTGTGCTGAATTGTTGGTTCTCTCCATTTACTCTGACGTCCCAAACCATGATATAGCTAAGTGTGCTGAATTGTTGGTTCTCTCCATTTTCTCTGGCGTCCCAAACCATGATATAACTAAGTGTGCTGAATTGGTGGTTCTCTCCATTTACTCTGGCGTCCCAAACCATGAAATAGCTAAGTGTGCTGAATTGGTGGTTCTTTCCATTTACTCTGGCGTCCCAAACCATGATATAACTAAGTGTGCTGAATTGTTGGTTCTCTCGATTTACTCTGACATCTTAAATCTCATGCTAAGTGTGTTGAATTGGTGGTTCTCTCCATTTACTCTGGTGTCTCAAACCATGATATAGCTAAGAGTGCTGAATTGGTGGTTCTCTCCATTTACTCTGGTGTCTCAAACCATGATATAGCTAAGTGTGCTGAATTGGTGGTTCTCTCCATTTACTCTGGCATCCCAAACCATGAGATAGCTAAGTGTGCTGAATAGGTGGTTTTCTCTATTTACTCTGGCGTCCCCAACTATGATGTAGCCAAGTGTGCTGAAATTTTTTGTGTTAAAATTTATTATTAAGAATTACATGTAGAGTCCTAGTAGAAATTGCAAACCAATTATTATTTTCAAACCCTTCTCAGTGATATTTGTTTAATTATGAGCTGTTACAGCAGATTCCATTGAGTGTGTAGTGAAAGGTAATATCTTTGGTTAGCTTGCTTGTTAGCTGAACCGTGAAGTCATTATTGGGTCAGGTATACTACCCTCCTTTCAAAGTAGCATAGTCCAACAGACAGATCGATTGGTTTTCTGTCAGACTAGTCTATTCTTAAAGAAGGGTAGTTTACCTAACCTAACAATGACTTCACGGTTCAGCTAACAAGCAAGCTAACCTTAGATATTACCTTTGGCTACACACTCAATGGAATCTGCTGTAAAAGTCTCCCACCTTTTCACTGAACAAATACAATAAAAGAAAATGTTTACATTTTAAGGCAAAGAGGTGAGAAAAATGAACCTTTAAACAAATTAAATATCAAAATGTTTTGCAAGGGCATCATTAGCTCGTGTGATGAATTTTGAATGTATTCCATTTTTATACGACCGCAAAAAAATTTTGTGGTCGTATATTGGTATGACGTTGGCGTCGTCGTCGTCCGGCGTCGTCGTCCGAATACATATTGGTTTTCGCACTCTAACTTTAGTTTAAGTGAATGGATCTTTTTGAAATTTGACCATAAGGTTAAATACCACAAAAGGAAGGTTGGGATTGATTTTGGGGGTTATGGTACCAACAGTTAAGGAATTAGGGGCCAAAAAGGGGCCAAAAATGAGCATTTTCTAGTTTCCAGACAATAACTGTGGAACGGTGTATGGATCTCTCTGAAATTATACTACAAGTTTCCATACCACAAAGGGATGGTTAGGATTTGCTTTGGAGGGTTATGGCTCAAACCGTTTAGGAATTAGGGGCAAAAAAGGGGGAAAAACAAGGTTGTCCTGGTTAATGGACAAATACTTTAGTACAAAACATAATTTAAAGCAGTGTAAGGGAGATAAATCAAATACATCATTGAAATTATCTCCCTTACACTGCTTTTAAATTATGTATAAAGTAATGGTTAATGAACAATAAAGATAATCTAAAACAGTGTAAGGGAGGTAATCCAAATACAACGTTTTGGTTACTTCCCTTACACTGCTTTTAAATTATGTTTAAAGAAATGCATATTTATAAAGGAAGACCAGTACAAATATCTGCAAATGTTTTCATCTTTTTTTTTTTACAAAAAAATCCATATGAAAGATTTGACACTATATTTTTATTAATTCTATTATAAAATAGATTAAGTTAGCACTATGGTAAATTTAAATGGGTAATTATGGTTGCCAACTCCATTGGAAATTTGAATTGAGATTATGACCATATCTTGAGGGAAAGAATTTTTTTGGGGGAAAAAAGGGGGGGGGGGATAAAAAGAAATTGTGGGGGGCCAATTTTTTCTCATTTCAGATTTCAGAAATTATAAAGAATTATTCTTCAAATATTATTTTTTTTTCAAATTTCAAATATTGAAAAATTTCAAGAAGTAATCTTTAATTGCACAGTATGGCGCATTAGATTTGTAAAATCTTTGATCACATTTATTTATTTGTTATGCCGAATCTAACAGTGTATTTAGATTTTTAATTTTGGGTCCAGTTTTCAAATTGGTCTACATTAATGTCCAAAGGGTCCAAAATTAAACTTTGTTTGATTTTAGCAAAAATTGAATATATGAGGTTCTTTGATATGCTGAATCTAAACATGTATTTAGATTTTTGATTTTTGGCCCAGTTTTCAAGTTGGTCCAAATTGGGGTCCAAAATTAAACTTTGTTTGATTTCAACAAAAATTGAATATATGGGGTTCTTTGATATGCTGAATCTAACCATGTATTTAGATTTTTTATTTGTGGACCCCGTTATCTAATTGGTTCATATTGAGGTCAAAAGGGTCCAAAATTAAACTTTGTTTGATTTCATCTAAAATTGAATTATTGGGGTTCTTTGATATTCCAAATCTAACCGTCTATTTAGGTTTTTAATTTTGGGTCCTGTTTTTTAAATTGGTCTACATTGAGGTCCAAAGGGTCCAAAATTAAACTTAGTTTGATTTTAACAAAAATTGAATTCTTGGGGTTCTTTGATTTGCTGAATCTAAACATGTGTTTAGATTTTTGATTATGGGCCCAGTTTTCAAGTTGGTCCAAGATAGGGTCCAGTATTTAAACTTTGTTTGATTTCAACAAAAATTGAATATATGGGGTTCTTTGATATGCTGAATCTAAACATGTATTTAGATTTTTGATTATGGGCCCAGTTTTCAAGTTGGTCCAAATTGGGGTCCAAAATTAAACTTTGTTTGATTTCAACAAAAATTGAATATATGAGGTTCTTTGATATGCTGAATCTAACCATGTATTTAGATTTTTTATTTGTAGGCCCCGCTATCAAATTGGTTCATATTGAGGTCAAAAGGGTCCAAAATTAAACTTTGTTTGATTTCATCGAAAATTGAATTATTGGGGTTCTTTGATATGCCAAATCTAACCGTGTTTTTAGATTTTTAATTTGGGTCCCGTTTTTTAAATTGGTCTTCATTGAGGTCCAAAGGGTCCAAAATTATACTTAGTTTGATTTTAACAAAAATTGAATTCTTGGGGTTCTTTGATATGCTGAATCTAAACATGTGTTTAGATTTTTGATTATGGGCCCAGTTTTCAAGTTGGTCCAAGTTGGGGTCCAAAATTAAACTTTTTTTGATTTCAACAAAAATTGAATATATGGGGTTCTTTGATATGCTGAATCTAACCATGAATTTAGAATTTTTATTTGTGGGCCCCGCTATCAAATTGGTTCATATTGAGGTCAAAAGGGTCCAAAGTTAAACTTTGTTTGATTTCATCAAAAATTGAATTATTGGGGTTCTTTGATATTCCAAATCTAACCGTGTATTTAGATTTTTAATTTTAAGGCCCGTTTTTTAAATTGGTCTACATTAAGGTCCAAAGGGTCCAAAATTAAACTTAGTTTGATTTTAGCAAAAATTGAATTCTTGGGGTTCTTTGATATGCTGAATCTAAACATGTGTTTAGATTTTTGATTATGGGCCCAGTTTTCAAGTTTGTCCAAGTTGGGGGTCCAAAATTAAACTTTGTTTGATTTTAACAAAAATTGAATATATGGGGTTCTTTGATATGCTGAATCTAACCATGTATTTTGATTTTGGACATTGGACCATAATAGGTAAAAAAAATTCAAGTTCTTAGACCACATTCTTTCTGTGTCAGAAACCTATGCTGTGTCAAATATTTAATAACAATCCAAATTCAGAGCTGTATCAAGCTTGAATGTTGTGTCCATACTTGCCCCAACTGTTCAGGGTTCGACCTCTGCGGTCGTATCAAGCTGCGCCCCAGCGAAGCATTTTATTTATTTATACACAAAAGTTGTGTACAACAAAAATTGTAATCAATTCTTGACAACATACATGTACCCTAACATGCCTAAAGATTGTTTTATTGGCATTATTATTATATTGTTGTTTCTTTTATAGGAAATAAAGCCATTGACAGAAGATGTATGATGTAAAGAATTCCAATAGAACTTTTAATTTTAATCATGGCTGTGGTATAAACTTAACAATTATTGTCTAAATAATTGAGAAAAGGAATTCCAGTGTAAGAACATTCATCAGATAAAATCTCATGATGCACCTACATCGATCAAATTCAGTCCCATTGGAACGTTGATTGTAAAATCTTGCGGAAGATAGATCTGAAATACCCAAAGGCAGTCCGAAGAAGAAATCAAGAAGGACCAAGTTTTAATCCTAGATACGTAGGATAATTTAAAGCATAATATATTTATGATGGCCCTTGGGTAACAATGGGTAGTCATATCATTCTTAGTCTTTGTACACTGGCAGCTTTGTTTTTGTTGTGATTTACATAAAACCTGGATTTTTATCAGTAACTGCATTTATTCTAGAATTTTCTTAATCTTGATCAAATATACAGATCTCCACTTTGTTTTTTTCTTGGTTCTTTAAAGATAGGCATCACAACAGCTGAAATGTACATAGAGACATTCTGGAAATAGTTCTCAGGTTTCTGCTCTGTGTCAGTTGAGACAAGTTCCAGTGAATTTGCATGAAGAACAAACAGAGAACTCGTGTTAATTTGTGCTTAATATTCCCAACGTCACATTCTGGTAAGATAAGTGTAATTGTTTAAATGATCAAGATGAATAAAAGGTTTATAAAATGTGTGAATGGAACTTTGTTAATGGATAAAATCCATAGTTAAAAAGACTTGAAAGGTAAATATTGTGTGTATGGAAAATGGTGCTAAAGCCCTTGAATGTAATTAATGGAGGTACTTGGAAGAAGAATATGTGCATGTGTACGTCATAGACTTGTTGTGTGCAATAATTGTCATAGACCAATGATGTGATCATTCTTAGCTAAAATCTTGGTTAGTTACTGTTACACAGCAAATCACCTTTTTGAATGATACAGTTGCAAATATGTATTAGACCATTGTCTAATTTTAAAAACAGTATATTAACAAATAAATGTCTTTGTTTGTACTGTGTTGTTGGGTTACCATCTTGTTGATGTATAGCCAACAACACATATCTTATTTATAAATGATAATTTCTTTATCGGTACATGTAATAATGAAAATGATGAAATGGAAACATTATGAAGAAAATAAATTTCCATATGATATATGAAAGAAAAAGTTCAGTCATTGTCCTTTGAAAGTAGAACTAAATTTTCCCTAAAGCATTACCTTTATTTAGAATATGTGGCCTACATTTGCTGTTGTAATATTGTGACTAGACATGTTTTGACCTTTGTGTAAATGATGTTAATTGTGAATATATATGAACATGAGAAGTATTAGAATTGTATATAGTTGTTTATTTATTAACTTTTGTTTTTGTTAAATCTTTGTAAATATGAACATACAATCATGATGTAGTATATTTATGTGAATAGGACTTGCTTCCGAGTCCATTAGTGTGAGATAAATATTGGTGCTTACCTAGAAGGTATATATATATATATATCAAAGAGTACTAGATCTGATTCCCTACTATGTTTAATAACTGCTCAAAAACAAGTGAAAAGTTGTGAGGCATTATTATTTATTCAATCATAAACAATATTTTGTTTCCCCGTGTACAGTTTAATTTTATAGGAATTTCTCTTGAATATTTTTAAATTTGATACTTTTCTGTATGGACCAGTGAAATCTGACAATTCAACATCATAGTCTTGCATAATAATATTTCCTTAAGAATCTCAATTGTAAAATTCCAGATTCTTTTATTTATTGTAACTATACATTGTAAATAAAACCAGGGATAGTGCTTTGTTAAAAGCTTGCAAAGGAATTGCTTATTATTTAAAAGTAATGTTTCAGTTTCTAACTGTGCCAAATATGAATTACAGCAAGTCATTTTTTTTTTTATCTTTATAAAATGTTGAAAGGAAATTTGTAAACATCTATTGTTCCAAATGAATTTTAAAGTAAATTACCATTTTTTACTTGAATAAAACTTAAAAAAAAAAGAAATTGCAGAAATTTAAGCATTTAGTTCTTTAGAAGTTTGTCAGTTATTCAGATGAAACCTTTTACTTTGTTTCATAGTGTGCTCATACATTCCTCGGATGGTTTTAAGCTTGAAGTGCTAAGTATGCTTGAAAAGCATGTTCCAAATTATGTTGCTTAAATATAGTGTCTAGTATATGATTAGATTGCTTTATATTTTTAATGAGTGGTTAAAGTTTTAACCTTTTACATTCCATAAAACGTTCAAACAATACCACTTCTTTCAGATTAAAAAAGCAACAGCATTGATACATAGGAAAAAAAATGCATTTTGTATTCTTTTTTGTTTATCAGGCTCAAAGAATTACTTTAAGGAAGTTCGCTTATATCATTCCTCATTCACATCACCAGAAGCAATGTTCATAGTTTATTATCTAATTCTGAAAAATAACACCACATGTAAATTAACATAAATTTTAATAAAATTGTTCTGTAACATGAGGAGGCTTTGAAAAGGCTGTTGCAAGTCTGGTTTTGGTAATTTAGAATAAAGAAGCTCTTATAATCTCATATTTCAGATAACTTTTATGTGTAATAAAATATCAAAAGGACATAATAAAATGTTAAAAGGACGTAATAAAATGTAAAAGGACAAGAAAATTGACCTTGAAATGTAAGCAGTTTTATCATATGTTCCCCCAAGTCAGGTTTAATTAATTAAAGCTCGTATATTTATATAAGAGAAATATTGCATATCATTTTGAATTATTTCGAAGTTCCATTCATTATTTAGTTTGTCTTTATGCTTGTTTTTCAAGTATGTATGGTACAGTTTAGTATGAGTGCTTTATATTGTATTGTTATGTAAATAGGGTGTAAATGTTGTTAATGTGTTGCTTGTAAGAAGTTTGTACAAGTAAAAAATTTAAATAATAAAAGATGAAAAATCCTTTCTCATTGTTTGTGTTTATGACTTATTGAGCTAGTTTCAGGATGGATGTCATGTCATGAACATTACAAATCTAAGTGTCATCATTTGGTGTTTGCCGCTGGGTGTTTAGCAAACAAATATCAATCAATCATGTATTCACACTTCATTGGTGGTTTGTTATTTCCTGTATTCATCCAGGATATGTATGAAATATATGCTACTGGACATTGAGCAAGTAACAAATTCTCATTTTATAGTGATTTGTGCAGGGTTATCCAACTTGAAATAACCGATTGCTTGATTAAAATGGAGTGACGATTTTTTACGGGATGTTCATGATTCTTTTAAATCGGAAGCCAGGGTGTATATATATATTAAGTTTATGGAAAAAGCTGTCTAAATGATCTCTTTCCTTGTCACAGCTAAAAGCTGAATCTAGCATTCAAAATAACAGGTTATGGTTTAGTACTTTACAAGGATAAACATACACAAATATTCTTTGAATGAATGGAAAAAAGAACTTTAAAAACACAGATAAAAATCGGCCCATTTAATTTTCTTGTTAGTACCAGGTAAACAGAAACACTACATAATCTTGTTTGATTTAAATTTCAAATTCCAAACAAAAAATAGATTGAACAGTTGTGAATGTCGTTAGCGTTGCTATTGATCCGGTTTCTGCGTCATCACTAGTGGTATGATCGTAGAGGTCAATTCGATCTTTTGTCGTTTCTAGATCCCCACATTTACTATTTACTACATAGAAGAGGTAGCCATGCGTAGGTGTCAATACACGTCTTGATGAATTCATTAATATTTTCTTAGGGAACACGAGGAAATTAACATAATACAGGATGTTTGCGATAGTTACAATTTCACTGGAGATAAAATAATAGAAAATAATGTATTCCAAATTTATTTATTTGTTGACAAATGAACATTTATACCCGATAAGACCATTGATTTTATGGTGGTGGACAGAGACATGTCTCGATGGTGGGAATAGGGATTTGGAAAATGAATATCCGTGCCCGTCGGTAGGAACTGAAAATAAATAATCTTGCACAAGACAAGATGGAAATGAATGTCCAACAAAAAATGCAGGAAATAATAGTGTACAAAAGTGAAAATAATAAAAAAGCAAGCGTAGAAACAGATAGAAATGCACATTCAATACGCAAAAAAAAAATCCCCCTTCCCAGAATATGAAATGGTTCGTCTGATTCTCTCCTTGTTAGCTCACCTGGCCCAAAGGGCCAAGTGAGCTTTTCTCATCACTTGGCGTCCGTCGTCCGTCGTCGTTAACTTTTACAAAAATCTTCTCCTCTGAAACTTCTGGGCCAAATTTAACCCAACTTGGCCACATCATCATTGGGGTATCTAGTTTAAAAAATGCGTCCGATGACCCCGCCTGCCAACCAAGATGGCCGACATGGCTAAAAATAGAACATAGGGGTAAAATGCAGATTTTTGCTTATATCTCTGAAACTAAAGCATTTAGAGCAAATCTGACGGGGTAAAAATGTTCATCAGGTTAAGATCTATCTGCCCTGAAATTTTCAGACAAATCAAGACAACCCGTAGTTGGGTTGCTGCCCCTGAATTGGTAATTTTAAGGAAATTTTGCAGTTTTGGGTTATTATCTTGAATATTATTATAGATCGAGATAAACTGTAAACAGCAATAATGTTCATCAAAGTAAGATCTACAAATAAGTCAAACATGACCAAAATGGTCAATTGACCCCTTAAGGAGTTATTGCCCTTTATAGTCAATGTTTAACAATTTTTCGTAAATTTTATAATCTTTTACAAAAATCTTCTCTGAAACTACTGAGACAAATTTAACCAAACTTGGCCACAATCATCATTAGGGTACCTTGTTTTAAAAATGTGTCCGAAGACCCCGCCTACCAACCAACATGGCCGACATGGCTAAAAATAGAACATAGGGGTACAATGCAAGTTTTGTCTATTATTTTTTGAACCGTTATAAATAGAGAAAATCTGAAAGGAGCAAAAATGTTCAGAATAATGAGCTCTTCCAATTGTCCATATACGTCAAAACTTATAGGAGTAATTGCCCATAAATGACAAATCGCAATAGATAGAGAAAATCTAACGGGACATAAATGCCCAGAATGATGATTTCTACATACCGTTCATCCACACCGAAACTGTCAGACGACTCCTTACAGGAGTTATTGCCCAAAAATGACGAATTTGTTTATTATCTTGAAAATTATTATAAATGTAAAATATAATACATGTACATTGTCGGAAAATATATAATTTATTTAGGCTAGCTTTAGAAACAGTACAAAAAGCGAGGCTCCCCGAACTATTCTCCTGTTTCGTGGCGAGTTTTATATTACCGACACTGTACATATATTGTTTTTATCTTGCAATTTACAACCGGCACTTTTAGTTTTAGTTGTATAAATCATAATAGTAATGTTGACTCTGACTTTTCTAAGAAACCTGTAGTTCAGTGGTTGTCGTTGGTTCATGTCTGTCCGATTTGTTTTTCGTTAATCGTTTTGTTATTTTCTCAATTGAATTGTTTCATACTTTTCATGTCGGGGCCTTTTATAGCCGACTATACGGTATGGGTTTTTATTATTGTTGAATGTCCTACGGTTGCCTATAATTGCTTACATCCACTTCATTTGAACTTGGGTGGATAGTTGTCTCATTGGCAATCATACCACATCTCCTTATTTTATATAGTTTAAACGCAGACTGCGAAGAGGACACCAGAATGAACTGTTACACTAAAAGAAATATTCGCATCACCGTTTTCTCAAGCGGAGTAACAGGAGACTTTATTTGTTCAAATTTATTTTGTGTACTTGTTATTTGTACAATAGTTGTCTAATTGCGGATAAATAGAGTAAAACTTCAAATGGGAAACATGATAAGCAATACAAGATCTACAAATGAGTCAAATATAGCCGAAATCGTGATTCGACTCCTTGTACAGGGGTGTAGCTACCTTCTTAATGAAGTGGAATCACAAACTAAAGGGCGAGGGGTCTGGGGACCGCTTAAGGCCCCCAGTGCCCTGGTAGGGGGACCTGGGGGCGAAGCCTCCCGGAAGCTCCGCATATATAGCATTTCAAAACAATCACAACCGTAATAAAACTTGTACATTTTTGTTGTGTTTTTTATTGGTCAACTATTTGTTTAACTTCGAGTAGAATGAAGACTAAACATTGTCGTTCGCGTTTTTTTTGTACACCGTGAGAGCTTTTAAAATCACGAAGATTTGTTTCATATGCTAGTATTTGTATTGAGAAAAGTATATGTATAAAAAAACAAACAATAAACATAAACACTATACTATATGTGGAGTTTCTGTTAGCTTAAAGTTAACATAACAAAACAATCAATCAGATTGAATCGAAGTCTTAAATACGAACTAACCGGCGAAATTGTCATAAACGGACGTACACCTGATATCTAGATTTCATTACGGCAACCTGATTTGAATTTATATAGAAATAATCATATATTTATTTCCTGACACAACTTGAACAACTTCAGTGCTTAGCGGTCCGTGCTTAGCTGACAAGTTACGAGGGGAAATTTCTGTACTTACTCAATAGACACACTTCCGACAGCAGTTGACCAAAGTTCCCGCCCTACCGTGATCAAATAACCTACGTATTATTTTGTTCTTGTCTAGAATATGCATGAAATATTTGCAACTGGACGACTACCAAACAATGATATATAATAAACAAGTTGCTTTCTAGATACAAAAATAAATGCAATCGTGAACCTAAATTCCTGTTTGGTATATAAGATCACATAATTGTTACATAAAGGTCTGATGCATGATTTTACATCATTTTATTTTTATATAAGATGTAGAAAAACTGACATGGATTCTTAATGAAACTGCTGTTCAATATTGGGCTTGTTACTGTAAGAGTAGAAACAATTTGAAACCTCAACTTTATACTTCAGTTAAATCAGTTTGTTCAAACAAATCTCACTTTTTTCATTTCATAACTTTTTGTAAATTAGCCAAAATATAATAAAGCTGTTGATTTGTTGTTTTATATACGATTGTGTGACAGACAGAGGGAAGCAGGAATGACGTTGCCAATTCAGTAAAGCGCATGTCCAGTACGCAATTTAAAAATCCTGTTTTTGCAATCGCATTTCCATTGAATACGGATATTGATTTAAAGAAAAATAATTTGTTCCTAAGTTGTGCTATTTTTTGCTTATGAATACAAACAATTTTGTATCGCCTAATTTGTAAGGATTTCGTCATATTTTTTTTTCGCCAAAAAAGCTCTAGGCCTCTGTCAACTAGATCATCTAAATTCGCTTATGAATACAGATTGCCTCAACTCCTTAAAAACAAATTGACGGAAATCCCAGAAACTTGCACTGATTCTTCTTTTGGTGGCACATTAAGTTGTGCACCTGCTACTTCAACTTTTCGTTGGTTTTTTTTTGTGTGTGTGTTTGGCGGTTGAGGGTCACATACCACAAAGAATATCACTCTGTGTGTCTGTTAATCATTTCATATCAATAGAATTATTGTAAGGACTAAAACGCATATTCATTTATGAACTGTTTCGATATGACATATAATTTCTGCATTTAGCACACCTGAAAGGTGCTTTTGAAATTTCGTCGTAATTTCCAGGGTTAACTTGCATTTTTAAATAAGATTAAGATAATAGATGCATCACGTTAATACCAAACACACTCTGTCCGATTGACCAATTCCTAAATGTTAACTTTGTCCGTCTGTCTCTCTCTCGCTCTGTTGTTTTTTTGTTTTTTTTTTGGTGAAAAATGACGTGGATTCACGTGCTGTCATGCCTCAGGCCGGGTAGCTACGCCCCTGTTGTAGGTGATATAGCCCCTAAATGACGATTTCTATCAATTTTCTGTGCTTTGGCTTTTTTTGTTGTTGAAAACTTTAATAGATAAAGAGAAACTTTAATATGCAAAAATGATCAGCAGGACAAGATCTACAAATTTGTCAACATGGCCGGA